TTGGAGAATAAATTAATACTAAATAGAAAAGGTATCAACCAACTAATATAAATTATCAACAACCTATTATACAATTAGGTTTTATTATATCTATTATTATACTTTGCTCACTTACATATGTAGAGTTCTAACAATTATAACTGTTTTATTATTCTCATTACTTGGCGATGTAGTATTCATGGTTATAATTATGGTAACAGAAAGGGTTCATCGTACTTCCCTTCTTTCTTTCTATCTATCTACCCTCTCCTATAACCTGTCTCGTTAATTCTTAACAATGGTACAATTAAAATAACCATGAATTGTCATTTCGAAAAGTTTACAAGTATTCGCAGTAAAATTGTTTCCAATTGCAACTAACTATTTTTCCTTTTATCCGCCTATTTTATCTATATTTGATAAATAATATCGCCAATCAATTGAAGAAAAGACAAAGTATTTTCTTTTAAATTTGAAACAAATCCGATGTGAAGGATAAACTTGATGCGACTGTTGTGTGATTATGCAAGTATGATACACAACAACAGCAACGGAGTGGATCACGTTATGTACAATAATTTTTCCTTGAAGTCTGCATTGCCACACATTAACTGTTGTGTGGGTATGTCTCTGATGCAGAGGTTTTCTTCTGCAACTTCTTCGTTTGTGATAAATTTTGTAGTGGCGATATTCGTCATCCTCGTACCTCTGTCAAAAAGAAGAAGATTACTTTGTGTAAGTGGATTTTCAAAAGGAGAAATTTTGGGACCTCCTCCGACGACACACACACTAAAATAATTATAATAAAAAAAAAATAACAGTTGTGAGTATTAAACAGTCAATTACCCCTATGATGTCATTGATGATACTGGTAATGATTCAGATCTTCAACAAAGCTCAACAGAATTTCATCCAATAGTCATTCATTAAGGAAATAGACATAAATTTACTTTAAACTTCGGAATTAACCATCTTCTTTTGGTCCGTCTTCAACCCCTCCCACACACACACACATATATATCCTTAACGTGTATAATCTATGATCTTCCATCAGTGGATGAATTCGTAGTAGATTAATGACTTCCTGTTGTTGGGTTGAAATTCGTACCCAGGGCAAAAAAAGAAAGAAAAAAAAGAAAAGAAAAGAAAAGAGAGCGGAACAGGAAATTTTTGTTTTGATTTTCCGATAAATTTAAGTTTTCTCCGATACACATTTCATTTTTCGCCGTAGCGTAGGGCAAAATTGAACAAAAATACAAAATACTTGTCTTTGCTACCCCAGCCATGTGCATCAAAGTCATTCACATTCCAAATTGTTTTACACATAGTCCAGCCATTCAAGACTGAAAACGTTGACTTATGGAATTATCAAGTCATGATAGAGGGGATGGAGGAGTGGAGGTGTATGTCTAAAGAATAAATGAATGACATAGTGCCTTGCCCAAAATCAAAATCAAATTGAAATTTCAGGTTTCATTTAGAAAGGAGTACATTTGATTGAAATAAAATTATGTATAATCTAATAGATTACATTGGTTGTTTGCTAACAGAAGTTGGTCGTTTTTTTTTTTTTAGTTTGCATCTCACAGCTTGTCTTGAAAAGAATCATCAAGCACAGGATCTGTCTAATTAATTAGTTCAAAATGTCTCTGTTTTATTTTTTGGCTATCGGATTTGATTAGTTTTCTTTTGCCGTACATTAAGATTAAAAGAGAAATAATGCTAATTTACTGTTGAAAACGCAGTTTAGTTTAGAGCTCTTATCACTTGAATATATTAACTGCACATGAACGAATCTCTTTTCAACCCATGGAATGATTATATATTTTATCACCCATGCTTATGATGAATAAAAGTTCTTCTAGAAAGGACATACGATAATATTCTGTTGATTATAATAATATTTAATTCATCATACTGAGTACATAGTGGAATTATGGACAGGTGATAGTGATGGCGGTCGTGTACAAATGTTCCCCCACAACCACAAATGGGGGGTGTACAAAATGAAATTAGTGACCCCCTTCAATTAGGAGTATAATGTCGCACAAACGACATTTATGTACAATTTCCTTTTTTTTTATTTTCAAAAGAAAAAAAAAAAAAAAAAAAAAAATAAAAAAAAAATTCACTCAATGAATTTTGTACAAGAATTTACTTTGTATATAAATTGAACAATTTTTATCAAATACAGAAATTTTCGTTTTAATTTTTATATTTGTTTTTTTGTTTTAATTGAATTCAATTTCATCATTGGTTCAGGGTTTTTTATTCATTCTACAATTGTCTTTAGTTCTTGTTCTTCTTCAACATTTCATTACTCCTCCAATTAACTTATTCTACCTGGTTTCAACTGTTTTATTAATTTTTTTATTTCTTTCTTTGGTTTAAATTTTTTACATTTTATTTCATTTAACTGTATCATACGTTAATCATAATCTTCACAATCACATATTTCATACTCCATCAAACATAAAAATGACTACTACTTCCACACAAATACAAACTGGTACAAGTCCAGAAATGATTTTTGAGAGATGGGTCGATCAACCATTCGCTTCAAAATGTCATCATCATCAACACGATTTAAATGTTATACCTTTAGATATTACTGCTCCATTAGATGTTTCAAATGAATCAACTGAAGTTCAGATATATAGAAGGAATTCAGCTTTAGCTTTGAATTCTTTAAATGCTGCTTTAAGTAGAAAATCTTGTTAAATTCAATTAGGAACTTACATTATCCAATTTGTTTTTACATTAATAATAATAACAACAACAAAAAAGAAAAGGTAATTAATATAGTTAGTTCCTTTGATAAATACATGTTTGATTTTTTTTTCTGGTAAAAAAATTTTTACTTATCGTTGTATCTCATTCTGTCTCACATTTAATTCTGTGGCCGTTTATTGACAATCTGTTAACATAAAATTTTTGTTTCTCTCCTTCTCGCTTTGTGGGTTACCGTGCATGAGTCACGTGCAATGAGTCCAACAGTGGAAATTTCTATACCATACAAATATGTAGAACTTGACATGGTAAATGTAGGAAGTCATTGTTTAATAACACTCATATTGCTTTGTAAATCAAAGATTAAATATCAGAGTTATACGGTTATAAAGATTCTACTATCTTTTGCTAGAATGTTATATACTACAACCCCCAGGGATGATTTAACCGCTATTCAAATCTTCTTATAATTTTAGAAGAATTGAATGGTTATTACTATCTATAGATTGACTCACTTAGAACCATTTCTTTTTCTCATATATATATATATATATATATATCCAAACTGTGTTGCTTGTAATCAACACAAATAAAAATTAAAGTTCGCTATGTGTCGATTGGTAGCGATTATTGTTTCTGTGTTTACACACAAATAGACAACTATAAAAAGCCAACTTTTTGTTTTTACAACAAAATTATTTTTTACAACACTTTTTCTTTCTTTCTTTTTAATCAACAATAAACAATCAACAATTCTTTAATATATCAATCATGGATGTTATTAGAAGTGAGTATCAAAGCAGTTAGAGCAATCAAGACATTGTACAATGACTAACTTTATATCTATTACCTTGTTGGTGCAAAATTGTCCTCAATTCCATTGTTGATATTATACATGCTTGAAAATTATTTATCTTGCCCATTTATTGCCATTGATTCTATTTGCAGTCAATCTTTAGGACAATTGTTGGTTGCCAATAAGGTTTCAAGTATGGTTGCAAAGATGAATTGTTGCCCTTTATCAATGTGTAATGAAGGACCTTCCAAATAAGAGAGTGATTGGGCAGTCATTATCTTGAACCTTAAGACGAGGAATCCATGTTCATATAAAAGGGCAAACATGGATTAGTGAAGGTCTTTCTTTAAGATAGCGTTTGGTCACCGCTATCTTGCTATCGGGATAATGAATTCATAATCCCGATAGTTTGGAGGCTCGTTTCTCTATTTTGTAGAAGACCGGGTATTAGAGGATCCATAGACCTGGTCCTCTATTAGTGCATACCCGGTCTTTCTCTTTCTCTTTCTCTCCCTTGGCCCAAGGGAGAGGAGAGAAATAAAGAGTCCTCAAGAGGAGGACTCGTTGCGGACTGGGGCGGTCCCAACCTAAGTGGTCCCCAGTTCTGTTCCCTCCCCCACCGCGTGGTGGATGGGGGAACCGGTCCCCACGTAAAAGGGGGGCAGCAATGGGATCAGGGCCAACGGCGTCTTTCCCAAATATGATAACCCTAGCTACGCTCTATCCAACTTTTGGAGAAACCGATTTACTTGGCTGTGAAAATTAATTCTTGTTACCTTGTGGAGCCCAAATGCATACTACTTTTGAAACTCTAAATTAATGCATGGCTGTTTCCCGGAAATTCACAAACGCAAGTTTGGATTTTGATTTATATTTTCATGTCTTGTTGTTATATCTTTCCTAAGATGCTTATTTGATTTGTTATCAAGAGTATGTAGATAATCAAAGATTCTCTTGTAGGTTGACACAATTGCAACATAAATGACTCAATAATTCCGGGCTCGTTTTCATGCTCTCGTCCGAAACCCGGTGATGGGATGCCCTGCTTATACCCAATCAATGCTTTTATTAAAAGAAAGAAGAAAAAAATACTACACTTCTCATTGAATTGTATCCTCTATAGTGAACTTTCCTTGTGATTTCTTCAACTTACGAAACATTGGTGATTCTTTACTTTCGCTACCACATGTGTCCATATTTAATTTATTTTTTTTTTTTTTTGCTTTCATTGTTATTGTTTTTATTTTTTTTTTGTCTGCTTCTCGCCTGAAGGCAAACTTCAACAAATCATCATTTCCATTCTCACACGCACACTCACACTCACACATCAGAAGAAACAAAAAATTGAGGGAAGAAAAATTTTCTATCACACTTTTATGAATCGGTTTAGATAAACAAAAAAAAAACCTGAACTCATATAGATACCCAAATTATCCATTGAGGGAATATTAAGGTGGAAACAATAATATAGACATTTATCACAATAATAATAATCATGATTCCATTAAGATATTTAAAAGCTCCAGCATTAGCAATTGCTAAGAGATCCATCACATCAATTACTTCTACTTCTTCTATTGCATCTCGTTATTTATTACCATCTGTCTCAATTTTACCAAGATCATTTCATAATTCTAGTAAGTCATCCATCAATTCTACTTTACCAAGATTTTACAGTGTTTTAACTGAAGCTCCAGAAGCTAAATTGTATAAGTATAAAGATATTAAAGAAGTTATTACACATCCAGAAAATCATCCAGATTCAATTATAGTTGATGTCAGAGAACCAAATGAATTTGGAGATGGTCATATACCAGGAGCTATAAATATTCCATTTAAAAGTAGTCCAGGAGCTTTAGATTTACCTGAAGAAGATTTTCAAGAAAATTTTGGATTTCCAAAACCAAGTACTGATAAAGAATTAATCTTTTATTGTCTTGGTGGTGTTAGATCTACTGCTGCTGAAGAATTAGCTAATACTTTTGGTTATAAGAAACGAGGCAATTATGTTGGTAGCTGGGAAGATTGGATAGCAAATGAAAATAAAAATGAAGCCAAAAAGGATTAAATTATAATGAAAAGAGAGAGAGAGAAAGAGAGACCATTCAGAGAATATTAATCTTCCTACCTAGGTTTTAGGTTTTATTTGTATCTTGTCAAATAGTTTTAATAGTAATTTCACACGTCGATTATATATATATACTATAGATTTCCTATCGATTATTTGGTCTAAATTCAAGTTGTTTGAATTCTTTACCCAATCTTTTCTTTCTCTTTCTTTCCATAGCCTTTTCTCTTTGTTTAGGTTTCATACTATCAAATTTAGCCTTTTGTAAAACCTTTCTTTTGTCACTACGCTTAAGGAAATATGGTTTATTAACTTTACCAGATTTGAAATCATCCATTTGTTGTTTCTTATAATTTTTCAAAATAGATTCTTCTAAATCTCTATTCTTCAAAGTATCCATTCTTGATTTTAATGATTGTAACTGTAATTTAATTTCTTCTCTTTCATCATCATTTAATCTATTCTTTTTATCACGTAATATACCTTCCATATTTGAAATTTCTTGCTTTCTATAGTCATCTAAAAATGCATAATCCTTTCTGATCTTTCTCAAATCTGCTTTACCATAAGCAGCATCAAATCTAATATCAGTATGTAAAGTTTGTTCTCTTCTACTTGGTAATCCAGGAATATCTCTTATTCTTGATACTGGTCGTTTTGATGATGATTCAGATGGGGCATGTTTATTCTTCTTCTTTTTATCATTATTTCCATGGCGATTTGAAGATGATGATTCTTCTGGTGGTCCATCAGAATCTGAATCTTCGAAAAATCCATCATCTGCTGATTCCTCTTCTTCTTCTTCTTCTTCATCATCATCAGAATCTCTTTTCAGTAGTTTGGCTTGAGCTCTATTAAGTGCTCCAAATGATATACTTGAAAGTTCGTCATCTTCTTCATCACCTCTTGACTTTTTGTTGGTTTTCAGTGAATATGTGAAATCATCTTCAGATGAAATATCATCGTCATCATAGTATGACGGTCTTATTGTCTTAGCCATGGTTTGGAGGGCTTTAGAATTGATAAATGAGATGAGTAGTTGATGGTTGTCTGAATAAATTTTTTTTGTATTGTGTGCGCTCTTCTCACTTTGCAGTTGATAAAATCTTACCATAATTGCCAACATGGGTACGAATTGAAGTATCTACTGGCGAGTACTTATGATCTATCATCTTATGTTTTAGAGGTTGACATGGTAGTTACTCAACCACCAACTACAAGTTACCTACTACCGTTACCAGTATATGTGTAATTCTAGCATAAATGGCTAATAATACCAAATTCGACAAAACACCTTGGGTTTTGTCCAACAATGCTTATTAAAGTTAAATCATATCTTGAATATACTTGTAGCTATCAAATTTCTAATAGGGATTATTACATGTCATGGTCCCATATTTCTTTCATTTCGTCTACTTCCTTGTTTATCTTATGGGTAGATTGCAACCATAGCACCATCCAGATCTAATTCATATCGTCTTCGGCAAAAATAAACTTGAAACGCATAATACACTGACTTCTCATTCAATTGACTTGATTCTTCTTCATAAACCCCTAACCATACGTTCCCCTAGTATACGTTACTGACCAAATGATATTTGCATCAGGTCGTGTACATCTGCATCGTATTATCGCAACGCGTAGTTGAATGATTTCAAACGGGTGAGTTTGTTGTAGTCTTTTTTTTTTTTGTACCATAATCAAATTTTCCAACAAATTCATCTCAATATCCTTCCACATGAGTTGATAAATCTATTAATGAACCTTAAAATATGTCCAATAATGATCCATCTACTATACATCAAGAATCAATAACTCACGTTTCCAATACCGCCTCACATCCAACTCCTTTAGTACAACCATATAGAATACTTTTAAAAGATGGTGTAACTAATGCCACGATATACCCCGTCTATTCACCAAATGAAATTTCCAGTACATTATTAGAATTCTTGTGGGATGAATATAATATGGAAATTGAAAAGGGAGAAACATTAACATTTTATAATCCTTTATCGTTTGATGATTTTATAAATCATTGGTTTTCTGGATCTATAGTAGTAGCAATAATGATTGTTGGTGACGAGCCAGATTTAACTAATGATGAAAGACAATGGCCAAGTGAATTATTAGGAGTATTCAATATTAAACCAAATTATCCAGGTGAGAGATCAAGTCATATATGTACCGGAGAATTTTTAGTTAATGCAGGTATTAGAGGAAGAGGAATTGGGAAAACTTTAACTGATTGTTATATTCAATGGTGTGGTGATATTGGATATAAATATATTATTTTCAATATGGTCCTTGAAACTAATGTAGCTGCTAGAAAACTATATGAAAGTTTGAATTTCGAGAGAGTCGGTAAAATCAAGGATGTCGCTTATATGGGTAATGAAAAAGATAGCGTTGATGGGATAATCTATGGACGAACAATCAATGATGAAACAAGAAACATTAGTTCAAGTGTCTCTGTCACATCATCAGCAACTTCATCAACCGCAACAAATGATGCTGATATAAATAACTTAAAGTTTGAAAACCTACTATATTATTTGAGAACAGGAAAATATCCCAAAAATGCCGATAGTAAAGAAAAGTCAAGACTTCGAGCCAATAAAGCTTCTTATTATCTAGATGAAGAAGGGAGATTGATTCTCAACGGAAAAGAGGTCATCACTGTTACAAACAAACAATTAGAAGTATGCCAATTGATTCATGAAGAAAATGGACATCTGGGAATAAACCGAACAACAACATTAGTCAGTCAAAAATATCATTGGATTAGAATAAAAGAAACTGTTGCAAAAGTGATTAAATCGTGTCAAGAATGTAAAAACAATGCATTACAAGATCGTATGAATCAACCAAGCAGTAAAAGAATTAAATTAATGCAACAAGACTTGGAAAAACAGATATTAGAACAAGAGAAATTAGAAGCTGCTGTAGCACAAGTTAAACAACGGCTGGAAGATGGTATTTCTTATGCAGATGCAGCTAGATCTGCATTTGTCAATGAATCAGATGGTAGTAGCAAAGGTGTACAACCAGAAGTCAGAACCTATTTTAAAGAAGAGAGCCAGCATTCATTACTGACATCTGTAAAAACCTACCGATAGCACGGTTATTTACAAGTTATAAATAGGATAAATGTATAAAACTATATTAATTAATTTCGTGTGAATAATTATAAAACACATGAAATGAAAAACTATAAAGAAATCCAAGTCTATATAAATACTATTGATATTTTTCCCCCAAAAAATACCATATCATATAAAAATAAAAAAACTCTTGTTTATAACTTTATGCTTCTTTCATGTATTTTAAGTTACTTTTATTTTTTGAAAAATTTTTATTCATCTTTTGTTTAAAATCATAATCTTTTCTTAAATGCAATCAAAATAACGTCCGTTGGTTCGTTCTTTTTTTTTCATGTATCATCTTTAAAAATCAACGCCAATAACCATAGCTAATAAAGCCATTCTAATAAATAATCCATGTCTCATTTGTCTGAAATAAGCAGCTCTTTGATCGAAATCAACTTCTTCTCTGATTTCATTAGTTCTTGGTAATGGATGCATAACACACATGTGTTGTTTAGCATTACTCAAGATCTTGTTATCAACAATATAAGTATCTTTCAATCTTTGATATTGTTCTTTATCAGAAAATCTTTCTTCTTGAACTCTAGTACAGTACAAAACATCAGATTTGGCAAGAATATCTTTAGTTAATTCTTCACTTTCAATCTTCAACATATTGTTTTCAATCAAAAGTTGTCTGATTTCTTCTGGAATAGCCAATTCTTTTGGTGCAACCAATTGAACTCTAACATTGTAATGTTTCAATAATTGACACAAGGAATGAACTGGTCTACCGTATTTCAAATCACCCATGAAGGTAACAGTGATACCATTGACAGTACCTAATTCTTCTCTGATGGTGAACAAATCTAACAAAGCTTGAGTTGGGTGTTCTTTAGTACCATTACCAGCATTGATAATTGGAACTGGAGAGTATTTGGCAGCAACATCAGCTGAGGATTCAGATGGATGTCTCAAAACAATAGCATCAGCATAACATGATAAAGTTCTGATGGTATCTTGTAAAGTTTCACCCTTTTTAACTGATGAGGAAGCACTATCAACAGCAACAACTCTACCACCTAATCTTTGCATAGCAGCATCAAATGAAGTAGAAGTTCTAGTAGATGGTTCATAGAACATGGTAGCCAAAACTCTTCCTTTCAAGATATCCAAAACACCTTGTCTTTCAACTTGAGCTCTCATTTCTTGGGCAACAGCAAACAAAGAATGCAAGTCAGATCTGGTGATATCCTTAACTGAGATAAAGTTGTTTCTCAAGAAAGCATTGTTGTTTCTAATGTAATCACTCAATGCAGCAATTTCACCCAAAGATCCAGCAATTGGTTGAGAAACCAATTCAGAACCCAATTTTTCAAAAACAGCTGGTTGTGGTTGTGGAGTTTCTGGAGTGAATGATGGACGACGGATATCAGCACCACCAAATGAAACTCTCTTGTTACCAAGTCTTGGTGATTCAGCAACACCGGCGGTAGAACCAAATATACTTCTTGGAGCAACTTCATTCTTACCCAAGATACCAGTAGCCAAAACAGCACCATCCAAAACAACAGTTTCATTATGGAAAGAAACTCTTTCAATGGCACCTCTCAATCTCAATTTAGCAAATTCTGGGTAAACTGGTTCAACTTCAGCAAATCTGTCCAAATCAACAACAACTTGAGCATCTTGTTTTGGCAAGTTGAAGATTCTAGCTGGATTGTCGTGGAATTTAGCTGTGATGTCATCAATGGTAAGTTTACCATCTCTAACAGCAGTCAACAACAATGGGATAACTTCTTTGATACCCAAACCTGGAACAATCTTAACATTACAAGCTTTAGCAATCAAGTATGGCAAGACACCAATGGAGAAACAATCAACTTGATCCAAGTTAGCCCACAAGTATTCTTGATCTTCCTTAGCTGGCAAGAATGGGAAGTTTAATTCATTCTTAGACACAAACAAAGCATGAACAGCAACATCACAACTAACTTGTAATCCCTTGTCTTTAGCCATCTTAATCAAATCCAAATCTTCTTTAGAAGAAACGTTAGTGATATGGATGGATCTGTTGTATAAGGAAGCCAACAACAAAACAGAAGCCAAATCAGTGGTTTTAGCATCAGTAACAATTGGTTTACTGGTTGGCCATGAGGTGAATTGAGCTGTAAGGGCAGAAACCTTAGAGTTGGCAAAATCATTGAATGGAACAAACAAAGAACCAGCATTGTCGGCAGCATCACTGGCACTTTGAGAGTTGGTTTCGGTAGCAGCAACGGCAACTGAATAATCAGTGTAAGCAGCAGCACCAACAGCATCAATGGCATCAACAAGAGATCTGTAATCAGTGACTGAAGCACCGGCTTGGGTGTGTGGCAAGAAAGCATTGAAGGTGAAACCAGCAGCTAATGATTCTTTGGTGGTTTCTTCGAAATCATCAAATGAAGTAGCAAAAGCAGTGATGTTGATCAAACCTGGGATAACGGCAGTACCGTGAGAAGTTTGAGCGTCTCTGTTGGAAACATCCAATGAAATGTTTCTTGCGATGGCTTCAACCAACAATTTAGCGTTCTTAACATTGGTAACCAATGGGACAGCATAATCAACAGCCATACGACGAGATTCGTAACCCTTGGACATGTAAGAAGCTGGACGACGGAATCTGTTGGCAGATGGTAAATTGACATACAAGTCAATCAAGTTGTTAGCCAAATGTTGACTCAAGTTATATTCGGACTTTTGATCTTCATCTTTGCTCAAAACTTCCAAATAATGAACTGGGATACCATGTTCTTTAATGAAATCAGCAGTACCAGCAGTGGCAAAAATCTTGTAACCCAATTCGTGCAATTTGGCAATACTTGGTAACAATTCTTGTTTTTCCTTGAATGAACCAATAGAGAACAAGATATTCTTCTTTGGCAATTTGAAACCAGTTGAAATCAAAGATTTCAAGTAGGCTTCGTATTTGTTTCTACCAAAAGTGGCAACTTCACCAGTAGAAGCCATTTCAACACCCAAAACAGGATCAGCACCAGCCAATCTAGAGAAGGAGAATTGTGGAACTTTAACAGCACAATAATCTTCTGGTAATCTTTCACCTGGGTATGGAACAAGTGGCAAGTCCATCATAGCCTTGGTGGCCATCTCAATCAAATCAACACCGACAACCTTAGAAACAAATGGGAAAGATCTTGAAGCTCTAACGTTACATTCAATAACCTTGATATCGTTATCTTTGGCAATAAATTGAATGTTGTATGGACCAGTGATATCCAAAGCCTTACCAATCTTGGCAGTGGCTTCAACAATTCTTCTGACGGTTTCTGGATCCAAATCTTGTGGTGGAACAATCAAAGTGGCATCACCAGAATGGACACCAGCATTTTCAACGTGTTCAGAAACAACGTGCATGATCATTTTACCGTCTTTAGCAACGGCATCCATTTCAATTTCTTTGGCATTTTCAATATATTTGGTAATGACAACCGGATAATCTGGAGAAACATCAACGGCTTGGGTCAAGTATGAAGCCAAATCATCTTTAGAATAGACAGTGTTCATAGCAGCACCAGACAAGACATAAGATGGACGAACCAAAACTGGATAACCAACTTTTTCAGCAAATGACTCAGCATCGTCAATAGAAGTCAATTCTTTCCAAGCTGGTTGATCGACACCGATTTTATCCAACATTCTGGAGAACTTGTATCTGTTTTCAGCGGAATCAATCATTTCTGGAGAAGTACCCAAGATCTTGACATTTTGTCTGTACAATGGCAAGGCAATGTTGTTTGAGGTTTGACCACCCATAGAGATGACAACACCAGAGGATTGTTCCAATTCATAAATATCCAAGACTCTTTCCAAGTTGATGGTTTCGAAATACAATCTATCAGCTTCATCATAATCAGTGGAAACGGTTTCTGGGTTATAATTGATCATAACAGTCTTGATGTTGTTTTCACGCAAAGTTCTAATAGCTCTGACAGCACACCAATCGAATTCAACAGAGGAACCAATTCTGTAAACACCTGAACCCAAGACGATAACACCATTGTCATCGAATTTAACATCTGAGGAATCAGCATTATAGGTGATGTACAAATAGTTGGTGAAAGCTGGGAATTCAGCAGCAACGGTATCGATTTGTTTAACAAATGGAATGATACCAGCATCTTTTCTCAATCTTCTAATGGCAACTTCATTAGATCCCAAGAATTTGGCAATTTGTCTATCTTCGAAACCCAATTGTTTGGCTTGTCTCAAGATAGAAACTGGAACATCTTCTTTAGTACCATAAGAAGCAATCTTGTTACCAAATTTGATCAAACCATCTAATTTGTTCAAGAACCATTTGTCAATGTTGGTTAATTTCCAAACTTTTTCAACAGAGTAGCCATCGGATAAAGCGTTGGCAATAGCAAACAAACGTTGATCAGAAGGAGTTTGCAATTCTTGGTCAATGTCAATAGACATCAAAGCAGCAGTCTTGTTGAAACCCAAGTTGTGGTAATCGGTTGATCTAATAGCCTTTTGAATGGCTTCTTCGAAAGTTCTACCAATGGACATAACTTCACCAACAGATTTCATGGAAGAAGACAACAAAGCAGAAACTCTGGTGAATTTCTTCAAATCCCATCTTGGAATCTTGACAACACAGTAATCCAAAGAAGGTTCAAAACAAGCACTGGTAGATTTGGTAACAGAGTTTTTAATTTCATTCAATGGAATGTTCAAACCCAATTTAGCAGCAGTATAAGCTAAAGGATAACCAGTGGCTTTAGAGGCCAAAGCAGAAGAACGAGACAATCTAGCATTGACTTCAATAATACAGTACTCCTTGGAGAATGGGTTCAAGGCATATTGAATGTTACATTCACCAACAACTCCCAAATGTCTGATGACGTTAACAGCAGTAGTTCTCAACATGTTGTAATCTTCATCGGATAAAGTTTGGGATGGAGCAACAACAATGGAATCACCAGTATGGATACCCAAAGGATCAAAGTTTTCCATGTTACAAACGGTAATACAGTTGTCAAAAGCATCACGAACAACTTCATATTCAACTTCTTTCCAACCCTTCATGGATCTTTCAACAAGAACTTGTGGAGAAGTGGCAAAAGCTTTGTTACACAAATCAACCAATTCTTCTTCATTGTCAGCGAAACCAGAACCTAAACCACCCAAGGCATAAGCGGCTCTGACAATCAATGGATAACCAATAGCATTAGCGGCTTCAATGGCTTCTTGGACATTGTTAACAGCTTCAGATCTGGCACATTTTTCGTTGATTTCCAACATGGCAGCAGCAAACAATTCTCTATCTTCAGTAGTGATAACAGTATCAATTTGGGTACCCAAGACTTTAACACCCAAACCTTCAAATTCGTCCTTCAAGGCAATACCAACACTCAAAGCAGTTTGACCACCAAAAGTACAGTAAATACCATCTGGTCTTTCATGTTCGATAACTTTTCTAACAAATTCTGGAGTAACTGGCAAAAAGTAAACTTTATCAGCCAAACCTTTAGAAGTTTGAATAGTGGCAATGTTTGGATTGATCAAAATGGTGTAAATACCTTCTTCTTTCAAAGCTTTAATGGCTTGAGAACCAGAGTAATCAAACTCACCAGCTTGACCAATGGATAAACCACCAGAACCCAAAACCAAAACTTTTTTGGCATCAACTCTTGGGTGGGCAGCTCTGTTTTCAGCAATCTTACCACCTGGGAATTCAACTTGTTTGTAAACACCAGATTTGTTGAATTCAACAACGGATTGAATGAAAACATCAAACAAGAATTCGGTATCTCTTGGACCTGGAGTGGATTCTGGATGGAATTGAACAGAGAAAAATGGTTTAGATTCGTGGTAAATACCTTCATTGGAACCATCGTTGGCATTGACAAACAATTCCTTCCAACCATCAGTTAAGGTTTCGGTATCAACAGCATAACCATGGTTTTGAGAAGTGATGTAACATCTACCAGAAATAGTAGAAGTACATGGGATATTGTGACCTCTATTACCAAACTTCAATTTCAAAGTAGAAGCACCAGTAGCTCTGGCCAATAATTGATGACCCAAACAAATACCAAAAATTGGAGTTTTGCCTTCTTTAATGACGTTCTTTAATCTTTGAACGGTTTCATTCATGACTGCTGGATCACCTGGACCGTTGGAGATAAACAAACCATCGTATTCTTCTTTGGTGAAATCATAGTCCCATGGAACAACTAACAATTCAACACCTCTTCTAACAAAACATCTAATTTGGTTGTATTTCATACCAACATCAACAGCAAGAATTCTGATTGGCTTACCGTTCTTACCCAATTTGACACCTTCCTTTGGAGTGTACAAGACTGGTTTTTTAGTGGAAACTTTGGCAACCCAAATTCTTGACGTTTGGATCATCAAATTCAGGAACATCAAAGAATTGTTTCCAGTTGCCGGATTTATCAGCAATGATATCATCTGATTTCAAAGATGGTTTTTGCAAAGCAAATCTACCCAAAGTAGAACCTTTTTCTCTCAATCTTTTAGTCAAAGCTCTGGTGTCAACACCATAGATGGCAGGAATATTTTGTTCTTTCAACCATTGACCTAAAGAAGATTTAGCTAACCAATGGGAAAATTCTTCAGTATAATGAGCGACAACCAAACCAGCAATGTGAATCTTGTTACTTTCAAAGTATTTTGGTAAAGCTGGTTCGTAATCATCGTCCTTTAATTCACGATCTGGAACACCATAATTACCAACCAATGGGTAAGTGATGACCAAAATTTGACCTTCATAAGAAGGATCAGTAATAGATTCTGGGTAACCAACCATACCGGTTTGGAAAACGACTTCACCAGCAGCTGGAACTTGAGCACCAAAGGAGTAACCTTGTAAGGCAATTCCGTCCTGGGTTTCTAAAGTCATCAATACATCACCAGTGGATTCCATTGGTGGAGAAATTGGAACAGATAATTGAGCCATAGTTTTTCTTGATGATCTTTTTCTTTCTTTATACAAGGAGGGGGGAAGACACTAGTTAATTGGGGGGAATAAACTTAAATGAAGAAAATTACTTTATGGAAAATTAAACAAAATAAAACTGAAAGCTAGTCTTTTTCAAAGGGGGGGAATTTGACTCTTTTTGATTTTATTTATTTAATTCAATTTGTTTAAAGTAACAAAATAAGAAAACTTAAGCTATCGTGAAAGAAGAAGATTTGTGTTAGTAAAGAAAATACGAATCGCTGGTACAAGACTGAATTGTGCTACCTGATGAGAAAGAAAGAAGTAAAAAAAAAAAAAGATGGTGGGAGATGATTATGATGATGTAACCTTTGATGGGGCGGATTAATAACCAATGCAAAAAAAAAAAAAAAAAGAAATTTCCCTTAATAAATTTTTCACTAACAAATTTTTTTTTTTTTGCTTTTAATTTAAATCAAATTGCAGCAAGATGAGATGGTGGAACAAAATAAAAATTCTGACTCTAATGAAGTATTCTTATCGGTGGGGGGAATTTCACTGCCGCCAGGTCTTTGAATCATCTTGAGTTGGTGATGTTAAAGTATTCTTGAGTTTACAAAACTAAGCGTAACTTTTCTTTGACTTTCTTTCTCAACAATTAGCTTTCTTGCGATGAGTTTAGTCTCATTTTTCTCAAAATTCACATACCAATAACAATAATGGCTATTAAAGTCTGTTTGCAATTAGCACTGGGTGGGTATTGGGAGGACAAGTGGTAATTGTTGAGAAAGAAAGAGAGAGAGAAAGAGGAAGAGAGAAGAAAGAAGAAAGAAGAAAGAAGAAAGAAGAAAGAAAGGAAAATAAATAAAGAGAAAATAAATAATGAATATAAAAAATTATTGAATCAATTCATCAGCTCCAGATTCAATACTATTTATAGTCCTTGAACGAGGTCGTGCGCAGTGTGAGAACTGAAAATTTTTTCTGATTGTATGCAGTCCCTCATCAGATGAAGTAAAAATTACATCACTAAAGGTGCATGAGTTTTATTAGTATGGTGGTGCTACCAGTTGGTAAAGAAGTCAAAAAAAAATGGAAAAGAAAAAAAAAAATTTTTTTAATTAAGCGCGGACTAAGTAATAATAACACTCAAATTGCCGTATTGGGATGTGCAACTAATATGTAGAATAAAAGTCCGGTTATCAAAGAGATACTGTTGTTAGTGGCCTATATGTGTAACAGTAGGATTCATCAAGTATTCTCAGATTGGCATATGATTGGGTACTACGATGGTGTCGTCATAGTTTTTAGTCAAGTTTTTTTACTAAAAAATATCCAAAAATATCACAATATTGTAATTAAGTATGTACTAGAAAAGCAACTTAAGTCAAAACCTTTTTGAAAGTAGTAAAGAGAAACATTACTAGTTGGTCCGATCTGATATTAGATGAAATGAGATGAAATATTGACAGCTAAACCAAAGAAAGCATATTTGCCCTATTTTCATTAATATAATAGTCTTGGACTACTAAACTCAAATGACCAATTTACATGTTAGGTTACGTTTGCACTTCACCAATTATTGAATGTCTTTACATTTCAAACTTATTAGTATTCAACCCAAGTGATTATATTCTGGAAATTTAAGGGTTGAACATGTAGTTACCAGAAACTATCATATCCATATAACATCACGCAGACTAATGTTGAAATCTAGTAAATCTATTTATTATCCCTAGCACTATTAGCAATCAACTGACTCACCACCATGTTATCTCTAACTTTAAAACATTTGCAACTTTAATACAGTAGATTTAGTATAAAACTCTTCAACATAATTCGCATATGTTTACTTAGTTAACAAAAACAAAAGAAAAAAGTCGTGCACATCTCCGAATGTAAAATTGAGCCAAAAAAATAAAATAAGCCTCAACAGGGAACTTGCTTGCCAAGAAAATGGTGATAAATTTTTGTTCAATTCCCGAATATAATTTGGGGGGGGGGGCTTTACTTGTTAAATCACCGAATGATAATTCATCTACTGCCGTGTAATGACTAAGGTGATAAACACTTTAGATTCGATGTAATTACAAAGTCAAACAAACATGGCTCGAAAAAATAAAAGACAGTATATAAACCCAACCGATGTGAATTAAATTCTAAAACTATATATATATATATATATAAAGCAATCCTGATAGAATAATAATAATAAAAAAAAAAACCAAATGAAAATCAAACCCTAAGAGAAACCAATAATAAATAATAAGAAAAATTTACACATAAGCAGACTACTCAATTATTTACCTTCTTGTTCCTCTAATCTTTTAGCTTCGTCCATTAGAGGTCGAATACATAACCAACCAGTTTCAGTACGGAAATGTCTGCTTAAAGCATCACTTCTAGCAAATTTCTTACCACATCCCCATTTAGTTACACCATCTTTTAAATAACCTTCACATTTGAAATTTTTAACACCTTGATGTAATAATTCATGACGTTTTTTATCATGAGATCTAGCAAAAGATTTTGGACAATGTGAACATTTAAATGGTTTTTCTGTGGAATGAGTTTTCATGTGAGATTTTAAATTATATGGTTTTTGAAACACTTTTGAACAAACTGTACATGGATATGATTCAGCTGGTGCTGGTGTAGAATTTGCTGATAAACTTTTGGATGATGTTCTTCTTTTTCTTTTTAAGGATGGAGAAATTGTGTAAGATACCAAGGAAGAATAATCGATATTATCTGATGACAAGTTTGGCAAAGTTGGTGATGATTGGTACAGTATTGGTTGTTGATATTGAGATTGATGTTGATACTGTGGTTGATATGAGTGTTGGTACATTTGGGCTTGAGCTTGTGCTTGAACTTGTCCTTGTTGTGTTTGTTGAATTTGCTGTTGTTGTTGGTAAGGAGCATAGTCAAAAGGAAATGGTTGAGAGAATGCTGAAGCGTTTTGGGCTGGAGAAGCCAAAGCCAAGTTTATATCTTGCAGCTGAGTAAAGTAAATTGAAGGGAGTTGAGCCTGGAAAGGTTGAGGGAATAACAAAGACTGTGATTGTGATTGTGACTGTGGTTGTGGTTGTTGCATAGGCTGTTGATAAGTATTTGGGGAAGTTGACACTGACGAATTACTTGGATAATAATAAGGAAGACTATTACTATTTGTAGCGGTAGCAGTTGTAGAAGGGACAGACATAGTAGACATGATGATTGACATATATAATTATTACCGTTGCGGCTTTTCAAAAAAATAATAAAGGAATAAATAGAAAATACCAAGAAAAAAAAAGATGCTAGATTGTTTGAACGGAGAAAGGAAAAGGAATTATATTTATATACTGCGGGAGAAAAGATAGTAGATGATATGTAACCACTACATTACGTAAAAAGGAGCCTGACAATAAAGAGAGAGAGGAGAGGAAGAGGGAGAAAACGGAGAGAGGGGGTAACAGCATACAGGCAAGAGATTAGACTGTGCAATTGTTCGGGTGAAAATTAGCACCACGCAGCACAGCACAGCTCAGCTCAGCAAACATTACACAAGGAATTAGAATAAAAATTTTTCTTTTTTTTTTTTCGTTTTTGTCCAATTTGGTATTCTGTGTGATTTTCATTTAATTGAGTAAAGTTGGGTTGATTTGGGTTAAGCTGAGTTGAGTTTAGATTAGGATTGTTTCTTTTTTGTTGTTGTTTTGGGATTTTAACTTGACTTGCATTCGTTATGATACAAAATTAAAAGTGAAATTCATTGATAACCCAGAGAGCACTACGAAATAAAACAAGTCAACGTGCAACACATGGAATACTGCAAATGTTTTCCGATAGATGGGTTTACATTGACTAAATTAAGTTTCAAAATCGTGGAAATTAACTATGGATGTCATACACCAACCCAGAGTAGTTACTCCTCGTATTACATGTAATATTCTTTGAGATGTCCAACATTATCATTGAGCACTTTTTTTTTTGGTTTAATCTATTGCATTTACGTGGTGTTATGTTTTTGTATTTGTTGAAAATTCCTTCATTTACGTTTACGTGGGGTCGTGTGTGCGCGCACACAATATTGTTCGATAAAAAAAAATGACGCAATAAGTAAAATGTGAGATTTTGTGTAAATTGGATTTCCAGACGGATTGATATGTTTTTCTTGGCACTGGCTTATTCGGTGATTCTCTTATATTGATTTAATTTGTATGCAATGATTGATAGTAAACAGCGAAAACGGATTAATTTGATACCCAGGTTGATTGGACAAAGTAATGAAAAAGAGCGAGTTGGTGTAAATCAACAAGAGGATAGAAGCACACAGTGACTGAACAATTTAATGTACACAGGAAAGTTTTTTTATTATTTTTTTTTGTCAATGTCCTTTCTGCACTGCCTATTTTTTTTTTTGCTTCCTATGAGCAAAATTAAAAAAAAAAAAAAACCAATTCGCATCGATATCCGGGCCCCCGAAGGAGTTGTACTTTGACGATACATGAGGGATTTTTTTTTTTTTCGTTTGTACACTACTTGCATTTGTTGCGATTTTTTAAACCTTTGTGCCTTTTCATTGAAGGTTCTGATTACCAGTGAATGTTTAGGTAAGTGATAGTGTGAAGTAGAGCTTAAGAGATCTAACATAAACAAATAATAACTATATTCACATGGCTGACAAGGCTTTTTCTTGTGGTTATTGTAGGAATTGATTTATTCGAGAATGCGGATCGATGCTAAAAATATCTTAAAAGAAGGGGTTATACTAAAGAATGCACTCAAATAAACTTGCACATTTCAATTAATGGCTTAGTATGTTTCTCCACCCGTTTCTTGCTCATTTGATCTTTTTAGTCATTCACCGGACCGCTCGATACTTTTTTAAATTAGTCTTCTCAGACTCTCCTCTTCCTCCTCTTCACAGAGAAAAATATTACCTATTAAGCACCTCTGCAGAAAGATGAGGATGAAAATCTGAAAGCCTTTCATTGGTCGAGATATACCTCACCTTAAATCCGACGGGTTGTACTGCTTTCAACAACCATTAAATGTACCACACAAGACAAGTAAAATCTGGGCTCCTCTTATGTCTAACAAAACCACTCTTAATCCTATCCCCCCTTTTTTTATCTAGTAGCCTAAGCCATTATTTCACATTCAAGGCTGGTGTGATGAAGGGGAATCCCGCTACTTTGGGTTTCTGTTAATTCGGCAATTCATGAAATTTCTTGGCAAAATTAAAAATTGTGTAACTGGCAATTGATTTACATATTAAGCCAAAGGGAAAAACAAATTGTTCTGGTTCTGGCTTTTGCTGCTTTTGCGTATGCCAAGAAAAAAAGTCATATATGTATACAAATTTTCTATTCACGGTGATTCAAGTACATACAAGGCTGAAATTGCAACAAAATAAAAATGATGGCTTATAACAAACAAGGAACAAAATAAAAAAAATGAGAAAGAATAGGAGATATTGATGTAGATGTGGTTAACTAGAAAAGGAAATATCCTATTTATCGTAAGTATATCCAAAGAGTAATTCACACAAAGGTGTTTATTTATCCATATGGACCCATTTCCTCTTTCCTAGCGGCATCGCGGTAAGACACGTTAAGATTTGTCTTCCTCAAAGAGGCAATGCTACAAGAAAAACAACCCTTGACTGGAAGTTAAAGATTAATTGGTTGACTATCTCATCTTTTCCTCCGATTCAGGCTAAGACACAGTCTTGTCTATATGTGTTTTTGAATCTAGATTCGTTGACTTGTAAATTATAATGGTATCGGTATGTGCCATGTTCTCTCTATACACAATCCATCAACATCGATAGTCCTGGACGTTGATTTTTGATTCTTATTGCTAGATTACAAGAAATACCAATGACGTAGACAACAACCAGCATGGATATATATTTCCACCGGATGTGAACCTGGCCAATGGGTATTTAGTCACATCCGTAACCGGTATCAATCCTGTGTTGGTGTGAAAACGCTTCCAAAATAAAATTGCTACAAAATATGAAGATGTGCATCATACTTCAGAAATCCCACATTTCTTTTTGTTATTTTCTTAACTATCCCTTTGACTCGGATTGTGGATAGAGAACTACTCCCAAAAGAAGGTAGAACTATTGGATATTACAATATACTACCCGAAGAGTTGCGTAGACCATAGCGATACAAAATGATGAGATATATCACGTGTTTATCAACGTTAGAGTTGTGTTTGCAAATTTGCACAACACAAAGAACAAGGTGGTATCTGCTAGGTTTTCAACAGAATCATGCAGTTCATATAAATGTCACGTAGTTTGTTATGATTTTTATCATCATGAAAAAAACAGTTCATGTAGAATCATCAAGCTCAGACTTGCAGTTGTTCATAGAAATCAGCTCTCTGGTGATTTGGGTTAGTAAAGTTATGCCTGGTGAAATAACGTACTTCATCAACCATAGTAATATAACTACAAGCGACAAAAGTAATTGATCCTTGAGAGTCCCAAGATCATCAATATGGATCCACGTATCCACAAAATAAATGGCAGCCATAACTATGTGTATGAACAAAAACATTTCATACCATCGTCTTCTGAAGAAAAGCATCGCCTGTAACCAAATCAATCCACCAGCAATAGTAGCAACAATACCCCAGTAGAAGTAGGGTTCTGCTGCCTCACTGGAGTAATACTTACCTTCCAAAATGGTAAAATTCACAGAGTGAATTATAACCAAGGCAATTTGAGTTCTGCATCCCCAGAATGAGACTTTTTTTTTTTGCAACATTCACGGACATACGAATCTCAGATTGAACTTAGATAGGAGTTTAAGATATTAAACAATTTTACATGTCATGTGATATTTGATCACGATATCCCATAAATACTTGTTTTTTAACTAACAAATCTAAATAATAATAAAAAAAAAGGAAATCATTTACAAATCAAAAAAGAAGAGTTAGAACTATAATATATATATAAAAAAAGTTCATTAATCACATGGAAAGTTTCTAAGCAGTAGCAGCAGCTAAGGCAGCACCAAGAGCAGAACCCAGCTTGGAAATAGTAATAACGACCTTTTTATCTGTTCCTTTCAAAGGATTAATCAAGTTGATAACTTCACTAACTTTTTCTCTGAAACCTGGGTAAAATTCAACAACTGAACCATCAGCTGCAATTTCTAAATCGTATTTTTCGTCTTTATGTTGATCCTTGACTCTCTTGGCAACACCAGCAAGAGCAATAGCAGCCAATTTAGCAGAACGTTTCAGAATAGCTCTGGTAAGTCTTTGGATAACTTCTCTTTCATCTCTGGTAGTTTCCAATCTCAAAACATTCTCCAAGATCAACTTAGACATCTTCAAATCAGTCGAGTCATCAATTTGAAGGTAAGACAAGACTTCGGAGTCCAACAACCATGGTTGATCAATTCTATGAGGCAATGAACCTCCTCTTCTCTTGTACAAATCTTGGAAAATCAATCCTTGTTTAAACAAATCAATTAAAACAACTCTTAAAATTTCACCCAAAAATCTACCACTGATTCTCTTTTCAAATAAATGGTAGCCAGGGTTAGGAGTTTCAGCATCAACAGCATCATCGAATTTGGTGCGTGGCAAAATCTTCAACTCATTATCAAAAGAACCCCATTCGGTATTGATAAGCATACCATCAGCACCAGCTGGTGGATTCTTCAATTTGGAAATCTTATCAATAGATTCATAATATGCACCGTTAGTACCAGTACCGAAAATACATCCAACAACAGTGGTGGCATTAGATTCGTCCCTATCATTAAGATAAGCTCTGGCAATCATTGAGGCAGTGGTATCGTTAACCAAAGCAACAACCTTGACATTGACTTCCAAAATGGTCAAATTAGCTTGGAACAAATCAACCACATCACGATCAACAGTATCAGGAATATCAAAACCTTTAGTCCATCTAATCAAGGTACCATGATCAATATCAGTTTGGTTTACTGGGAAACTAAAAGTGAATCCCAATTTAATTGTTTGGGACTTCTTGGCAGTACAAGTTTCTGGATGGTGGTCCATCAAAAATCCTTGAACTCTTTTGGCCAAGTAAGCAAACAATTCACCGGACTTGGTACCTTTCATCAAAGTGTCAGGAATTCTAAACTTTTCTTGTTGCAATTCATAAGTATGGTCACCATGCAAATCAATTGAACAAACTCTGAAGTTGGTACCACCCAAATCAGCAGCCAAATACAAACCCTTTTCTTTACCGGTTGGCAATTTGGTGACATAAGTTGGAATCATAGGAATTGTTTCTCTAGATTGTTCTGGGGCCTTCAAACCAACGTCCATTTGTTCAACAAAATAATCAGTGGCCTTGATTAAGTATTCATCGGTGATGTCAAACTCTTTCTCGAGTGATTGAAGGGTAGATTCTAATTTTTCTGGGAGGGACATATCAATGATAGTGGGAGTTTTTATATATATATTATTAGTGGAGGAGAGTCGGGGTCTGCACCTAAATTTATGAAAATGAAAAATATAAACAGACGATTAAATGTCAATTCAATTGAAAGAAGAACCACAATTGAAAATGAATTGATATTTATATATGTATATATATAGAAGAAGAAGAAGAAGAAAAAAGAGAATCAACAACAGGTGATTGGAATTGCTATTTAAACGGATTCGTCTCCCTTCCCCCCCCTTGATGATTATTTTTTTTTTATTGCTGGGTTATTATTTCTTAGTTAAGGACAATGCATACAAAATATTTTTTTCTCTTGTGCTGTTGGTTATTTTATTCATTACATAAAATTTTGTAAGACAGAACTTTAACAATTTTCAAGGAGTTCTGAATTCCGATAATATTCAGATTTCCGGTTTGTGTACTTCCTACTTCGGATTTTTTGCTCTTTTTTTTTCTTTCAACAAAGTAAGACAATGTAACGTCTGGATAAACTAATTGTTATGTAATTCCTGGGTAGTTATTACTATTAAAGAGTTATTCTTTATAAAGGGACAATGGTTCTGGAATTGTGTAGTCTAGGTTAAATTTATTGCGGGGGGCAAGGAAGGAGGTTTCTGTACGTGCAACTTTAAATTTTTAGCCACGCAGCACGTGATTCGGGGTTGTTTTGTTTTTGTGAATTGATGTTGACTGCCCTAAATCGTAGCCATGATTTTCCCTCTATTAACAAATCACCTGAATTCAATGATATATATATATATATTATCGTCATTAGTTGTTCTACTATTCCCCCTATCTCGTAAAGTTAAAAAAAACGTTCGTAATTGCTAAACAATGTTGATTGGGTGTGATTCGCAAGAAAAGATTTATTGTGATGACAAGTTAGATTAACCATAAATATTAACGTGTAAAGTGAGTAAATTACTTTACTAACTATTAAAATTTCTGTGTACTTTCATACCCAACCAACAAGGTTGTAGTGCGCGTACCATATATCGTGATTTGGTAAACGTGACATGTATATATATTGTCTGGTCAGTGTTGTGTGTGCAAGAGAGTCCAAAAAATGAATCCTCCTCAACCCCCCAATCGTACAGTTTTGATTTTGCACTACTTTTCCCATTTTAGTTTCTTTTTTGGGTTGTTTCTTTTTTTTTTTTTTGTTCGTTTTGCAGTTTTACCGAGAATTGTTATTCTGATTCAATTTCACCGAGACCATAATGGATAATGTTGAAAAATACGCACCAGTACCTTAGCATTTTCTCCATATTTCGGGAAAACTACATTTTATCGATAAAGGCATATCACAGCTCATCGTAGAGTAATAACTAAAAAAAGCACTATATAAACCTACCCCGATTTCCTTTTTTTTTGGCAAATGAATTATTTTATGTTTTTCTTCTTTTTTTTTTTCATTATTCATTCCATTGCATTTTATTTCAAATAATACCCATCTCATCCTTTTTATAAATCATCATGTCTTTTACTTCATTTATCAAACCAGAATCTGACCCAAACATCATTGTTCCAACCAAACCATTCAACTTATCGCCAAATATCGTTGAAAGATTTTCCCTTAAAGATAAAGTCACTGTTATCACTGGTGGGGCCGGTGCTATTGGTGGTGCCATTGCTGAAGGTTATGCTCAAGCTGGTGGTCATGTTATTTTATTGGATTATGCTGATAACGACAATGGATTAAGTGCCAGATTAGCTAAGACTTATGGTATCAAGTCCAAATTTATTAAAATTGATGTCACTGATGCTAAACACGTTGAACAAGTTATTAACCAAATTGATGAAGAATTTGGTACTATTGATGTTTTTGTTGCCAATGCTGGTATCGCTTGGTACACTGGTTCTATCTTAAACCAAGATTCCACCCCAGAAAGTTGGAGACGTGTTTTTGATGTTAATGTCAATGGTGTCTTTTACTGTGCCAAATATGCTGGTCAAATTTTCAAAAGAAACGGTAAAGGTTCATTCATTATCACTGCTTCTATGTCTGCTCACATCAACAATGTTCCAAACTATCAAACTTGTTATAACTCTGCCAAAGCTGCTGTCATGCACATGGCTAAAGGTTTAGCTGTTGAATTTGCTGGTTTCGCCAGAGTCAACTCTGTTTCCCCAGGTTACACCAACACCTTGTTGTCTGAACCAATTCCAAAACCACAAAGAGCCAAATGGTGGGGTTTGACTCCTATGGGTAGAGAAGCTGAAACTGATGAATTGGTTGGTGCCTATCTTTACTTGGCCAGTGATGCCTCTTCATTCACTACTGGTTCTGATATTAGAGTTGATGGTGGTTACTGTTGTGTATAAGAGAGAGAGAGAGAGATTAGTTTGTTCTGTGTGATCTGTTCTGTTAATAGTTAGTCTTTTCCTTTAATGTTTTGTCTTGCATTGTTATAGATTGTGAAGTTTAATGTATTACCATTGCTAATGGTAGTATATATATATATATTTCACTATTTAATTATACGATTGATATTTATGAGTTTGAAGGAAATATGTGTACCTGGTTCAAAAAAAAAAAAGAATCTTGTCCTTATGACGTAGTTCAGGCACGCGATTTAGTTCTGCATAACTCCCAGTTCGCTCTCTCGCCATAAGGTGTGTCAAGTGCCACCGCGGTAACGTTAGATTAAAGGGGGGAACACACACACACACGAATCGACACAATGGAGAAAAAAATTTTTTCTGTTTTTTTTTTCAACAACTAACAAACCTGTACTCTTGGTCTGGCCACAACAATTCACTTAATTCGACTTTATTACGTTCCTTGTCTATCTTATATCTAGATGTTGTATTATTTGCTATTTATTTTACAGTTAGTCTCGGCTGTAGTTCCAAATGTAGGGAGAATTTCATCTCAAGTAGCACCAAATCCTCATTATTCATTACCTAATCTATTAACCATTGATTCGAAAACTGATATAAATAATTGGGAAATATCAGAAAATATTCAATTTGATAACGGTAGATTATTACTTGGTCAATCAGGCTCCATATGGAATAAATACAAGATTCCAACTTCAAACAAACAATGGACAATTGAATTGGTATTTAGATCAACAGGTTTAGATGCTGATAAGGTTTATTTGGAAAATGGTTTAACTGTATGGTTAGTCAATGACAATGAAGGTAACAATATCCCAACCAATGTTTTTGATGGGTTCAAAATTGAAATGAATAATAAAGAACAACCAGGTTTGAAACTTTATAATAATGATGGATCACAAGAAATTAGCACTGATTTAAACCATGCCTTGGGTCAATGTAAATTTCAATATTTGGAATCAAATGTCCCATTCACTTTAAGACTTTCATATGATGAAAATAAATGGTTTAAAATTCAAGTCGATAATAATTTATGTTTCAAAACTGATCAAGTTAAGATCCCATTTAATGATATTTTATTTGGTATTACTAGTGATGTTTCCCCACAATCACAAGAACAATATGAAATATTGGGTTTAAAAACATGGGAAAAATTAACTGAAGATGCCACTGATGACCATGGTTTAATGATTGGAGATGAAATTAAAATTGATGTCAAGAATCAAGTTAAAGATGATGATGATAATAATAATAATAATAATAATAATGAAGTTAAACCTGGCCATATTCGTGAATCTTTAATGGAAAGAGCACAAAGAGTTAGACAAGAAATGTTGAAAAAACAACAAGAAGAAGATGCTCAACTACAAAATCAAGAATTTTCACAACAAGGTGGTAATGGTGCATCATTTGACTTGATTATTTCCAAATTAAATCAATTGGAAATCAGTGTAAATACTTTAAATAATCTTGAAGAAGATGCAGAAATTATTGCTATTAACAATAAGATCAAAGAATTGAATAATGCTCAAGAAGTTTTAAAATCCACTGTTGATGATACTAAAAAAGCAGTTCAAGATTTGGAACAAACTTTAGTTAGACAATATTCACAAATGTTGGATGCTATTGGTCAATTAAATCAAAAAGTCATTGGTGAAGTAAGAGAACAACATTCAGGAATGGAAGAATTGAGTAAAAAAGTTGATTTATTAATGAATAATCATAAAGAAATCTCATATCAATATCAAAATGCTAAAGAATCAGATTCTCCTAATGGCGTAGGTACTACTGTTGATGTATTAATGAAATGGGTATTGTTCCCATTAATGCTTATATTATTAGTATTGGTTGTATTTGTCTATCGTCTTAGACACGATATCAAACATTCAAAATTATTGTAAAGAAAAAAGAAAAAAAAAGATAAATAGAAATACACACAGACTCACAGGTTATACATACATATATATATATAAATTATCACGACATGCATACTATACTATACTAATTACTATGAACTCTTGCTTGGTGATGCTGATCTTGAACCTGATCTCGAAATGGCATCTTGAAAGTCTTCTATCGATTTATTTTCAAAGTCTTTAGCCATATCCTTGACTGACGATTTTCTTTCTAAACTTGGTGCAAATTTAGGAGGAGATGACAAGTCAGTGGCAGATTGATTTGGTGATTTATCATAAATAATGTCTTTTGCTGGACGATATGTCACTGGTGCTGGAGGAAGGGCCTTTTTCCCATTAGAAGATTTCCCATTCTCTTCATTGAGTAATACATTTAATTTCTTCTTCTTAGGAGATGGTGATCTTTTCAATCCCATGGCTTGTTTTGGAGCGTCATCATCATTGCTCTTTACTCCTTCCAGTTGAGCATCCTTTTTGATTTGACTCTTTACGGCACTTTGTAATCTGGATTCTAATCTGGATTTAGATTTAGCAACTAAATTATCAGCCGCGCTGTGACTCTTTCCTGATTTAATTGATTCATGACGAGTCAAACTACCGTGTCTCGAAATAGCAGGTGATACACTATTCCCACCTCTAGTTGAGCTCTGACGTCTCAATTCGTTGAATATATCCTGTTTGTTATCAAACAAGTCATTCATCAATGTAACTTGGAACTTGTCGTTAAGATAACTACTTTCCAAATTATTCAAAACATCAATCTTTGGTCTCAAGACCAATGATCCAAACTCTTTAGCCAATCTATGCTGCAATTCAAGGGCAGAATCTTTGTTTTGAGTACCAATAATACTAACAAGTCTGTTCAAATGGGTTAAAATCGCATCTAACGTAGCAAGGTTGCATTTTGGCAATTCAGACAACACATTCTGTAATCCATTGATTCTGGAATCAGACTGAGATTCGTCATGGTAGTTTGTATAAAGTAATTTAATTACATCATAATAGTTGTGTGGGATAATAGAATCTGGCAATTCCATGAAATACAATTTCAACACATTTGTTATGAGTAATGGATGAGATTCCTTTAAAACGGCAGTAATCTTGCTTGGGTCTTGTAATTCATTCAATTGGAATCTTAATTTATGAACATTAGAAAGGTGTACCGGTTGGGTCCAAAGATTGACTCTCTCTTCGTCATTCTGAACATCAGGATACACATTGTCCAATTGGCTCAAAATACATTGAATAATATATGGAACCACTTTTTTGTCCAATCTGGCCTTGACATTTAGATCAACACCAAATGTCTGATTAATGTTTGAATCATAGTAATTGTCGTATAATGTAACAATTGGTTTAAATTTACCAGTACCATAATTTTCAATTAAAAACTTTAAATCATTGATTGGGTTGATAGTTTCTTCTAATAAAACCAACTCGTCACTAACAGTTTTCAAATTGCTAATTCTGTTGGCAAAACTGGAAAGAAAATCAAAAGTAACCTTCTTGATGGCTTTTAATCTATCTAATTCACATTTTTGCATGAATGTCAAATGATCCATGGCTACTTCTTCAAATTCACATCTCAATTTATCGAGTTCAATAACAGCATTTAGATACTGAGTATCGAGATTATTCACATCATTGATTAATCTAGGTAATTGAGATTTATCACTGAAGTCGACAGTATTAACCCCCATGGCCTCTTTAACATCTTCAAACTTAAATGACAATGACTTGGCTAATGAATTATCGACAACATGTTCATTCTCGACACCGGCCAATTGGAATGCTAAATCCTTCCATTGATAGAAGAATTGGGAAGAATTGATAAATGATTTGCCAATGGTACCAACGACTCTAATAAACTCGTTTCTAATCAAGTCCTGTCCAAAGATTTCTGCCTTTTCCAAATTCTTATTAAATTCAGGCATGTTTTCCAACAACCATTGAGTAATGCTACTACCGGTAGAAACATTCTGGTAGGTACCGAAAATTGGAACTTTATGAGGCGCCATTGGGATCTTGCTCAACATGTCTTTGAGCAATGCTTTCATTTGTTTCTTATCATACTTGGCATGGGTAAACTCAAAAATTTCAGCATCTTCTTCATCTCCTTCACCTTGTTGATGTTGTGATCCGGTTCCAGTAGCTTTGCCATCACCACCTTCAATTGGTGTATGCTGCTTCCCCGTGTCTTCACCCAAGGATAACTCCCTTAATTCTTCTTGTAATTCCTCTTCACTGAAATGGGACTTGAACTCTTCCAACATTCTACATTTGTTGAAGTATTTTTTTTGTATCTTGTCGACATTCAATTGGTGTTGCTTCAACAACTTGTACTTATCCTTCAATGTAAATTCTGAAAAATTGACACGTTGTTCATGCTCTCCACACCATTTTTCAAAAGGTTGTAACACAGTTGATTCTATATTTTCAGCAATGTTCAAATGATATTGGCCTTGTTTATAAAATGTTTCATTCATCTTTGTGTATGCATTCTTAATGGTTGAAACAAAATCATCATTCAACTGTCTGGAGCTGGTTGGTTTAGAATCCGAGATTATAGATTCCAAAGAATTCCCATAAATGATTTCCAGTTCCATTCTTTTCTCAAATAATTTAATGAAATCATTGTTCTCCAAAATACCTTGATGCAACTGCACAAACAATTTCTCAAACCCTTGATGGTAATCTTGAGTCCAAAAGTTTTCAGCAAACGACATGACTAAGGGGTATACAATATCTTCTTGGTTGTAAAAAGAGAGAAAGAAAAAGATCGTGATTGAGTTTTCTCTTTTTCTTTCTATTTTTTTTTGGTTGTCTGGTTTGTTTTTGTTTTATAATTTTGTCCCTGACACTTGTTGTCTGCACACTAAAGAATAGAAAATATTTGTTGTTCTGTTCTGTCCTGTTTGTGATGGACCTGTGGCCTGCGCCTACGCCTACGCCCGCACCCACACACGGTAGGTGGAATTTCAATTCGTCGCGGTATGATTTTCAGTTGTGAGTTGTTCTTTCTTTATTTGTGTTTTGTCTTGTATCGTTAAGAAGAACTTTAAATTGCAATACATCAACTGGAGTTACTCCAACTCGAATTAATTAGTCTTGTGACCATCACGTTGCATCTTACATATATTAAACTATGTGACCCACTACTTCGTGGTGATCTGAACCTCAACAAAAATAAAAATAAAAAATTCCTTTTCTCTTGACGATCCGTTTATTCTTTGCTTTCATTTACGAACTATTTGGATCTTGAAAGACAATAACAAATAAACACTCGCAGCCCTGGTTTACCTAATCAATTGTTCTATTAGCCATTACTTGATTGTTGATTTGTGTGCTTCTTATCAATGTTATTGTCTTGATGAAAGTTTGGTAAACCTGATGTCGTTCAAGTTTTGTTACTGCCGCGTCGTGTAAATGCAGAATTGCATTCAATTCTGAAACATCTAATGATCCCAGTATTTGTGTGTGTGTGTTTATTATTAGCAATCAGTAATTTTCTTGTCAGTCGCTCTCGTAGGGTTTACTCATTATCAATTTTTTCACCAACTGATTTCTTAATTTGATAAAATTTTCAAGCAAATTTCACACAAATATTGGAAACTTTATCGAAAACCAATAAAGAATTACATCTTAATATTGATTTATACTTTACAACACTCATTTAAATGACCACTCTTTTCAATCCCTTGATTGGTTGATCTCCTGCCGCGCCGCACAAGGTGCGGACCCACTCTAGTGATTTCTCTTGCGTAATAAGATCAGAGAGAATGAAAAGAGAAGAAGAAGGAAAAAAAAATTTAAGAGAAAATCTAAATCCATGAAATATCACTGCTATACCACAGACAGACCAACATGATTCTACGCAATACTTATTCGAGGTTATCACGTAACTGTTTTGTCCCTATTCGTAGAATCACACAGTCTTTAACCCTTGGAAATGACACATCCAAGAAGAACACAGTTCCTCCACATGAGAATGGATTATACTTTGGAAAATTCACCAAAGAAGAATACGAAGAAGCTAAAAAAGCAATAGAAGAACAAATATCAAAATTAGAGGGCCAGATTAAAGGTGATTATAATATTCGTGAAAATATAGGTAAGATTGCCCAATTCCCAGAACCTAGCGATAAATCTTCTTCACCAAAAAAAATAAATAATTTGACTGATTTATTCCAACAAACTATAAAATTAACTGGCCCCTTACCATTAAGTGCTTATATGAGACAATGTCTTACACATCCTGAATTTGGATATTATACTACGAGAAATCCCTTGAGTTTAAGAACAGGAGATTTTATCACTTCACCGGAAATTTCATCTGTATTTGGGGAAATGATTGGAATATGGTATTTCAGTATCTGGCAACAACAAAATTATCCAAAACATATAAGATTCGTTGAATTTGGTCCAGGTAAAGGTACTTTGATATTCGACGTATTGAAAACCTTCAACAAATTTGTGGAAAAATTATCCAAAGAAAAACCAACCATTGAAATTTCATTGATTGAAGCTTCGAAAGTCTTGCGTAAAGAACAATGGAAATTGATGTGTGATCCAGAACAACCTTTTGAAACAACCGAAGAAGGTTATAACAGATCAGTGACGAAATGGGGGAATGAAATTAGTTGGTTGGATACTGAAAAGGATATTAAACATGACAATGAAATTGCCAACTTTATAATTGCTCATGAATTCTTTGATGCTTTGCCTATTAAAGGATTTATTCGTGAGGAGAAAGGTTGGAGAGAATTAATGGTTGAACACACTCCAAGTGTGAACAATACTCAACTTAAGTTAGAGTCCAAAGAAACCCCACAAGAAGAGGACGAATCGTTGAATACTGAATTCCATTTAACCATAGCTCCTAAAGAAACCCCATCATCAATGATACCTCAAATAAGTAAGCGTTATCGTGACTTACCTGTTGGAACACGAATTGAGATATGTCCTGATGCAGAATTATACATTATGAAAATGGTTCAATTATTGAATAATTCTAACAAGGGTGCGATTTTAGTCATAGATTATGGTACTGCAAATGAAATACCTTCAAATTCATTAAGAGGGATTCACCAACACAAGTTTGTCTCACCCTTCTGGAACCCAGGGGAAGTGGATTTATCAATTGATGTTGATTTTGAAAATCTCAAGTTGTTGACAAACGATATTGTTGAAAGTTTTGGACCAACTTCACAAGGAGACTGGTTGCATAATATTGGTATTGGTTATAGAGTCGACCAGTTGATCAAGATGAATAATGAAGCTCCACATGTTCAAGATAAGATTTATGGGGCATATAGAAGATTGACAGATAAGGACCAAATGGGTAATATTTATAAGTTTTTAGCTCTCTTACCAAAGGGATCATCAGCTCCTCCTGGTTTCTAGAGTGTTTCTGTATATAGAATAACATATTTATTAATCATCGTTGTACGATTATCTTCGTAGTGTTCTCTCACCACTGAATCCGAGAATTCAACCAAAACTTTGTTCAGTACAAGAAGGAAAAAAAAAAAGACGAAACCAGAAAAAAGACGCAACAAGTCAACGGATACCGACGAAAAAAAAGAGGAAATCCAACAACTACAATCAAAACCCAAGACCACCACTAAACAAACAAACAAGAACAATTATCAACACAATGTCATCAGAAGATTGGAGAAGAATAGATATTGACGCATTAGAACCAGAAAACCATTTAACCAAAGAAGAACTATTACCAACTGATATTCCACCTACTTCAATTGATCAAATTCAATCAGTTGCCAGTCAAATTAGATCAAGTTTATCATCAGGTCAATTCCAACTGGCTTTAATATTAGGTTTGGACAATGTACCATATATTGCAGATGAACAAACTAAAGAATTACACGCAAAGACTATATTTGAAGTATTGTGTTCTATTAGAAATAACAACAACATAAATGACTTGACTGGATTTGTTAAAGGTTTGAATAAAGAACAACAAGATGTTTTAATTAAATATTTATATAAGAGCATGAGTAGTGGATACGGTCAAAAACAAGGTGGTTTATTGTTGAATTGGTTTGAAAAAACTGTCGAAGTTACCGGTATTGGCTCAATTTCCCGTTATTTAACTGATAGAAGAACAGTTTAGATTGGTTTAAAACAAAATGATAAACACATTATATATATATATATTAAGTAGGAAATGAAACGAATAAATATATCGACAACAAATGTATAACAAAAGAAAAAATTCAACAGCGATAAAGTTATGTAGATTATTTTCCGGCCGAAGTATCTGTACTTTCGAATCTTTGGCACTTTGAACGATCAATTTTATATGGTGAAACTGATCTTTTTTTATGGTGAGCCGATTTCTTCGATGGTGAAGTATTAATTTTTGATGAAGAAGGTTGTAAAACTCTCTTGTTGACTTCAGTAGGTTTGATTCCCAAATCAATATTTGTATAAATTGGATCATTAATCTGTTCTTTCAACTGAAACTCCAAGTTATTTATTTGCTCTTTCTGAAATTTAATCTTATCATTCAACTCAGCGACTACTCCAGCATGTCTTTCTTTCAATGAATGAACCTCGTTGCTCTTCTTTTGTAATCTTTCGGTTTTAGACTCCCATTCTTCAATCAAATTTTTTAAATGTTGAATTTCATCTTCCTTTTCATTGAGTTGCATTTTATTTGATTCGATAATTTCATTCAATGCTTCCATTTCAAATTTAAGCTTGGCAACATCACTGACTCTCATCTGTTTTTCAATAGCCAAATCAGATTCCAATTCGAATTTCATCGATTGCATTTTTGCTTCAGTGGATTCAGAGTGTTCCTTTAACTGGGAGAGTTGTGATTCATAACGAGAAATCTCAGCAGCATGGATAGCCTCTTGATCTTTTTTACTTTTAGCAGTTTCCTCTAATTGAACTGTCAATTGCTCCACCTCCATATTGATAGATTCAAGGACCTTTTTGGTATCAATTTCACGTTGCTTTAGTTCCTGAATCGACTGTTCAGCTTGGCGGGTTTGTTCAGTATGTCTTTCGTTCAACTCTTGAATAACTTTGTCAGATTTTTCTTTCAATTGACTATGTTGATTATCTCTTTCATTAAGCTGTTTGACAAGTTTTTCAATTTCATTTTTTAATCCTTCGTGAACAGCTTCCACTTGATCTGACTTTGTTTTTAATTTTTCATTCTCAGCAATCAACTCAGCTGATTCTTTGGAAATATCATTAAGTTTATCTTTCAAAGCTTGGTTATCAACTTCAAGTTCCTGCTTGGATTTGCTAATCTCAGAGATCTGCTTCTCATAAGATTTTTCCAACTTGACTTGCTCATCTTTCCATGTTTCATCAGCATTTAGTCTCTCAGCTTTTAATTGAGAGATTTCAAGTTTACACTGTTCAACTAACCCATCCAATTCTTTTTGCTTTTCTGATCCAACTTCAGTCAACTTTTCTAATTGACATTTATATTCGGCTTCTTTGTCATACAATGTTTGTTCTAATTGACCAAGCTTCTGTGATAACTCTTTAATCTGACCATCTTTAGCAAGAATCTGTCCTTTCAACTCGTTACTCGTCTTTGTAGAATTATTTTTAGACTCTTCCAAACCTTCAACCAATGTTTGGATACGAGTTTCCAATTGTGTGATAGTGGTACATTTAGATTTAATTTCATCTTGCAATTTCAATTCGGAATCTTTAAATTTACCTGTAGCTTCATTAAACTCTTGACGGCTCTTTTCAGTCAAATTCAGTGTAATTTGACTTACACGACATTCATGTTGACGAAGTAATTCAGTTTTTTCTGATTCAAATTCTTGATGCATGTTCTCAACTTTTGAATTATGTTCTTCAATCAATTGAAGTACTTGTTCCTTGTTAGCTTCGTTCATATATTCACCTTCTTGTCTGAGCTGATTAATTGTTGATTCCAAACTTCCTAAAACGTTAACAAGTCCTGTTGTTTCCTGTTTGAAACCAAGAAAGTCTTGTTTGATTTCTTTGATTGATTGAACATACTTGTCATGCAATTCTTGTTTTTCGTTCTTTAATTGTTCCAATTTTTCTGCAAAATCGTCAGCAACCGTGTCAGTGCTAGTCGATCTTTGTGCTAAGGACTTCAAATAAATCTTTGAGTTCTTCTCAATGAAAGGATTAGAGTCTAAAGACCGACTGTGGGGATTAGATCTCAATCTAACTCGTTTGACAGTGCTCTTTTCAGGACTGATGGAAACAATTCTTGATCTCTTGGCAAGATTCTTTACTGGACTATGACGACTAGATGAAACTGTTGGCCTTGAATAACTTGGAACTCTTCTAATAGATTTAGTAGTGGTTGTATTATTAGTCGAAGTATTGGACACCGGTGGCTTGAAATTCTTCACTAAATCAGCAACATTAGTCAAGCTTGACTTGATTAAAGAAGGGTTACCATACGGATCTAAGTTCAAGACAAACTTCAAATTCTGGTGCTTAAAGATGAAATTGGTTACCAAGTTATCGGATCTGACATTTTTTGGGTTAACTAATAACTGGGTAATGGCTGAGTTATTTAAATTTGCAAAAGTATTATTGGCTGCGACGCCTTTCTTCTCGTTCCCCATTAAATCGATAAATGTAGTTCTTGTGTTGTTATAATAGAAAGTTACAACAAGACAACTACGAGAAGAATTGGCATTAAATTCAGTAGATTGTGTGGCACGGGATTTGCAAATTTGTTTCCATGCATCGTGACTAAACTTTACTCTCTTCAAAGTACTTTCAAAATTCTGAACATGTTTAAACTCAGATAAAGAAGTATCTAACAAATCAACAACATGTTTGTTTCTGGAAATCTCGAATGCTGTAACAAAAGCAGGACCTTCAAATGTTGATGATTTAGAAGCAACTAACTGTTTCAACATTGTGGTTTTACCACTTGCAGGAGGTCCCATTAAAAGAACACATGAATTGGTATTACTGTCAATCAACTGAGAGTAATTGTTTGTTGAATCTCCAAAAACGTGTTCGAAACTATAGTCGGTTTCATTAAAGCTGATTGTGGTTTCCGAAAGTTGATGAAAATGAGGAACATCTCCAGTAGTATTGGATGACCCCTTGATTTTGAGATATAATGGAATTGAGCTCATCCAGGTGGAAAATAACTAGTTATTGATAGTTTACTAAAGTAGAAATCAACAAAAACGTATAAAAATGGAGACGGGATTGATATACTTGAAAGTTATCTTGATGATGAGACGAATTACTGTTATTTTTTTTTTTGGGTTCAGTGACGAAGATGTAAACAAACAAACAAACAAACAAACAAACAAACAAACAAACAAATCAAGTTTTTTTGTCAATTTCGCGACTTCTCTATATACAGGAAATTAAATAACAGTTATTTCAGTACCAATCTTGTCTATCCATGCGATACGTGTCTATGTCTTAGGGGTGGGGGTTGGCATCGAGTCGACTTGGCGTTGAGTCGACTTGGCGGGAATGTGATACACTTGAAGACGTGTACCAAAGTATATTAAGAATAAAAAGTAGACCAATATGATTAACATTGGAAATACCGCTACGCTATGTTTTCAACGATGATCTTATATACAAGGAAAAGAGACACTTAATGATATTTTTTTTTAAAATATAAATCCATAAAGTGGTGTGAAGACGATCTTCCTCTATAATCGGCATAACTTATGAAAAAGTAAGAGAGTGGTATGTGACAAATTACACTCCTGCACAATATCGTACAAGGAGGTTTCACCCGCAAACTCTAAAGTTGCTGTGTTGGAATAAGGGATGGAGGATCATTGTTATAAATATCAGAGGATTTTCCTACCTAGTGTATGCGAATATCTAATTCAAATACATTAATCAAATGGAGATATATATATATATATATATATATTTACCAAGTATCATCTCTCCACTAACAAAAGTTTGGTCAGAATGTGTTTTTATGACAACGCGACCCAAGAACACGACCTAAGCTCCTGCAGGCGTGTACAGTTGCCAATTCAGTTTTTGAGATGAATTTTTTTTTTTTTCTTCTTCCTGTTCGTTTAAATTGATATTATTTGAAATGAACCTTCGTTTGGATCTGAAAAGTATCAAAACGCAACTAAAGGCTTGTGCTTTGATTATATCCGGTGCTTAGCCAATTTTTTGAAGGGTTATAACGGGGTCTTTTTTGTTGTTGCTTAGTTTTAGATACTTCAAGAGTATGTCTTCAATTAATTTGATGGTATTGATAATTATTTGACTCAGCAAAGGCGTCGGCCCCACTCTCCGATATGACCGACATTCTCGCTCATACACAAAGAAATTCAGAATGTGAACAATCCTTGTGAGTTTAGTACCACTAAAAACAAAGAATTGTGAACCAAAATCAGATGGTTCTATTTTTAAAGAATATTGCGGAAAAATTGCTAATGGTTATTGTGTTATTTTTGCATAATCTAATCGATCTAGTCATGAAATTCGATAAAAAGTGAAGTTTTGGATATGTGAATAATCAATTACGCGAATGATACAATGGACTAAACTAATTATCCGGTGAGAACTAAGCATTGGTAGTACAAGGTAATTCAATACAAGTGAGATCCTGTCAGATGTGAGTGATGAAACTATGCCGGTACTGTTTAAAATAATTCTTTCTTTTAAAAAAAACCAACTATAAACCCTCTAATGTCGTTTAATTGTATTATTACTGGTAAGTTTTCGCGTTCACTTCTGTCCATCACCGGATATTGGCGCCAAGATTTTAGTGCACAGGCTTTGCAGTAAACAATCCCGATTGGGCAAAGAGAAGCACCAAGTTGTATTATATGTACCACAAAGGGAAGTTAGTACGCATTCTGGTGGGTTTTCGCAGTTCTTGGCCTAATTTAAGACCTCGCAGATTGGAAGAAAGTTAATAAATCGTACTAAACAATGAAATCTGGTTGCACTCAATGTACTTGGCATTTTGAATTTCATGGAGTTATCGATCTACTCGCAATATTTTCACTTTTATTTGTCGTTCCTATTGCCTGCTCCGCAAACCTTGATATTTGTGCTAGGTCGAAAGATAGATCTGATTGGATAGAATCTATAAATATCGGAATTGTGAATACATCTAGTCCGTGGACATGGATGTACACATCAATGATTTAAAAGGAAGCCGATTTCTCTAAATTTGGAAGTCCATTGTTTTCTGGTAGTTTTGAAAATCAATAGTCAACAGGGTTATTAACCATGAAGTTCTCAGTTGCTACCACAATTGCTTTCGCTTCACTTGCCTATGCTGAAGCTCCAGCTCCAGCTGTAACTCAGGCTCCAACTGAACCAAAAATTGTTGCCAGAGCCGTTTCTAGAACTGCCAGTATCAATGGTTTCAGTGATCCACTTTATGATGCCGTCCCAGAATGTGCTCAAGCTTGTTTAGTTAGAAGCACCTCCAACACTCCATGTCCATACTGGGATGCTGGTTGTTTGTGTGTTATGCCACAATTTGCAGGACCAATTGGTTTGTGTATTGCTGAAAACTGTAAAGGTGAAGAAGTTGTTTCAGCTACTAGCTTGGCCAATTCTGTTTGTTCATCTGCCGGTGTTCCATCCCCATACTGGAGAATTCCATCAAGTGTCAGTGACAGTTTAGATTACGCTGCCACTGCTATTCCATCTTCCGAAGCCAGCTCAGAAGCTGAAGCTACCTCTTCTGCTGCTGCTGACGAATCATCTCCTGTTGTTGAATCATCTTCTGTTAAAGAATCATCTCCTGTTGTTGAAGAATCATCTACTGTTAAAGAATCATCTCCTGTTGTTGAATCATCTTCAGAACAACCACAAGAAACTGAATCTAGTGCTGCTCCAGAATCTTCCATTACCGATGCCCCAGAATCACAATCCTCTTCATCCGCCACCACCACAGCTGTTATCAGAACTGCCAGTATCAATGGTTTTGCTGATCCACTTTACGACGCCGTCCCAGAATGTGCTCAAGCTTGTTTAGTTAGAAGCACCTCCAACACTCCATGTCCATACTGGGATGCTGGTTGTTTGTGTGTTATGCCACAATTTGCAGGACCAATTGGTTTGTGTATTGCTGAAAACTGTAAAGGTGAAGAAGTTGTTTCAGCTACTAGCTTGGCTAACTCCGTTTGTTCATCTGCCGGTGTTCCATCCCCATACTGGAGAATTCCATCAAGTGTCAGTGACAGCTTAGACTATGCTGCTACTGCTATCCCAACTTCTGACGCCAGTTCCGAAGCTATTGCCACCTCTTCTGCTGTTGCTGAAGAATCATCCGCTGTTGAAGAATCATCTACTGTTGCTGAAGCTTCTTCAGAACAACCACAAGAAACTGGATCTTCTATCGTCCCAGAATCCTCCGTTACTGACGCTCCAGAAACCTCCACTACCAATGGGGATCTGGGATTCACACAATACCCGTCTGTCGCCAAAACAGCAAGTTACAATGGTTTTGCTGATCCAATCTACGATTCTGTTCCAGATTGTGCCAAAGACTGTTTGAAACAATCAACCAGTAACACCCCATGTCCTTACTGGGACACCGGTTGTTTGTGTGTTATGCCACAATTTGGTGGTCCAATTGGTAAATGTATTGCTGAACAATGTCAAGGTGAAGAAGTTGTTTCTGCCACCAGCTTGGCTAGTTCCATGTGTTCTTCTGCTGGTGTTTGGGAACCATACTGGATGATTCCATCAAGTGTCAAAGATAGCTTGGATTACGCTGCCACTGCCGTTCCAACTTCTGAAGCTAGTTCCGAAGCTGTTGCCACTTCTTCTGTCGAGGAAGTTTCTTCTGTCGAACAACCACAAGAAACCGAATCTGCTTCTTCCGCTGAACCAAGTTCTACTGTTGAAGAAACCAGCGATGTTGCTTCATCTGCTTCTGATGTCCCATCAGAAACCCCATCTTTGGTTACTTGTTACATCAATAATGAAGCTGTTGCTGAAGTTGATTATGAAACTGGTATTTGTGATTTCGAGCTTCCATCTGACTTGGATCCTTTCTTTAACTTTGTTTCTGCTGAAGACTACAACATCCAATACTACTACGCTCGTGTCAACGGTAACCAATTCACCAATGACATCCGTTCTGCCGGAAGAGTTATTAGTATCCCAGCCAAGACCTTATACAAATTAGTCACTAGAGTTCACGAAGTTCTCTTGCAACAATCCGCTGGTGCCCAAAAGAGAGATGAAGTTGATGACTTCCTTGATTCTGTTGCTGATACCGATGGTACTGATACTGGTATTGATCTTTCTGTTGATGTTACCGCTTCATCTTCTTCAAGTGAAGCCGACACTGCTACTTCTTCCTTGTCTGAATCCAGTGCTGGTGAATCCGGAGCTGTGTCTTCTGCTTCTGCCTCTGCTTCTGCTTCTGCTGAAGAATCTGCTGCTGCTTCTGCTTCCGCTGATGAATCTTCTGCTGCTTCTGCTTCTGCTGAAGAATCTGTTGCATCCTCTGCTTCCGCTGAAGAATCTGCTGCTGCTTCTGCTTCTGCTGAAGAATCTTCTGCTGCTTCTGCTTCTGCTGAAGAATCTGTTGCTTCCTCTGCTTCCGCTGAAGAATCTGCTGCTGCTTCTGCTTCTGCTGACGAATCTGCTGCTGCCTCTGCTTCCGCTGAAGAATCTGTTGCTTCCTCTGCTTCTGCCACCACCTTTGGTTCTGACTCCGTTTCCGATGTTGCTTCAAGTGAATTACCAGGCACTATTACTGTTACTGAAACTTGTACTGATGATGAAGGTCATGTTACTACTGAAACTGTTATCATTACTTCTCATGTTACTGAATATTGTGAACAAACTTCTGCTTCTGCTGTTCAATCTTCTGCTTGTGACGAACAATCCAGTGCCAAGTCTGAACAAAGCTCTGCTTCTGAAGAACAAGACAAGGTCGTCACTACTATCTACTCCTGTGAATCTGCTAAGAGTTCTCTTGAATCTGTTAAGTCCAGTGCCGAGTCTGCTCACAAGACTGAAATTGTTGCCAGTTGTGAAAGTGAATTGAGTTCCATCAACTCTGTTGAATCAGTTGCTTATGTTACTCTTACCTCATTGATTGAAGTTCAAGAATCATGCATTGCCAAGCAAACTTCATTAGCTCAAGTCCAATCATCTGCTGCTTCTGTTCAATTAAGTGCTGCTCATGCTCAAGAATCATCTCGTGCTGTTGAAAATGCTGAAAGTGCCGTTGCTGAAGCTTCTAAAGCTGCTGATGAAATTCAAACAGTTGTTGAATACATCACTTTGACTGTTGAAAATGGTGCTAGTGAAAAACCAACTGGTGTTGTTGCTTCTACTATTACTTCAGTTTCTTTACAAACTGAATCCACTGATGAACAATCATCCAGTACTTCTCCAGCCGTTGAAATTGCCAACGCTGGTGCTTCTTTAACTGCCAGTGCTTTCGCTTTGATTGTTTCTACTGGTATTTTCTTTGGTCTTTTGATCTAAATTTGAGAGGTAAAAAAAATCCAGCCAAATACCTAATTATTAATTCTTCTTTTGTTTTTTGACACTTAATTGTATTATTTTAAGTAAATTTTCGGTTCACTCATAGTAGTGATTTCTTTTGTATAGATATACATATTATTTTTATTTTAACGATTGTTTTGATATTTCAATTAGTTTTTAACATAAATGTAGCTGGAATATCTTATTCTGAAATTCTATACCTGTTCGGAAACTATTACAGTTATGCACATATTTGGACGTGTCTAAACCGTGTTTTTGCTCCCAACGTTGATGTTTTTTTTTCTTTAAAATTTGTTTTTGTCTTCCTATTTTCCCACCTTAAAGCAACCAAGGATGATTGGCTTCTTTTTTTTTTGTTTTAGGATCCACCCCAAAAAATCAAAACAAATATTTATATTTCCCTATCAATTGTATTTATAATGTCTGAACCAATTGAATCCAAAGAAGAAAAAGTAGAAGAGCCCGTTGCAGAAGTTACTGCTACTGAAGAAAGCGAAAGTACAGAGCAAGAAAAACAACAACAACAAACCGAAAAAGAAGAAGACGGAAAAGAAGAAGAAGGAAAAGAAGAAGAATCGAAGAAAAGACCTAGCGATCAAAGTTCAGAGAAGAAAAAAAAGAAAAGAAGAAGAAGAAATTATGATGAAGAAGATGAAGCCTTAGAAAAAGAAGAAGAGAAAGAAAAGGAAGCTAAGGTTGGTGCTACTGGAGTGGGTGCTGTTGATGATGATGACGAAGATGAAGATGAGGACGAGGATTATGAACAAGGTAAATTGGATGATGAAGATGAAGAAGATGATGAATTGTTAGAAATTGATGAATCCAATATCATCACTACAGGTAGAAGAACAAGAGGTAAAGTTATTGATTTTGCTAAAGCTGCGGAGAAATTGGATAAAGAATCAGGTGTATTGGCTGAAGAAGAAGAAGAGGATGAAGAAGAAGGAGAATTCAAAGAATAATTAATGTACGATTTATATCTCTACTGTTGCAGAAAGTTGTTAATGTATATTATTAAATTATGAATAATGATTTTTAAAAAAAAAACTAAAAAAAAAAACCACAAACATTCTTCTAATAATAAGAGCAGTAGGAATAATAACCAAAGTAATATTAAAATACTAATAATAGTAAAAAAAAAGGAAAACAAATTAGATTAATTAAGCAACTACTATTGATGGTGTATGAAAGACAAACTAACGAAATAAACCAACAACACAACGAGAATGAAGGTTGGCGGATTAAACTTAAAAAAAAAAAGGTCTAAGGGAATACCAGGATTACAACTGGATCGTAATATAATGATGGCATTGGAGCAGCTGGAGGAACAGGAACATGTTGGGTAGGTTGAGAATAGTAGTAGTTATATGATTGTGGATAATAACTATAGGATTGTTGTGGATAGTAACTGTAGGATGAATAAGATGGTTCATCATACCCATAGTTATAGTTGCTATTGTATTGAGACATGGTAGTAGTAGCTGCAGCGGCAGCACCAATACCAACGCCAACACCAGTAGCCATAGTTGCCGAGGAAGTGAGTCCAGTTGGGGTGAGCGACGCGGTACTACCACTAATTGAAGGAGGAGTAGCACCAGCAACACCAACAGTAGGCGCGGTTGTATTATAACCATTTTGCAAGTAAGTGTACCAACATTTTTCCAAGATTTCAATGTTTTCCAGGAACTTATTGATAAACAAATCCCACTTGATAGCTTCGAGCCATTTTCTCTCGTACTCATTCAACATCTCCAATCTGATACCACTGGCTTGGGACCATGAACGAGCAGTGAATGTAGCATCATCCTGACTCTTATTTGCCAACATCATGGAGACCACCAAAAGGGTGAAGACTTCGCCTTCATCCATGAATGGGACTTCCAAGTGGGAAAACCTCTGGTTGAGATATTCTATAGCAACCAAGATGGTTGTTTTCGTCAAACGGGTAGCATAGAGTAACAGATTAAGCAGTTGTTCGAAGTTAATCGATGGATTATGAGGTTGCTTTAACATCCTAAATGCTACCCAAGTTATAAACTTGGACATTTGTTCATAATCCATAACTGCTTCAATCTGTGTTTGAGGAATCATGGTTGACTAAAGAACCAGAAAGAAAGAGAAAGGTTTACACTCAAAAAAAAAAAACCGAACACATTCTTTTGTGATGATTTCCCACTGAAAATATTTTTTTCCTCTGTGTCATACTCACTCACTCACCCTCTCTGAATAAAACGTTTAATAAAGAAAAAAAAAAAAAGAAAGAAAAAAAAAAAAAAACAAAAAAAACTTTCTTGTTGCACACACGACCACACACACACAGGTCAATACACACGGTAATATGTACACGACTTTAATTCTTTTGTTGGTTTAAAATTCTTTTTCGTTTTGTTGGCGAGTATTACATAATCCAACACAGTACTATATACAGCAACTATTGAATTTAAATACAAAAGAATAGTATAATGATTAAGAGGTATTAGTTTATATAAGATGGGCGAATTTTAACAACCAATCAGTTACTTGTTACGTAATTTCGTAAACTCGTATAGAATAAAAGCAAGAAGGAAAGAGAGAAAAAAAAAGAAATAGCAGGAAAGATTTCGTTCAACAAAAAAATGACTTTCTTTTTCTTTGTGTGATGTGAATGTGATGTGATGGTGTTCAAAAACAAAAAACAAAAAAAAATTTATGCAATTAATTTAATAGGGGAAACAAAACAAAAACGAAACGACTCAACCCTAAAATTTAACTACTCGTTTCCCGATACTTCCTTCGTTACTTAAATTAACAGTGGTATCATAGGATCTTTTTAATTTTCTTTACTCGGCAAAAATGAAGAACAGGTTTTTCTTTTTGAATGCTATTCGCACAAGCAGGGATCCAGTAATAAAATGAATTAAATAATAAAAATCTAAAAGGGTTAGTCATGAACCCTGTCTAATTAAATGTGGGCAAAATAAGAAAACACATTACATTGCTACATTCATAATGCAAGCTACGTTGGAAATATCAATAGAGTTATGACTCAATGAGCTCGATGAACGGAGTTCCTTTCTGTAGACAAAAAAAAAAAAAAACAAAACTACACATGCCATACTTTCATTCCGATTAAGGAAAAAGAAAAAAACCCAAACTGCCACGTGATGTCAACACGTGACATGATTTTATATGAGTAAAATGACAGCAGGAAACGACACGGCAAATCCCAAATAGAACACTGGAGTCCATTTAGAACTCGGAGACCATTGGCATCTCAGATTGAAGACCAGATTCCACTGATATTCTATTGTTGTACCATTATTTCACTCTTGAAAAGTGATATTATCTTCTTTATTTATACTCTTGTCTTGGTTTGTATTTATCAGCCCTATCTATTCCCGTTCGTATTTTCAGAAGTTTGAGCGTATTTCCGAGTAAATCTAAGACAAACCTATCATTTTCAAAATCACGTAAATACGACAATAGCAGCAATGAAATACCGAGTTGTTAGCATTCAACGAACCAATCGTTTATTGGCTGGCTTCCACTTGTGGGGGATCCATGGATATGAGTTGAACAAACAATAAGTTAAGAATTGGTTTTTTTTTTACTGTGAATAGAAGTATACGGCACTGCCAAGAAATTTGCATGCAAAAATAAAAAAAAAACGACAAAGAAGAGGAGAATCTACAGATGGAATAGATAAACTACTAAGCATTTCATCAGTTTCTGTATCACAAGAGAGAAACCAAATGGGTGGACATGTAAGTAAGGCAAATGATATATGCCAATGTGAGTAATTATGAATGTACTTTAACACGCTGCAGAATCTAAGAAATTATCTCAGCAATACGAGGAGAAACATTCTTTTCAATATAATTTCCATGAATTAGTTTTAACAATAGGTATAAGGTTTGATAACTTTGGGGGGGGGAAAGAAGGAAGAGAGACAGAAAGATAGAGAAGTACAATGCATAAATTATTAACTAATTCTTTATTACCTGTAATGATTTGTAAAAATGACAATGAGCTATTAATTTATAATTTGCAGCTTTGTTCATTGGCTGGAATTAACATGTGTATTTTGCTCTTCGACATGCTAATTAACTCCTAGGGGTGGATTGATACATGAGGAGATTGGAAACTGACTCTACTTTATAAATCGAGTGAATATTCCAAAATTTTCAAGTTCTTCGTTGATTGTTCTTCCCCCTACGTGACTTTTTATATATCTACAACGGTACAATGTTGCTAACAATTTATTATATTACAATCTCATATTTTGTATCCATTTCATTAGCCCATAATGCAAAATTTTCTCTTATGGGTGATGGTTTAGTTTATTGGGCATGCGATTATCAACTGGACGTGGCTACCTTTTGCGGTGATGATCTTTTATATACCGCATGTAAATGTTCAAACAAGAATGCATTGGCTACGATTGCTGGATGTATGGCATACAATAACAGAAACACCACTAGCGTTGACAAAACTGCGACTAAAATTTGTCTTGATTATGGTGACATTACTCTTTCTGAAGGCTGGTTCGAGGAAGCTTACCAATATTACTTGGACAATGCAGTTTACCTTGAAGAGATTCCCGATTTCAATGCTAGTATTCCTATTGATGTTCCTCTTAAATTTAATGGAACCATGATTTTGTTGTACTATGATGCCTATGATCATTTCTTTGGTAATTATGACAATTCTTTCTACTATGGTGCCGGTGCTTTGGGGTACTGGTTATTGGTGATGGTTATTGAAGGTGTTGTCAACTGGTCTAAAGTGTTGTTTCCTGGTTTAATCAAAAGATTAACGTTTGCTCCTATCACATGGTGGAGATCTTATGTATCGATGCCAGCTACGTTCAGAAAGAGAAAAGCACAGGAATTGCCATTATTGAAGTTCTTTGACTGTTTGATTCCATCGAGATATGAGTCGCTTGTTATTCTTGGATTCTATGCTTATATCATTGCTGTCCATTGCATCAAATTGCACTACGTAAAAGAAGTTCCTATCTATGAAACTGCATATTTGTTCAGACTCCGTAACATTGCTGATAGGACTGGTATAGTAGCTACCGTTATGATGCCATTGGTGTTCCTTTTTGGTGGTAGAAATAATGTCATGCAATGGTTAACTGGGATGAGCTACAACCAATTTATGACGTATCATCGTCACATCGCTAGAGTGATGGTTGCCTTGGTTATAATTCACTCTGTGAATTTTACCATCTTGGAAGGTGAGTATTACTCTAGTGAGGCAGCAGAACCCTACTTCTACTGGGGTATTATTGCTACTATTGCTGGTGGATTGATTTGGTTACAGGCGATGCTTTTCTTCAGAAGACGATGGTATGAAATGTTTTTGTTCATACACATCGTTATGGTCGCCATTTATATTGTGGGTACGTGGATCCATGTTGATGATCTTGGATATGTTTGGTTCTGTTACGCCAGTATTGCACTTTGGTGTTTTGATAGATTGATTAGAATTGTGAGGTTGTTCTGGTTTGGTTTCCCCAAAGCAAGAGTCACTTTAATTGGCAACGATACCATCAAAGTTGTTATCCCCAAACCGCGGTACTGGTATTCTGTTCCTGGTGGCCATGCATTTATATCATTCTTTCGTGTTTCTTGTTTCTGGCAATCACATCCATTCACGTTTGTTGATTCACCCGATGATAAAAATATCATGTTGTTTTGTAAAGTCGAGGGGGGAATGACACATGGGTTGTATCAATACTTGGCTAAACAGCCAGATCAAACTGCATCTATTGTTGTTGGAGTAGAAGGTCCATATGGTGAACCAACTCCTGCTAGATATGCGGATACTGCTGTGTTCATTGCTGGTGGAAATGGTATTCCTGGTATTTATTCTGAAATTATGTATATGGCCAGGAAAACACTGGAGAACTCCAAGAAAGTTATGAAGTTGGTTTGGATTGTTAAAGACTACCCCTCTTTGACTTGGTTCAATGATGAACTCGAACAGTTGAAGAGCACTGATGTTCACACTATTATCTATGTCACTCGTCCTGATCAGTCTACCGGCAGTGATGTGGATAAGAAATCAGACAGCAAGGAAAGTGGGGACGACGATAAGGAGTCAATCAAGTCAAGATTGGCTCATATTGAATTCAAAGAAGGAAGACCATCACTTGAAGATCTTATTGTTGATGAAATTAGTGAATCTCAAGGATCAATTGCTTTTGTCGCTTGTGGTCATCCAGCTATGGTTGATGAATTACGTTATTTCGCTGGGCATAACGTTACTAACCCAGATCACAAGAGAGTTGATTTCTATGAACAATTACAAGTCTGGGCCTAGTTAGTTTATATTGTTTGTAGATACTGTCAGTAGAAACAAATATATATTCGAGAATGAAGTGCCGTACACGAGTTTAAGGAAGTACCAAATGAGTTATAAAGTCCATCAGTATGACACTTACCTAGTCTCTACACATGACATGATTTTCAAAGATAAACAAACACCACAGCACAAACTTAAACATAATAAATTAAAGATGAAGCAGGCATCACATCTTAACATTACGGAAGCTTCCTGCCTGCCACGCAATATTTGATGAAAATGAAAGAAACAGAAATATTAAATTTTTTGTAATTGTAATCTGTGTAAATTACTGCTTCGTGGTAACAATCATAGTCAGATGCGTGACAAAACTAAATTAGGCGTATTGACTTGATAGTTTGTTGCACACACAAATACAAATAGACTCCGAAATTGTTTGATTTTCAGGGCATATGGTAGCACTAAACATATAATGCACAATAAAAAATACCTACACAAATACACCAAAAAAACTCAACTATAAAGGGAAAAAAAAACAACTTTCAAAAAAAAAACTTTTTTACAACACTTCCTTTTCCTTTTCCTTTTTGTTTTATCAACAATTAATATCAATCATTTATATATGTTATCAGTTTTATCAAGTAAGTATCAATTGATGTGTTTTATTCATGGCTGCAAATACTAACTTCAATATAAGGAATTACAATCCATTATCCATAACAAGTTTACAAAGAATAAGAGGTTATATGTTCTCCATCAGTTATTACTATATGTTCCCCAGTAGTAGTTGCTTGTGTTACTTGGTTAAGTCGTTGCAAAAAAAGTCACCAACTGATAGCTCCTTTAGTATGAGGCACAAACATAAGAAGAACCTTCCAAATAAGATAGTAACTTGGGAACACATGTTATCTTGAACCTTACACAAGGGATCAACATATACACAAAGGGGCGATGTTGATTAGAGAAGGTTCTTCAAAAGATTGTGACTGGTCATCACTATCTTTAAAAGCTACTGATCGGGATATTGAACTAACCTATCCCGATCAGTAGTAGTGGTGGTTTATTACAAACCACTACTTGTAGAGGACCAGGTAGAGGACCGTCGACCAGTACCCTTCCCTCCTGGTTCATCCTCTATCTATTCCCCCTTGGGTCAGTAGGGGGACGCGATATGGCAACTCAAGAAGAGGGCCATAGTCGGGCTGGGTCGGCCCCACAAACACATACACTTGTGGGCCCAGCTCGTCCCTCTCCTTTTAATTAGGAGAGGTGGTAAGTGGATGGGAGGAGGGCCAACCCTTCATCATTTGGTTCTTTCCACCACTTCCACATTTGACATTGCAGATGGCCCCGGCTGATACTTATGATTGAATTAATGTAAAAAGGTGAATTAGTCAGTGTAGTGAGACACAGACAAAGAGATTATTTTATCAATATATCACAGAGCATCATTTGGGCTAATATATAACTAGTAAAAGAAGCACCAGTATACCACAATGTGAAATTGCAAACCTGATGAATTGATTCGAACATACCACGTAACATCTATATAATGTACAGTTTTATTACAAAGATAAAGATATAACCTAGTTTTTTATACTGTGGAGTTTGTGAATTCAATTCTAATGTGTGTAGTACGTCTATCCAAAAGCCAGGTTCACATCCGGTGGAAATATATATCCCCTATTGGTTGTTGTATACGTCATAGGTATTTCTTGTAATCTAGCAATAAGAACCAAAATCAACGTCCAGGACTATCGATGTTGATAGATTGTGTATAGAGAGAACATGGCACATGCCGATACCATTATAAATTACAAGTCAACGAATCTAGATTCAAAAACACATATAGACAAGACTGTGCCTTAGCATGAATCGGAAGGAATGATGAGATAGTCAACCAGAGAATCGCTAACTTTCAGTTAAGAGTTGTTTTTCTTGTAGCATTGCCTCTTTGAGGAAGACAAATCAAGAAATGTCAAACTACTTTCTATAGAAAAAGAAAAAAATAAACAATAAACAAACAAACAAACTTTAAGTTTGCAGCTAATATTGACGTTTATTCAATGCATATAGGCAACAGATGTAATTACAAAAATGGCAGCAAATTATGGGGTCCTAACTTGAACCTTACATTAAAAAAAATATTTATATTTAATAATGGGAATATAAATAAATTGAACTACCATATAGAAAAATGACATGTCTGTGATGAAAATATTTAAAGAAGAACCATGGAAACATCATCGATATATTCCCAATGATACCCGATCACTGTGTGTAAAAAAATCCGGGGAGAATCGGCTTGAGAGTAAAGAGAGAAGTGGCTCTCGTTTTTCCAAACGGGTTTAGTCTTATGGATAATCTCCGTTGAACCATGGGCTCAAAATGACATATGTCATGATTCCAATACTCGACAACAATCAAGAATATTTCCAAGTTGTTTCCCAAAATTCATTCTCGTGACTTTATTCCGCAACTAGTATTAGAACTCATGTTTGGATTAGGGAAAATCGCATGTTTGATCATTCTTGATCATGTTTATTTATTGTGCGTGAATTTCATTTGTTTGCTGGAGCCATCATCTCACTATTGTTCTTGGAAAACATAAAAAAAAATATTATATATCCCGTACGTCATTGATGATACATGAAACCACTGATTTCATTTTTTCTTTCTTTCTTTTTCTTTTATGAAACAATAAACCACCGTAATAAACACAACATGATCGCACAGCTCTTGTAAGGAATAATGTACAAAGTGGAGAAGGAGGAGTATAATGTAGTCATCGTGGTCGAGTCTAGATTTTACTTAAAAACAATCCCAAGTATAAATAACCACGTAAAGAACTTATATAATTAAGTTCACCCCTAGATTATCTCTAACAATAAACAATTTACTTATAATAGATTAACAATAAAATTTCAACAAACAATGTACGGAAGATCATATGGAAGAATGGGCGGCTACGGTGGAGGATACGGTTCAAGTTATCGCTCAAGCTATGGTTCAGGCTATGGTTCAGGCTATGGTTCACGTTATGGTTCGTCCAGGAGGTCGTCAAATAATAGATATAGTAGTTCTGGTACGAGTTCAAACCAACGTAGAGAGTATTCTGGTTCAAATCAACGACAAAATTATGCTACCAGTTCCAACCAACAAAATGGAAACCAATCAAGATATTCAAATTCACAACAACAAGGAAGTAATTATCAAAATTACAGAGGCAATGATCAATACCGATCACAATCTGATCAACAGAATAGAAGCAATTACCAACAAAACAATTACAGGAACAAGAATGTTAATATAAACAAAAATGTCAATGTGAATCATAGACGCAGATTTGGTTTTGGAAGAATGTGGCATTGGCCAATGATGTTTATGTTTTGGCGTGGTTTTTCAAGGAATAGGCATGAGCAGCAACCACCAGTTAATATAGTTCATGTTCACAACCCACCTCAAGGTGACAATGCTCAACAATCTATTCCACAAGGGGAGAATGTTCAACAAACTAATCCACAAGTTGATGCACATCAAGAACAATTATCTACAGATGAAAGAGGTAGAAGAAGTAGTACCAGCTCTGGCCGCGGAAGATCGGCTACTCCTGTTCAACTTGAAAAACAAGACCCACCACCGCCTTATGTACATCCAGAAGGCCAACAACAATATCTGCAGTCAGTTGCAGTTTAGTTTTAATTTGCTTTATATATAGCTTTGTATCAATTGGCTAATATAATGTATGTGTATACACACAAGATGTGTGTATAATTACAATCCAAAGTATTACAACGCCCAAGTGTGAAGGGAATGAAAAGAAAACGAAAAAAAAAAGAAATAAAAACACATTATCCATTCTTTCTTTGTATAGCTATATTATATATTAGTCAAACCAGTAATTCCCCGCCTTGTACGGGTCCTTTCGTTGTAATTTCATCTCGTGCCCCTCCTCCTTCTTATCACGCCCATTTTATTTTTTTTTTTGTTCGACTTTCCCTGTGTGAAATTCCAACCGTGGTATAAAACTTTGTCAATTTCACCAAGATTGTCAAGTGTAAAGATAAAGGCTAAATAAAAGAATATACTTTCTCTTTGAATAGTGACAATAATCTCAAAGTTTGGTTGCAAGAGTTTTATTTCCATAGTCACTGATAGAATAATGATTGAACAGGTTTTACATTATTGGTATATTGTTTTACCTGCATTTATAATTTTTCATTGGATTGTATCTGCAATTCATACAAATTCCTTGCGTAGAAAACTAGGTGCCAAACCTTTCACTCATACACAACTTGATGGTTTTTATGGATTTAAATTTGGCCGTGATTTTCTTAAAGCTAAAAGGATTGGTAGGCAAGTTGATTTAATCAATTCCCGTTTCCCAGACGATATTGACACATTTTCAAGTTATACTTTCGGCAACCACGTGATTTTTACACGTGATCCAGAAAATATCAAAGCTTTATTGGCAACACAATTTAATGATTTTTCATTAGGTGGTAGAATTAAGTTTTTCAAACCATTGTTGGGATATGGAATCTTTACTTTGGATGGAGAAGGTTGGAAACATAGTCGAGCTATGTTGAGACCACAGTTTGCAAGAGAACAAGTTGCCCATGTCACTTCTTTAGAACCACATTTCCAATTGTTGAAAAAGCATATCCTCAAGAACAAAGGTGGGTTTTTTGATATCCAGGAATTGTTTTTCCGATTCACCGTTGATTCAGCTACTGAGTTTTTGTTTGGTGAATCAGTGAACTCTTTGAAAAGTGCATCAATTGGTTGTGACGAGGAAACCGAGCTTGAGGAAAGAAAGAAATTTGCGGAAGCATTCAATAAAGCGCAAGAGTATATTTCTACTCGAGTTGCTTTGCAACAATTATATTGGTTTGTTAATAATAGCGAATTCAAGGAATGTAACGAAATTGTTCATAAGTTTACCAATTATTATGTACAAAAGGCATTGGATGCTACTCCTGAAGAGCTTGAAAAGCAAAGTGGATATGTTTTCTTGTATGAATTGGTTAAACAAACCAGAGACCCTAATGTATTGAGAGATCAATCATTGAATATCTTATTAGCTGGTAGAGATACCACTGCTGGGTTGTTGTCATTTGCGGTATTTGAACTTGCTAGGAATCCACATATTTGGGCCAAATTAAGAGAAGATGTCGAATCCCAATTTGGTCTTGGTGAAGAATCTCGCATTGAAGAGATTACCTTTGAAAGTTTAAAACGATGTGAATATTTGAAAGCCGTGATGAATGAAACATTGAGATTGCATCCAAGTGTTCCAAGAAATGCTAGATTTGCACTTAAGGATACAACTTTACCTAGAGGTGGAGGTCCAGATGGAAAAGACCCGATTTTAGTTAGAAAAAATGAAGTTGTTCAATATTCCATTTCTGGCACACAAATTGATCCAAAACATTATGGCAAAGATGCTAAATTGTTTAGACCAGAAAGATGGTTTGAATCAAGTACAAGAAATTTAGGTTGGGCATACTTACCATTCAACGGGGGTCCGAGAATTTGTTTAGGTCAACAATTTGCTTTAACCGAAGCAGGTTACATATTGGTTAGATTGGCTCAAAGTTTTGACACCTTGGAATTGAAACCAGATACAGAATACCCTCCACCAAGATTAGCCCATTTGACTATGTGTTTGTTTGATGGTGCGCTTGTCAAGATGGATTAATTAGCTAAATGATTGCTTACAATGATCGTAATATTTATACTGTAATACATATATCTATATTTACTCAGAGTAATTCCTGAAGTTACTGGATGGGGGAAAGTAAGTGAGTGGTTTTTTCCAGATTTTAACTCAATTTGAAGTCGGAAGTGTTGTTAATAGACTTCTACTAAAACTTAGTTGTCACATTAGAGTGGTTTAATACACAATCGCGATGACATGGGTCAACAGCATCATTGGATAAAAACGAATAACTATCGACTTTGCAAAATCCTCATTACAATGAACTAACCCACACAAGTTAAAACCAATTAATGTTATATGGATCACAATTTGTTAAATCGAATGACGACTTTGTTACCTTGTCTTGATCACCACAAAGAAGAACAAAATAGTTGTGACTGTTGCCATTGAAACCGTGAAAAAAAGTATCTATACTAGAATTAGAAATAGTTTATCATGTCATAATTCATTGTAATGAATACCAATGTGACTATTTATATATATAAAGTATGTTTATTAGATCTTATAAAAAAAACCAGTCAGTTATAATTTATAATAGTTGATGTATTTTCCTTCTTCCTCCTTCACTTTAATCTGAATCATGATGCGATTTTTAACATGTTTGTAAAATGCACTAATTAGGAAATTCGCAATCAAGAGCCGATCTCTTTAATATAAAGGAAAAAATAAAATCAATATAAAAAAAGGTTCGTGTACTTGGTTACAAAGATGCATTGATTTGTTTCAAATGACAACTCTGGTAAAACCTTAATATTAAGCATAAAAAAAAACAGAATCAAGAATTAATTAATAACAAACTACCAATCAACAACGAAGAAGAAAAGCAATTCCTATACATTATTTCTTTTTACTTTTTGTTTGCTTGTTCATTTTCTAATATTTTATTATATTACATTATATTATAATATAATTTATTCACAATCAAAATACTAGACTAAATGACAGTACCTCCCTTTAGACCCTACGGAGGTGAAGATATAAGAGTAGTTAGTGATGTTTCAAGATTTGACTATGGAGAAACTGATCAAAAGATAAGATCAAGAAATACCACCCCTACAAGACCAGTTGAAGATATTGATGATACTGTATCATCAAGTAAATTAACTTTAGATACAATAATTCCCTTATATTCAACCAAGATCAATGAAGGAAATAAATACAGTCGATTAAAACAACAAGATGATAATACTAGCAGACAACATGATTCACCACCTAAGGAGGAAATTACACCAGAACCAATTTATTTACCAAAAAGGGACATGACCAAGACAAAGAAAGTACGAAATAAATATTCATTTGCTGTTCAAGTACCACAGGATCATTTGGGTTATATTAAGGAAACACAAAGTCAATCCCCTGTAACGCCTACACCAGCACCGATACCGTCTCCACCACCTGTCCCTCCACCAAAGGACAGGACCCCGAAAGGTAGCATTGCAAGAGCAGGTACAACATCTCCTTATCCTACCAATAATGATAGTAACTTACCTGCCATGCCTCAGCCATCCCTGACGTTTTCTCGACTGCAACCACATTCACGTAGTGCTTCTGGAACAGGTGATAGTGCAAGCATTTTAACACCGCAACAACAATTAGAAAGACATTTGATTAAACAAGTGATGAATCGTCCAGTTATCAGTATCAGAGGAGAAAGGTTTGGACCACAATATAAAGATGAGCATTTTTCAATAAGTGCCAATTTTGTGTTGTACATATTTGAAGTATGTTGTAGTGTTGTTGAAATTGTGTTGAGTTCTTTATTATTACAACACGATTCTGATATTGCCGGAGGATATTATCGATATTTAATAGCCGATGGGATTATTTCATTAGTTATTGCGTTATTATTTGCTTTACAGATCATTAATTATGAAGTTAGAAATGGAAGTTTCTATTGTTTGGTTGCCACCATTTGTAAATTTGCTGCATTTATTGTCGTTATTACAACTGTTTTCCCTGAAATAGATTACAGAACTGATGATATTTGGAGTATGAGACGAGGTATGGGTGCCATTGTTATTATATCTACATTTTTATGGGTAACAAATATGGTGATGTTTGTTACAACATTATATATTTCAAGATTGAACTTACTTGAAGATTTGAATTTTGATTATAGCAGAAAGGGAATAAATGATGAATTTAATCAACTTCCTGCTGCCCCAAAACCGAGTGGTGCTATTGAAGATGGTGGTGCACCAGTAAGAAGATCTAGTTCAAAAAGACGCAAGCGTCAATCAATTGATCAAGAAGAAGAGCAATTAAAGGAATTTTATCTCAATCAAAATGGTGAATTATTTCAATTGAATGAAGAATGGGAGAAAGAACAATACCGAGGAAAGAATAAAATATTGGTATATACTTTTTAGACATTAAAAACGTTGTGATATTAATTATTTGTATACGTTTTGTTTTCACTCTCTAGCCATGAATGTTTTTTTTTTTTTTTGCAGCAATTGTTTTTCTGGGACAAGATAATATGAGAAGAATATCAAAAGAATACCATCCAATTATAACAAACAATATCACTAAAGATACATTTAATAAAAAGCAAGAAGAACTTTCTTTGGAAATCTTTTACTTTATTTTTACTACTTCTTTTTTTTTTATTAATATCTATTCCCTATCTCGTATCTGTGTTTGTCAAAATCTTCTTCATGATTTTAATCTATTGGTATCTTATTGCTTTCGTTCAAAGTTTAGTTCTACCACCAGAATGGCCAAATATTGTGAAACCTACTTTATTTTCACTTAGGGAAACAAAGCTGAAATTATTTACTTCATTACAATCATTAATGACAGCTAATAATCCGTATCAAAATATGAGTATATCTTCATTGCCTACTACAATTGATATGAATTATGATTTTCATGGTAATAATAATAAAGATCAAGTTGAAAATACTACCTTATTGTTTATTCCTAGAGAATTAATTAATCCAACTATGTTTCAAACCTTAGGTTTAATGAATTTAGTTTCTAGTATGAATGATAGTTCTGGAACAACAAGTCAAAAATGGATGAATCTAACATCAACTGATCAATTATTAATTCCTGATGTATTTAAAACTTTTTTCATATTTAATACAACTACTCCATCAATTGTTAATTCATTATTTAAAAATTATCAAAATCAAAATCATCAAATTAATAATTTAAATAAATTTTTAATTAGAAGTATTCCATTTGATATGCCAAATTTATTAACATTAATTGATTATTATATGGTTGTTCCTGGAATTCCTCATCATACTCAAGATATTAAAAATAAAACTTCAAATATTTATCACAAGAGTGTTTTAAGTTTACCTAGTGAATATTTACCAATTTTTAGAAATCAATTAAGTGAAATGAAACCTATGATTGTATTTATGTTTAATGAAACAATTCCGGATTTAAAAGCAACAACAACTACAACATCATCAGGAAATTCAAATTCTCCAATTATTTCAATTAAAAATTACCTAAGTAATACAAGTATCTCTTCATTTTTTGATAAATTTGCTAATATATGGTTAAAACAAGTTAATTATGATTCTTTGATTCATGCGGTATATTGTAATGTAAATCCAAATAACCAACAAGGTAGCTATTGCTTGAAAATTCAAAATCAAATGATTCATATCTTACCAGCATTTAAAAAAATTATTCATCATGATCAACCTGATCCACATACAATACTTGAAGGTGATGATGTTGATGAATCTGAATTAGTTTTAGAATCAAAGAAGCCATTACTTTCACAATCCATAAATGTTCTGATTGGTCTGAATCAAGACAATGAGGATCTTGTTCAATCACAAGCATTAAGACAAATTCATGATAAATTAAGATATAAAAAGGAAAAAACTAAACAATCTTCACAAGGATTTGTACATGATCCAAAAGCATCGATTGAAAAACTTGATGAGAAATTCGATGATGCTATGGATTATAAAATTACAAAATTGATGCTTAAAAAGGAAGAAATTAAAGATAATTTTGATTTAAAGAAAACTAAATTAATGAATTCAATGGAAAATAAATTAGATAATTTAGATGATAAAACTGATTTATTGGCTGATTCTTTAAAACGAAAGAAGAATGAAATGTTGTTGTATAAATTCAATCCTAGATTATTTCAAAAACAAGAAGAAAAACCAAAAACTGATAAAGATGGAGGTAATAAATATGATAATATTGGAATTGATGAAAATTATGATTCTGATTGTGATAAATTAGGTAAAACTTCAATTTATGTTAATGATGGTAAAGAATATATTAATAAAAGAAATCAATTTTATGAACCAATGGATTCAAAAGTATCTTTCCCAGATCAAGGATTTATACTACCTTTGGAATTAATCAATTTTGAAGAAGAAGAGCATAAAATTCCAAGACATAAATCATATAGTCAAGTGGTTAATTTACAAACTGGTAAAGCTTTGAAGAGGAAGAAACGACTGGTTCAGTTTTTAGCTAACGAAAATGATAAAAATTGCCAGCCAATCACGTGGTACAATATTTTCCATTATAGCATTTTTGGTGAACCAAAATTCTGTAATGACGAATATGAAGCAACTTAGATGATGGTCATTAATGTATAGTGACAGAAATATAAATTGAAATGATCCCACCTTCGTTTTAAATTATCCTTGGTGCTTGCCTTGCTTCTTCTTTTTTTCTATAATATATATATATATATATATATATATATATTCCCTAAGCAAATGATTAAATTCAAATAATAAAATAAAATAAAATAACTAGACACGTAAAAGAAATAGAAAAAAGAAAAAGTAAATACTAATAATAAGAATCAATCCAACATAAATATTAATACATATTTACATATATCTGGAGTAATAAGTTGCTTTTGTTTCTTTCATTTCTTTGGATTTAATTAAAATTGGTTCTGCTATCATTATTGTAAAAACCACTATTATCCTGCCTTGCTCCATATCTTTGTGAATATTGATTTTGTGGTGAAGCTACGCTTCCGGTGTACATTCCTGTTGTACCATAGCTGAACCCAGAATTGCTGGTTGCGCTTCTACCACCAGAAGACGATGGCGGTACAGCATTATATGGATTACCAACAATGGTGGAATTTGGCTCCGTTGGTTCCATGAAACTTATTGAATCTCTATCATAATTGGAGGAAGTGTTGGTCAAAGCTGCACCTCCTGGCCCACTAGGATTACGGTATGATGGTGAACCTTCATCATAGGAATCGTCATCTTCAAGCACCGTTGTTCCTTGTTGCTTGTCAATTGGTTTACTGTGTTCATGACCCTTCATTGCAGTGGCACCCAATGCCATCAATTCCATATCTTCACCGCTTCCATTCATGCCTCCTTTACTCAAATCACCTTTAGAGTTGTCAAATCTTGGCAAGAATGAAACTCTGTCGTCCTTCATAGGTTGGTATCTGGTATCTGGGTTCTTGTACAACAAGGCAAGGACACAGGTAATAATGGTGAATAACAACAAAAACAAGGCAAATACAGCATTCAAAACAAAATAAACCACAGCCATAACTGAAGAAACAACATTTGGTTGATTGAACACCATGGAGAAAAACATGAAAAATAACGCATTGATGAAATTAATAACACTGATGGTAATATTGAACGCATTGGTTCTCTTATCCATAAATGGACGAATCCAAATCACAACAACCATGTGAATTAATTCAATAACCCAAACGATAACGGATTGTGGTCTACCGTGCTCTTGCAAAACAGCCACAAATAAAGACTTGAGGAAAATATAAGTCAATGAAAACAAAATGAACCAATATTTGTCGGCACGAAATTGGACATAAAGGAAACCAAATCTATTCAAGAATTTACCATCTCCAAATAACAAATAAGCTGGATTGTTGAATTGACGTACTGATTTTCTACCCATGATCCAGACTCTAATCGAAGCTTGCAATAATAAAATAACAGTGACAGCTAATAAAAATACGGCAACGACAACAGTTCCCGCAGAGTCTCTTGAGGTAAATTCCCAAATACACAATAAACTGATTTGTGGTAAGGCAAGCACCAATAAACGGTACAAGGTACCTTTAATAATAAAACCCCATTGTTGTCTATATTCATTAAACTTACCTTCATTCATAACTTTGCTTCGAATCAAAATCTCAATGACAGCTTTAAACAACATCAAACAAACAACCATGACAAATATGAAGAAAAACAAAAATTGAATACCAGTCATAAATAAATCGGTAATTTCAATTCCCGCTAAATATGCAACTCTTTGGATACCTCTCAACACCAAAATTTTACCTGCCAAATCGGAGGCTTTTTCATCTGTTGAGTATAAATCAGGATCCAATGAATCTGAGTAGCCAAATGAATCAGAATCCAACATGATATTAGCCCTCTTAGTCAAGTGACTAACAATCTCTGGCAGATTCTCAAAGAAACTATCCATAATATATGTACTAGAACGTTTAACAAACTTCTTTGCAAATTTTTGCACGGAAATAGAAAGATAAGAAGATTTTAAAATATCAGTAGAAGTACCACCTGTTGATTGAACATACCAGTTGGCGATATCTTGAACAAATCCAACTCTGACAATACCCATGGACCACATGAAATTTTGAGCCCAGGCTGCAGCCAATGGTGGGACTCTGGCAACAGCCATCATGGCAGTGATAGCCAAGGATTGGAAATAAACAAACAAAGACATAGAATTGGAAGCAATATGGGCTGCAGTATTGGAATGGCCAATGACAGAAACAACACCCGAGGTGATAACCCCCAAACCGGAAACAGCAGCAATTGGCCAAGCAGCATACTTGGTTTGGACAGTTCTACCATTGGATAAAGTCGTTTCTACACATGCCAATTGTTCATATGTATCAGTGTCGTAAACGACAACTCTAACTCTGGCGTCCAAATCAGGAATGGTATAAGCAATACCAGGAATGTCCTTAGTAACGGAGGTACCAAGCTTATAACTAGAATCCAAGTCCAAGTGACCACTAGTTAATGGACAAAGCGGGTTATTTTTCAGGTTTGCACTATTTTCGTAATCAATGTCACATAATGAAACATTTCTTTGCAAAACATTTAAACCATAAGCAATCAAATTGACATTGGCACCAACGGTTTTATTATCAATGGAGGATAAGGCAACGACGTTGAAATATACAGTGTTATTACCAGGAAAAAAGACGATATCAAAGAAGGAAGCTGTGAATTGTGAATTGTCCATACATGTTAAAAGGGATGAAGATTTAATATATCTTGCAGCATGAGTTAGGGACAACAACGTTGTCACCCATATGAGTATAAATGATTTAAAAAATAGCATCGTGTAGATAGATAGACAGGCAGATGCGAATGTGTTATATGATGGGATTGTGTGCTTGTAACAAGCTATACTTGTATTGTTTGTGTTTCTTACAGCACGATTGATAAATTATTTGAGCTCCTGATCTAGATGTAAAAGTATCGGGATTTCTTTTTTTTTTTCTCTCTCTCTCTCTCTCACTCGTTATAGAGATGTGTGATAATGATGAAATCGCTTGATAAATTAGATGAAAAGGGGAAGGCACTCAATAAGAGGGGGTGTGGTTGATGATAAGGTTGAAATAAAAGCGATAATAGCTAAAGTATTTTTCTAAATCAATAAATAATTGGTTGGAAAAAGGAGAATAAAGAAACAACGAAAAAAAAAATACTTGTTGTTGTTGTTGTTATAATTGATTTGTAGGAATCAGTAAATAAGTAGTGAGAATTTTTTTTTATTTTTTATTTTATTTTATTTTATTTTGGGAAGGTTTTTTATTTTTTTGACCCAAGGCTTGCTGCAGTAATTACTGAGAGAAAACAAGACAGACTAAAAAAAAAAAAGAAATAACATTAACAGTGAGTGAGAGACAACCACCACCACGAAAATAACAACAACAACAACAACAACAACAACAACAGAAAAATTTATGAGCTATTTTTAAACCAAAAATTATCGGTACAGCCACACGACCTCAGATAGTTTCTCGGGGCAGGGTAGACAGGGGGGTCAGGCTGGAAGAGCACACATCGACAGAATGTTAGTACACTAAAAAGGCATAGCATAGACGATACCTCCTTAATCTGCAACAACTAATAATCACAAAACGTTGTTGATAATTTCACAACAATTTTTTTTTCTAAGATGTCAAGTCAGGTTACGAAATTTCACTCTTTAATTGATCTAGCGTCAGCTATTCAGTGCTGGTATAGCTAATGTGTCTTCCCCCTCTTCCCCCCCCCCTTCATGTTTCAGAGAGAAGAAAACGAAAATAAATAACAAAGTCAAAATTACATGGGATTATTAACATAGCCCATTTAATTACATCAATTGTAGTAATATTTTTTTTACATAAACTCTTGGTATTACGTAACACATAGAAATCTTAAAACACCCAGGTCGTGTCTTAGATTACAAAAAAAAGAAAAAGAAAAAGAAAAAGAAAAATTCAACTGAAGTAAGTGAGTGACTGACTGACTGAGTGACAGATGGAGAAATTGGTTGCAATGAGAGATGAAATTTCTACTTTCAGAAAAAACGAGATTCATTTTATTTTGTATTATAAACAACAAAAGAAAAAAACTTGCAGTTTCGCTCAGTATCTGCAAATCTGGTACATGTCACATGACGTCACTAGACCAAACTAAAATCTAATTCCAATATAAAATCTCGCGTAAATACGTACAAACAATTGACGTCAATCAAACATCATTTCAATGTATGTAACTAATAATATATGTATAGTATTGTTTAATATGGAATACCATTGGTGAGTCTTTGGAACTCATCGTAACCTTTAGTATAGAAACTTTCCATAGATTTTTTGATCAATTTTCTGAAATACAATGCTGCCTCTTTTTCAGACTTGCTTGGAACAAAACGTTGTCTTAAATTCTTTATGGTGTTTTCTTTGAAACAAGGTAATCCACTTTCTAACATTGGCGTAACAGTTCTAACAATCAATTCCATATATGGACGACAACTCAAATACCCCTTGATACACAATTCTTCAAACCATTTGAAACTTTGTGTGGTGTCGCTACCCCCTAAAACCAGAATCATTTCCAGTGTCAATTTGAATGGAGCAGCTTCAAATTTAACACCACCTGGAACAATATCAAAACAGAACCCAAAATCAATATGTAATATGTGACCCTCGTCATCATACATAATATTACCATTGTGACGATCCTTAAATTGCAACAAATACGAAATGATCGAGTATGCAGCTAATGATTTAACCAAGTTATTACGAGCATTTTGGAAATCAATCAGATTTTCAGGACCAAATTTGGTGATAAAATATTCATATAACCCATTAACCGCTTCTCTACCCAACATATCTCTCGAGGTGGAATTTGGCAACACGTCAATAACACCACATCCTGGTGCAGTTGCTGTAACTCTATATGGGAAAACATACAAATCCAATCCTGCATTACTCCAAATAGTTCTAAATATGGAAATCAACTGTAATGCCAACACATCTTGACGACAATCATCACCAACCTTGAAAATAGCACTTTGCCATTTCTCAATTTCATAAGTCGTCTTCATTCCATGTTCATCATAATCAAAAACATCTTTCTTGATTTTAAAGGTAGCCATAAATGGTGCCTTTGCGTGTGATTGTAATGGTTTACCCAGTTTACGGTTAATATCAACAACAACACCATCTGGATTCGAAGGCAAGTATACTCCTGGTTCAACTTTAATAAGAGCCATTTCTTCATCAATCTTTTCCTTCTTCTCAGCTTTGGACTTCTTGATGTATGGCTTCAACTTACCAGAAATACTAGTGACTTCATTGAAAAATCCAAACTCTTTTTCATAGAATTTCAAATCTTGAGAACTAAAACTCTTCAACATTGTATTTTGAATACGATCCAATGTTGGTTTAATCTCATCGGGATCAGTACTATCTTCATCTTTATAACTATTGGCCAACATATTCCAGATAATTTGATGTGCAAATAATTGTGAAACTTTGGCTGTTTCAACAATAAATCTTTCCACGTACCCCTTGTAGTCAAATCTTAAAGATTGCACAATTTGTGGAACGTAAAAAAATGTCAAATTAACATCATGGCTTTCCAATGATCTCATAGTATACTGTAATACAAATGAATTGGATCCAAAGGGTGGTAAAAACAACGTAATGCTGTCAATTGGAGACAAGCAAGCCCAGAACAACAAATGGTACGAAGGCATATGAGTACCCGCATTGATGCCAATAAAGAATTGTACAGCATCAGGATAATTGATAGCAGCCAATGGATTATTGATAATCAATTTTTGCAACAAATTGTCCAAATTCTTCAACTTGTATCTCATAGCCAAGTTAATCGCCAAAATTGGGTCAATATCATAAGCACTAATCAAATGTTGACCGCCAATTTGCAATGTGGCATATGTTCCTAATGTTTCATTTGGATTTAAGGTATTCAACCAAACTGTAAACTTGTTGATTTCATCATCCATGAAAAATAACAAAATCTTGGCCTTCATATCAATCTTTTCCAGTTTGAAATTACTAATACTACTGGTGAATCTAGACACCTCCTTCATAATAATCAATTCACTCTTAAATTTTAACTTGTTGGCCCCAAATGGATATTCACTTCTTTGTCTAAACCAAGTTAATGCACCATCCAAAATCAATCCGGTCAAATACCTGCTGCTTCTAGACCCTAACTTGATATGATATTGTAAAACTTCATACGAAAATTTAATTAATTCAAACCGAACCAATCTAGACATTGGATGATAACTGGCATGAATAAGATTTTTTAAACCAACTTCTATAAATTTTGTGAAGATTTTCAATAAATGGTCACTTTGATTTAAAGTGGCTTCAAAATTACTGGCAAATAATCTAATGATTTCTAAATGAGGGGCAAAACTATTGGATGCCAACTCAGCAGTCTTGTTAACCAAATTTCTATTACTTGGTGCATATTCCATTCTGTCAAATTCAGGATGAACCAAATCATGCTCTTGACTAAATAACCCTTTACGCAACTTGATTGACTCTTCCCATTTCTTGGCTATTTCACTCAACAACAAAATAGACAATTGTGGTTTATCCTTCATAACAGCAAACCAAACCCCACTGGCAGTAATCATAATCAGAGGAATAAACATCGTGAATGGGATTTCTACTAAGTATCTCACCAATTCAGCATTGTTGGAATCACTCAATAAAGTTAAACCAGCAATTTCACTCAACAATTTCATAATTTCATCATTGCTTGGATACGTGTCAAGTGCTGCGCTTGCCAATCTTCCCTTTATATGGTACACCTTCTCTCTAATAGCCTTGAACGCAATACCAGTTTCATCAACAGTACGCAACGGTAATTTATTCATGATCTCAGAAACAAAATTGCTTCTCCAAGACAATTGAGATACAATAGTTGGTAACGTGTTCAAAGTATTGGCATTGGCTAATGTAATAGCAGATGTTTCTCTGTCATGAGAAGAAATTGAACCAGCCATCTCCAAAGCAAACGATAAACCAAATTGAACTGGATAATCAAACTGTAAACTTTCATTAGCTGTGATATATGATTGAATCAAACTCTTGACGTCAATATTACACTTGTGCAACAAGATTTTCAACCAATGCTTACATTTATCATGGAAACGGTTGAAAGTACTACCTCTCCAGCTGTAATCATCTGACATTAATACCTTAATACCAGTACATCTAGCTCTAAACACAGTAGTAGGCTCATACTCATTAACATCACCGTCAGCAATGCTTTGGAATAATAAAGTCAACAAATCAAATAAAGCAAACAAACTCTTCTTGTGACATAATGAAGATGGCACTTTACTGATTAATAAATCACAGCATTGAATAGCCGCGTCTTGCATTTCTGGAACTGGGTGACAGCAATCAATCAACATGGTTCTCAATTGCTCAGCAATTTGATCAGAGTTGAATTGTTTATTTGCTCCTGTGTTGATTAACAGAATAAAATCTTTCACAATCTTGAAGGAAATATGACCCAAGTACTTGTCAACACCAGAAATTTTAAATGTCGGATCAGTAAAATATAACAACGAATCAGAACAGTTACCACTTCTAACTCTCAAACTCTCAACAAACACAGCGGCAGATAAAAACATCAATTTAGGATACGACAAAGTACGATGAACTTCAAATATAGCACCCAAGTAATGACGGTGGTCTTTAATATTATGATTAGATGACCCTCTTCTCAAAACAGTATTCAATTCGATTGAAGTCTCGGTTCTATCCCATGATAACTCTGAGGCTAATGGTGGGGAATTATAAGCAATTCTTTCTAATTCATCTCTAAAAGTTTTGGTATTTTTGGAATTGATATTATATCCATGAACCACCATGTTGAACCAAATGTTTCTAAACAAATTAATGGTGACTGTACTTTTGATTTCCAAAGGTGCTTCGCCTAACCTAACATTAGGCAATAATGCCGCCAATGGTTTTAAGTAAACAGCAATTTGATCACCCACTTCACTAATCTCATTATGAGATCTATGGTGTTCAAGTTGTTGTACATCACCTTTACTGATAATTGCTTGCAATAATTCATGAAGATATACAGTAAATAACAGATTCGAAACATCCAATTTCTCAGAAAGTAAAATCTTGCTATCGTTCAAATAACCCAACAATATCAAATTCTTCTTTTCTAAAGCATCAAATGATAATTTGTTCAATAATCTAATGAGAATAACAAATTCTCTTTCTGGTAAGAATGGAGCACAGGAACATAACCCCTTCAAAATCAATGGTCCAATTGATGAATCTATCTTGTTAACCTTCTGTGATAAAATGGTGCATGCCAATGCTGGAACAGTTTCATCATTGCAAGCTTCACAAACTTCAATAATACCAGTAACAGCATTTTCACAAACTTTACGATAATCATTTTCATCAAATTCGCTTGAGTTTGCACCTTTACTGAAAGCCTGTGAGAAGGAAGTAATGGATGTTCTTCTTGATGATATTGGGGAAGCAAACATTTCCCGTCCAGATCCAGCGTCGTTGAAAGTTGAATTGGTAGTGGCAGCTCCTTTAAGCAATCTTCGAGCATTCTTTGAAGGCAACTGCAACCCTTCATTGCTGACAAATAAAAGATTGGTCAACGAATAAATGGTGGTAACCACGCTATCTTGTGGTAATTTCTTACTACCCAATCCAACAGCTTTAGAAGCTTTCAAACAATAGGCTGGTTGCAATTTAGGATTGGCAATAACGGATGTAAAGACTCTGGTCAACGATGGGCCAACACTTTCATCCTTATAAACCAATAAAGAACCAAATTCAAAGACAGTTAATCCTAAATCTGGATCTAACATGACATCTTTGATTTCAATACAAGACTTGAACAATTTCTTTGAAGTTTTCAAGTCTAAATTATCGGTAAACATACCACAACTCAAAATCTGCAAATTGTGACTTTTGGCCAAGTATCCTAATTTCAAACGATCATAAGTAGAGTAAACAATATATGTTTCACCACGATCTAAAAATTCCAACTTGCGCAACGCTAAAACTGTCAAATTGTTTATGATATCCATATGTGATCTGGAGAAATCCAAGTTATCCTTAGCAAATATGGCATGATTGGTTGTGTTGTTGAATTCTTCATATTTGCTAGCAACTTTTTCCAAAATATACTGCAACAATGACTTACCCTTGTTACCAATAATACCATTGACAATAGCACACATCAATCTTGATAAACTTTCAAGGTATAAAATTGGACTCAAGTTGATAACATAATCACGGTTCAATAAATTTTGATACTCGTTTGGTTCATCATACAAGAAATCAGAATAATTTTCAACGTCATTCAAAAAATCGGAATTATCAATATTTGAATCCAAACTCTTGAATATCTTGAATGTTCTTGAAGACAAGCTCAAGAAGTTAGCTTGTTCAATCAAACCATCCAAAACACCAGATAATGTCAAAAAATTTGTCAATTCTGGCTCAGTATTTCCAAAGAATTTGTCAATAAACTCGTTGAAAATATCAATAACTTCATCGATGTGTTGTTTGTTGTTCTGGAACCCCAAATTGATCAAACCTGTAGTCAACTTTTCACCTAATAAAGTCCATGGAGAAATGTTGACTGAATTGGAAACAATCGAATAAGAAAACTTTTGATCTGGCAACTCAAACAAATAAACCTTGAACTTATCAATCAAGACTTTGATCTGGGAAGTAACTTTGATTGGTTCTTTAGTAGCATCACTCAAAGCAATCAAAACTTCGTATTCCTTTTTGGCAATTGCAACTTCGGATAATTCTTGGTTTCCATTCAACTTATGCTTAGTTGCAATCCTTGGAGTAGATGATAATAATTTGGAAAAATCGTCCTTGTGAATCCCCGTGTTGATTTCTTTCAAACTGGATGGCTGGTTCTGAACAGTCAACTCAGCTAACTTCTTCAACGCTTCTCCACGAATAGAGCCACGGGTAATACCTGCGTAATCCATGGTCTAGCAAATTTGTTTAATGTAGATGAAAAACAAAATTACAAGAAGTGTAAATTATTGAAGATTTTAGAATGTATTTATTTGTGTTTATATTCTGGTTCTTTTTTTTTTTACGTTGTTGTTTCTCAGTCCTATGGGATTTTGTCTTCAAAGAATTAAAAAAAAAAAAAAGACAAATCTTTAATTACTTAGAATGGAAACCTAATAATCGCAATTTTCCCCGACTGCGAATATGAGTTTCCTTTTATTTTGAGTTACATGTGAGATTTGACTTGTACAAACTTATCACCATATCAACCCCACACATGCGAACAGAAAGAGTAAAAGGATATAAACTGCATAAAGTATTATCTTTCAGATAACAAGGGATATGTACGTTCGAATTTTTAAAAGAAACACATACCTACAGAAGTGTACGTCTCGTCACGATCTCTAAGGTTTAAAAAAATAAAGAACTGAATAATTAGCTATAAGAAAATACAAACAAATTCTAATCGATCTTGACAATAGTTCCGTCTTGTAAAGACATAGTCAAGTTTGTTAATCTCTTTGGTGGATACACAACTGGTGGCTTCAATTCCAAGGTGTCAAAACTTTGGGCCAATCTAACCAATACATAACCCGCTTCGGTTAAAGCAAATTGTTGACCTAAACAAATTCTTGGGCCTCCGTTGAACGGTAAATATGCCCATCCCAATTTTCTTGTTGATGGCTCGTTCCATCTTTCTGGTCTAAATTCTGCAGCATCGTCACCATAATAGACAGGATCTAAGTGAGTAGAATTTATACCATATGAAACAGCCTCGCCCTTTTTGACCAAAACAGGAGAATTGCCGTCTGAACCACCACCTCTTGGTAAAGTGGTGTTTTTGGTAGCAATTCTGAAATTTCTTGGAACACTTGGATAAACACGTAATGTTTCGTTAAGGAAAGCTTTCAAGTATTCACATCGTTTTAAACTTTCAAAGGTAATCTCTTCAATGCGAGATTCTTCACCAAGACCAAATTGGGATTCAACATCTTCTCTTAATTTGGCCCAAATATGTGGATTCCTAGCAAGTTCAAATACCGCAAATGACAACAACCCAGCAGTGGTATCTCTACCAGCTAATAAGATGTTCAATGATTGATCTCTCAATACATTAGGGTCTCTGGTTTGTTTAACCAATTCATACAAGAAAACATATCCACTTTGCTTTTCAAGCTCTTCAGGAGTGGCATCCAATGCTCTTTGGACATAGTAGTTGGTAAACTTGTGTACCAGTTTATTGCAATCTCTGAATTCCTGATTGTTTACAAGATAATAAAAATCTTGCACCAAAGTTCTAATAGCAAGATACTCTTGTGCCTTGTTGAACGATTCCGCAAAATCCTTTCTACCAACAAAGTCGATATCATCTTGGTTATACCCAATTGTTTCATCCTTCAAAGAGTGTACTGATTCACCAAACAAAAACTCAGTAGCTGAATCAACAGTGAATCGGAAAAACAATTCCTGGATATCAAAAAAACCTCCTTTGTTCTTGAGGATATGTTTTTTCAACAATTGGAAATGTGGCTCTAAAGAAGTGACATGGGCAACTTGTTCTCTTGCAAACTGTGGTCTCAACATAGCTCGACTATGTTTCCAACCTTCTCCATCCAAAGTGAAAATACCGTCACCTAATAATGGTTTGAAAAGTGTATGCCTCTTACCCAAGGAAAAATCACTGAATTGGGTTGCTAATAAAGCTTTGATATTCTCCGGATCTTTTGTGACGAGGAGCTTTGTTCCAAAGATGGTACTAACATAAGTACCCACACTTGGAATTTTCGAATTGGCAAATTTATAATCATTATATTCTTGAGCTCTACCTTCTTTCTTGAACTTAAGTGCTTTCCATCCGTTGATAATACCAAAAAAATTGTCGTGTAATTGGTTTGTGACAGGAGCAGCGCCCAATTGCTTCATCAACCGACGAGTGTGCCACATGTCAAATACTTTATGAAGGATAAATACCAATGGTAAGACCACGTACCAGTATTCAACAACTTGTTCGATCATTGTGGGTTGGAATATGTCTAATTGAAAAAAAAAAAGATCAATAAATTATGTTGTCGATGAAAATCGCTGGAAAAAATTTAAAGGAGACAACATACCAGAACATATATATATATATATATGTCCAACGTGTGTGGTTGCCTAATTGTTAGAAGGAGCGGAGTTTATTGCTTCTCCTTTTTTTTTTTTTGTTCTCCCTTTGTTACATCATTTTTTCTTTATGAAAGGAATCAATGATAAGTCAACTGAAACTATTTCTCCGTTAGAATTCCTTTAAACATATCTTCAGTGCTAATGAAACGGATAAATTTCGAGAGATCTAAATTATTTTCCATGCTCTTAATCCAAAATGACAGAAGGCATGTTTCATGCGTAGAACAATGTTCTTCCCCCTTTTTTTTGTTACTGTTTGCTTATTAAAGTTGGGTTGATGATTTGACAAAAAGAGAGGCAGTATTTGTGTCACATGCAAAATTGTATTGAATTTGTTACTACTCTCTCCGCCCAACTTTGCTTTTTCTCTCTCTCTCTTGCCCCTCATTTAGTCTTGATTGTTAGACCCTCCATGGTCGTGTATTTGTAACCGAAAAGAAGGATAGAAATTGTAAATCTCTATTTGTTTCTACCCGCTATATTACACAAAATTTGATAATGATTATCTCCGTCGTATGCTACACAATTATCTAAAAACTTATAATCTATGGAACTTGACATCAACACCGTCTGCAGCACACATATTGATCAACGCTTTCTTCCTTGGTGGATAAACTGAATCGGGATGTGATTCAACTGTTTCATATGTTTGCGCTAGACGAACTAACAAGTAGCTTGCCTCAATCAAAGTGTACTGTTGTCCCAAACACGTTCTTGGACCGACGTTAAAGGGCAAGTATTTACACCCCAAATTTTTCATACTAGAATCAAACCAGCGGTCTGGTCTAAACACATGGGCATCACTACCAAAATAAACCGGATCCAAATGAGTAGCTATGGAAATAAACCCAACAGATTGACCCTTTTTAACTAGAATTGGATCTTGACCATCTTTCCCTCCTCCTTTTGGTAATGTAGTAGTACATTTAGCAGTTTTCATATTTCTTGGAACTCCAGGGTACATCCTAAGAGTCTCATTCAAGATAGCTTGAACATATTTGAACTTGCGAAGTGAATCAAATGTAAGCAAGTCGGGTGATTCCAATCCAAAATTGGCATCTATTTCCTCTCTTAATCTTTCCCAGATAGTGGGATTTCTGGATAATTCTAGTATGGTGAATGCCATCAACTCAGCAGTTGTGTCTCTTGAAGCCATAATCAAGCTTAATGCTTGATCTCTAATGAACGTTTTGTTGGTCGTGTGTTTTGCAAGTTCCTGTACAAAGACAAATTTGTCGTTGCATGTATTTTCAAGTGATTTTTGCACCAAATAATCACAAAAAGCTTGCACAATTTGATTGGACTGTTTATATCTCCAGTCATTAGCTATCCAATAAAAATCCCCCAACAATAATCTTAGCATCATATAGTCTTGACATCTATCCCAAGCCTGGGTAAAATCATCATAATGTGGGACATCTTCCGATACAACTTGACCAAAAATAAACTCAATACTCAATTCCAATCCTAATTTTAAAAACTCCTGTTGGATGTCAAAATATCCAACCTTCCCATCTATTCTTTTCTGAAGGGTTTTGAAATGTGGTTCAAAATCATGTACCTTGTCAATTGATTTTCTATCAAACATGTTCCTTAAAACACTTCTTGTTGCTTTCCAATTTTCTCCTTCAAGAGTGAATATCCCCATTCCTAAAGATGGTTGCACGGCACTTGAACGTGTTCCATAATCAAACTTATCAAAACTGGAACTCAATAAAACTTTAATATTTTCAGGATCTTTTGTCATGATTAACTCATTACCAAGAACTTTGGTTACAAAAGTATGAACATGTGGGAATGGGACGTTATTGAATTGATCGATGGCGTAATCAATCGATGTGTGACATATAAGATGTTTCAATTCCGTGAACGTCGCCTGAATTCCAAAAAAACCTTTATTTATGTAATTCAAAGGCGGAGAAGCTTTGAACTTTATCATAAGATATGTCGTGTGATGATACTTGATGATTTTGCTGGTTGTGTAGAATATAATGAATATGATGTACCAATAATTGTAAATAAACGTAGCAGTTGTTTCTGTTAATGACATGGTCGATGGTTATGTATTATAGAAAACAAAAATGATATCCGGATATCATAATTTTTGTCCTATGACTGCTCTTTATATAATCCACTCTATGCTGCATTACGAAACTATGTGTACAATTAATCATTTCCAAAGAGAACATTTTACCAATAGTGATCTAATGTTTATTCTTGACTCAATACAATCACTCATCATACACAATGTCTAGTACTAGTACCGTCGGTGATTTTAGTACCTATTTTTAGCTCCTTTGTTTATTTTTGTTTATAATAATCTAAAATTTATATTTTGCAGTCATTTTAGTCCGGCACATTTGTATACTGCGAAGAAGATGATGACAAAAAAAAAAATACAATAAGATACAGTTGTACTGTCTACGAGATTTTGTCACTCTATCACTCTCGTAAAACAATCCAGTTGAACTACTGTAAACCCGAATCAAAAAAAAAAAAAAAAAACTGTATGACAATTACAGCAAGAATTGGCTTATCTAATCAACGGCCGATTGAATTCGATATATTTCGAAACAAAATGACACAGTGACACGAATTACTTGGCAGTGTTAGTTCTACAATATGAGAAACTAATTGATACTAGCCACACTAGCGATGACTTCTAGTTGTACAGCTGCAAATGCATCTTAAACTTGCGCTTATGTAATCAGCGCTAGTCACACAATGATTGTTAATAATGCCATTATAATAACAATAAATTGAACTAATGTAGCAAAGTTGATGGCGTATATTCAACTATGCTACGTTGAAAAGTCTTAGCAATGCCACAAACGGTATTCAAAAATCGGACGACTTTTCACGATAAACATACACACACATGCATATATACACAAGATCATTCTTAATGGATCTGGCACCATAGACAATACTGGATGGTGGTATACTAACAATTGTTAATAACACGTGTTATTATTTCCATTAGGGATTCGTGTTTCTATGCTTGTTCTAAAAATGATAAGTCAGGTATATTTAGATAACAATCTAATAAATGTGGCAACCGATTAATTGGTCAGATAGTATATCAAATCAATTCGGTCTTATTAAATTGCAAGGTTGAGATAAATAATCAAACATACTACAAAGGCGTCTATTGTGCTTCAATGACAAATTGCTAAACAGTATAACGTACAACCAATTCCACATATTTATAATAGATTGTAATTACATGATAGTACGCGTATCCCCCCACAAAAAAGCACATAATCACAAAGACACCAAACTATTAAAACTATATCGTATCACGTGCAGATGGCACGTGCACACACCTACAATGTACACGACTTTTCTTGATGAGATGGATTTTTTTTTTTTTTTCATTCTACTCTTCTCTAAATTTGCCTTTCTTTTTTTTCTTTTAGAGTCATCTTTATTTACATAACAAAGGGAACCACAACAACGTTTATACCACTATTACAATAGTACTATAAAAAAAAGAACAGTTGTTGATCTATTTGTTGTTGTTATTTTTCATTTTATTTTTTTATAATATTTCTTTTTCATAAATTAGATTTTAATACCAAGATTTATAAGTACACATAATGGCTACTAGAACTCAATTTGAAAATTCCAACGAGGTTGGTGTCTTCTCCAACTTGACCAATTCCTATTGTTTAGTAGCAGTTGGTGGATCCGAAAACTTTTATTCTGCGTTTGAAGCTGAATTAGGAGACATAATCCCAATTGTACACACCACTATTGCTGGTACCCGTATTGTGGGGAGAATGACATCTGGTAACAGAAGAGGTTTGTTAGTTCCTACTCAAACAACTGATCAAGAGTTAATGCATTTGAGAAATTCCTTACCAGATTCCGTTAAAATCCAAAGAGTTGAAGAAAGATTATCTGCTTTAGGTAATGTTATATGTTGTAATGATTACGTTGCTTTGGTTCATCCAGATATTGAAAGAGAAACTGAAGAGTTGATTGCTGATGTATTAGGAGTTGAAGTTTTCCGTCAAACCATTGCTGGTAACGTTTTAGTTGGTTCATATTGTGCATTAAGTAACCAAGGTGGTTTGGTACATCCACAAACTTCTATACAAGATCAAGAAGAATTATCTAGTTTATTACAAGTTCCATTGGTTGCTGGTACCGTAAATAGAGGTAGTTCAGTTGTTGGTGCTGGTATGGTTGTTAATGATTGGCTCAGTGTTACTGGTTTAGACACCACTGCCCCAGAATTGTCTGTTATTGAATCCATTTTCAGATTACAAGATGCCCAACCAGATGCTATTGGTGGTAACTTGAGAGATACCTTGATTGAAACTTATTCTTAGAGATACAGGTGTATTAGTCTATCATTGATGTGTAATTTTTTTTTTTTTTCTTTTTCTTTAATACGGGTCTCTATTTTTCTTTTTTAGAAAACGAATGTAACAGTAATGAATTGTAAAAGTACCTTTAGTACTGAGTATGATCTTTATTAGTAGGTTTGTCGTGTATTTCCAGTTGATTAAAAATAAGCTCCCAAATCATGTATTTCTATACTGGAATGGAGAAAGTGTTAATGTACGGCACGATGTTGATAATGTTGGTCAATTTTTGACTGCGAACCTTACCAAATGGAAAATACTTAAAACGACTGTAAAGTAAAAACAAAAAAAAAAAAAAACTCCGAAAGATGAACTACTATACCTTGATTTGATTGAAAATAACAAAGGGGTACTTCATTTGTGTCAATCTCCTGAATATTGCATCATTTAATAAAAAAGACTCATCGCTTTTGAAAATGCATCTGAGTCAGAGTCAAAATAATAATTCGCCTGAAAGAACGAAAAAAAAAAAAAAAATTTTTTTTGCAGCGTTGTGCGATAAAGGAGAAATGGAAAACGAAAAATTTTAGATCTGGCGAGGTCGAATGGGTGAGTTCCCAGTATTGTTATAAATAAACGATAAATTTCTTCCATTTTTTTTTCTACTTCTTCTTTTAATGCACGTTTTTACTTGAATCCTATTTTCACTTCTATTTCTTTTTAATATCAACTATACATTACAAGAATGGTAGCTGAACTCATTGACGGTAAAGCTATTGCTTTAGATCTCCGCACTAAAATCCATGATGAGATCGAACAATTTCAATCTAAACACCAAGACTTCAAACCCCACTTAAGTATCATTCAAGTAGGTGAACGTCCTGATTCTACCACTTATGTCAAAATGAAATTGAAAGCTGCTGAAGAAGCCAATATTGGTTGTGAAATCATTAAATTACCTGAAGATATCTCCGAATTTGAATTGTTGAGTCAAGTTGAAAAATTGAACAATTCTTTGGACGTCGACGGTGTCTTGGTCCAATTACCATTACCTAAACATATCGATGAAGTTAAAGTCACCAATGCTGTTTTGGCCGACAAAGACGTTGATGGATTTGGTCCATTCAATGTTGGTGAATTGGCCAAGAAAGGTGGTGAACCATTGTTTTTGCCATGTACTCCAATGGGTATTATGTACTTGTTGGAAAAATCCAATGTTGACATTGAAGGTAAAAACGCTGTTGTCTTAGGTAGATCCGATATTGTTGGTAAACCAATTGCTAACTTGTTGACTAAAGCTAATGCTAACGTTACTGTTGTTCATTCCAAAACACCATTGGACAAAATCCAAAAATACCTTGCCGATGCTGATATCGTCGTTGCCGCAATTGGCCAACCTGCTTTTGTTAAAGGTGAATGGTTGAAAGAAGGTTCTGTTGTCATTGATGTTGGAACTAACTTTATCCCAGATGCCACTAAGAAATCCGGTCAACGTATGATTGGTGATGTCGAATTCGATGTCGCTAAAGAAAAAGTTGCTTTGATCACCCCAGTTCCAGGTGGTGTTGGCCCAATGACTGTTGCTTGTTTGTTGGATAACGCTGTCACTGCTGCTAAAAGACACTACCAAGCCAACAACCAAACTCCAAAATTCACCAACCCTTTAAAATTAAACTTGCAAAACCCAGTCCCTTCCGACTTTGAAATTTCTCGTGCTCAACAACCAAAAAGAATCACCCAAGTCGCTGAAGAAGCTGGTATTTTGGACTCTGAATTGGAACCATTTGGATTCTACAAAGCTAAAGTTTCCTTGGATATCTTGAAACGTTTGCAAAACAAAGAAAACGGTAAATATGTTTTGGTTACTGGTATCACACCAACTCCATTGGGTGAAGGTAAATCCACCACCACTGTTGGTTTGGCTCAAGCTTTGGGTGCTCATTTGAACAAGAATGTTTTTGCTAATGTTAGACAACCTTCTATGGGTCCAACTTTCGGTATCAAGGGTGGTGCCGCAGGGGGTGGTTACTCTCAAGTTATTCCTATGGATGAATTCAACATGCATGTTACTGGTGATATTCATGCTATTACCATGGCTAACAATTTATTGGCTGCTGCCATCGACACCAGAATGTTCCATGAAAGCACCCAAAAGGACGGTCCATTATACAAGAGATTGGTTCCAGAAAAGAAAGGTGTTAGAAAATTCACTCCTTCTATGTTGAGAAGATTGAAGAAATTGGGTATTGAAAAAACGAATCCTAACGAATTAACTCCTGAAGAAGTTACCCAATTTGCCAGATTGGATATCGACCCAGAATCCATTACCTGGAGAAGAGTTGTTGACTGTAACGATAGATTCTTGAGAGGTATCACTGTTGGTCAAGCCCCAACCGAAAAGGGATTCACCAGAGCAACTGGTTTTGATATCACCGTTGCTTCTGAATGTATGGCCATCTTAGCCTTGGCCAACTCCTTGGAAGATATGAGAGAAAGATTAGGTAGAATGGTCATTGGTTCCTCTAAAGCTGGTGTTCCAATTACTTGTGAAGATATCGGATGTGCTGGTGCTTTAACTGCCTTGTTGAAGGATGCCATTAAGCCAAACATCATGCAAACCTTGGAAGGTACTCCAGTTTTCGTTCATGCTGGTCCATTTGCCAACATCTCTATTGGTGCCTCATCTATTTTGGCTGATAAGATGGCTTTGAAATTAGCTGGTACTTCACCAGACTTGTCTCCTGAAGAAAAGAAAGAACAAGAAGGTTATGTTGTCACTGAAGCCGGGTTCGACTTCACTATGGGTGGTGAAAGATTCATCAACATTAAATGTAGATCTTCTGGATTGGTTCCAGATGTCATTGTTATTGTTGCTACTGTACGTGCTTTGAAAGTACACGGTGGTGGTCCAGAAGTCAAGGCCGGTGCACCATTGGCTCCAGAATACACTCAAGAAAATGTTGAATTATTAAGAGCTGGTTGCTCAAACTTGGCCAAACATATCTCCAACGCCAAGAGCTATGGTTTACCAGTTGTTGTTGCCATTAACAAGATGTCCTCTGATTCCGATAAGGAGCATGAAGTTATCAAAGAAGAAGCTTTGAAAGCTGGTGCTGTTGATGCCATTGTTTCCAACCATTGGGAAGAAGGTGGTAAAGGTGCCATTGATTTGGCTAAAGGTGTTATGGAAGCTGCCAATTCTCCAGAAAGAGATTTCCGTTTCTTGTATGGATTGGAACCATCTATTGAAGACAAGATTTCCACCATTGCTACTGAAATGTATGGTGCCGCTGAAGTTGAGTTCTTACCAGAAGCACAAAAGAAAATCGATCTTTATACCAAACAAGGTTTCGGCAAGTTGCCAATCTGTATTGCTAAAACTCAATACTCCTTATCTCATGATGCTACTTTGAACGGTGTTCCAACTGGTTTCAAATTCCCAATTCGTGATGTCAGAGCTTCTATTGGTGCAGGATACTTGTATGCTTTGGCTGCCGAAATCCAAACTATTCCTGGATTACCAACCCATTGTGGTTTCATGAATGTTGAAGTTAATGAAGATGGTGAAATTGATGGTTTGTTCTAGATTATTCTTTTTTTGCACCCTCAAATTAATAGATGTAAAAGAAAAAAAAAAGTTAAAATATTATTATAGAGATTTTGTAAATACTTGTTCTCGATTATTTAAATACAAGTTTTGTTTATTATTGAATGTTTAATATGTACATGTATAATTGTTTTTTTGTTCCTACTTCTTTTCCTCTTGTTCGAAGGCAGGCTTATTTTTCTCCAAATGTGTCTTCAATGATTCCAATACTCTTTGATCCTCAGGGGTAAAATTCTTTTCTGGATCAACAACTGCATCCCATTTTTGTTTTAAATCAGCCCAAGATTTAGGTTGGTCTTCTTTTATTATTTGAGTATCGATTTTTATATCTTTTCTTAAATTTCCATCTTTTTCTAATTGTTCACTATTGATCCATCGTTAGTATTAACAATTCTTTGTAGGTACTAATTTGGAGAAGACATTAATATACATACAGAACAATAGGTTTCCAAAAGTTTACACCAAAATAAACTGATGTTATTATTGCTGTAGTTGCCAAAACTAATTTACCTCCTTTTCCTGACATGTTGTACGATTGTTTGAATTTAGGGTCTTGAGTTTATGAGGGTATTTCTGAGATTTACATTTTGGTCTCGTTTTATTTATTTTTTTTTTGTCTATATTTTTTGTTTTTCATCTTGTATGGAGAACTTTCTGTACTACGCATTTGAAGGAGTCAAATTGGGTTTAGTACACGGCCACTTTCTCTCCCTCTCTCTCCACACACACACTTCATGATTTTGGTTGATGTGATTTCATTTTACATTCAGACAGTAACTTAATCTACTACTATGACTACAAAACTGACCATTTTATCCCTGTAACTGTTTCTAATCGATCTAATATCTCACTCATTGGTGTGAATAAACCAAACTGTTTAACTTGACCATCATAACTATGCAACATGCCAAGAACACCTAATCCACTTCCGTCCTCCAATTTGGTTAATAACCAAGAACCCGAATCACCTCCTGATGCAAATGTCGTATCCAGTGAAACTACAAACTCCAGTGAGTTTATTTGACCATCCATCCAGTAAACAATCTTAATCCCATTGAGACAACCTCTAGTATACTTTGTAGTGGCACCCATCTTAAATGCTTCTAGTCCGTAATAATTGTTATTTATAGTCGAATCATAATTGGAGATATCCGAATCTACATCATGAATATCTGTATGAACCACTTTAGGTGCATACCTTTTCAAGTCCAAAACTTTTTTAACATACAAATTATCAAACATCAATGCAGGATCATATTCATTGAATGGCACATCGTCACCAAGATAATTGCACTCACATTTCAAGTTTTTATTTAGTTTGATAATGGCAAGATCTGATAATTTCTTTTCAACAACTCCACTAACTTGGTTGATCTCATCATTTTCTCCAATCGTTAATAAAGTACGTTCGCCCCAAATAATCTGTCCAAATCTGACTTTGGGTAAGTTACGAACCTCATCTTGCGAAATCTTCTTCAATGGGAACATGGACTCTAATTGCTGAAGCATGGCACCAAATGCTGCCTTGGAATCCTTAGCGTTATTGTGAAGACTCTTGTGGTACTGCTGAGTCAAAGCATCTTTGTATAATGAAATCAACACAGACGATGGCGATGACACATTCGGGTAGTTTTCAGGATCTTCAGAATCCAAGCATACATGACCACAACTAACGGCAAATTTCGAATTAGCATATGATTTTAAATGTGGTTGTTTTTCAAGATCAATGATTGGATGAATATACCCACCGACAGTTCCAGAGGTACGAGTAGCCTTTTCGATTGATAATGACATTGACATTGGTATTTGCTCTCCTTCTGTGGGTACTCTGAATGGCAATTTGAATTTTTGTGCAGGTGGAATAGTTATAGCTTCTTCCTTGGAACTGGCTAATTCTATTTGATCCTTCATTAAAATAATATGAATCTCTTCGTACAACCCTTGTAAACCTTGCACGAGGTTGTAATGATATTCCTTTGGGTCAGGATACCCAAAATACAAACATAAAATATTCAAATCTTTGGATATGCCTCTGGTTATTGGTGCAATAAAGGCTCCATTCTGTTCCTTCGTAGAAAGACTGCTTTGGGAGATTCGATCCATTATTTTAATCAACACTTCTTCGTTCGGTAACAGGCTCAGACGGTTTGTTCCAATAGCATAATTCTTGGGTTTAATCATCTCGCCCGGGTTGGCATTGAACTGGGAATCAAGGCCTGTATGGTTCAACACCAGCGCAAATTCATTAAAATTCTTCACTAATAACAACTTTAACTTTATATAGACATCATCTCGTAAAAGATTATCATACATATGAAGATAGATCTTTAATATCTTTCTCACTGATGAAGAATTGTAAGCCGTGAAACAAAATTCAGTATTGGAAAATTCGTGGTATTTGGCTTTCTCAATGAAGGCAATAAATTTCTTCAAACAGTCGATGGTGTTGATGACAGCTGTCGATAAATTAATTGTGGAGTTATTAAACTGGTTCACTACATAGCTTAAATCTTGAGACAACTGTTTTAAGTTATCACAGATCAAGTCTTCTAAATTCTGGTGCTCGTTTTCTTCTAAAATGTTTAAAATCTGCAACGGTTGTGAAGGAGCAAAGTCCAACTTTCTTTTAGCAGAAACGTCACTTTGGTAAGAAGACTGTTTAGTAGAATACGATTGTCTACTAGAAAACACCGACTCTTGGATTGTTGAACCCTTTGTTGAACTAGCAACTTTGGTAGTGTTCAGAATAGTTGGATTTAAATTCAAATGCATCATATCATACTGGTTTGCACTACTAGATTGTCCTTCTCTCATTTGGTTGAACATGGGTCTTAGATCTTTTATGGAATCATGGGACTCGCCTGAATGATTACTGATTGTAGGGACCAACTCAGATGTGAATGACGACGAAGTACCGGCTGTTGTTGGTGGCGTCTCACCAGCCCCTGTCGTTGTAGTCTTTTTATTTGACGATCTTGATAAAAAGCGTTTCATAGACATGACTAACAGTGCTGTGACTAAACTTGAAAGAAATTATATTGTTTCTCCTATACGAGATTGTCTCTTTCAAATGATTTTCGTTTGTTTTATTTGGGGCTTCAAAATTTCGCAAAAGAAAAAAGGGGGAAGGACAATGAATCACATTGAGTATAAGGTACACGACCAGTGTAATGGTATGATAACCAGGATAAAGCATGGATCTATCGACACTGCTACTATAGAATAATAATAACTAATAACAGTATTGGTAGTATCGATAAATATAAAGTGACTGCTGATGTAGATAATGGCTTTCTGTTGGCTTCTTCATAGGTATCAGTTGCGTTATTAATTGTTGTTGCGACACATAGACTATCAGTCAAGCATAAGAGGTGTTACCTGTTTTCCATTTCTGATCATGCATGATTTCTAAGTCCTTTTACTATGTTGTGGGAAATATGTTGGTCAATGAAGTGTAATAAATGTTGTCCTCTTGTGTGCTGCAAAAAAAAAAAAAAAAAAACAAATATGATTTGCAAAATACAAAAAGCAAACGAGACAACAATATTAAGAGAATAATTCTTTCAGACAGCCATGAGAGACTGTTTATCTGCAATGATTGATTCTGTGGTTAATAAGGATTTGATTCTTTTGAAACCTGAAAAAGTTGGTTCATATGTGGGACTTGCCCTTGTATTTGAAACTTTTACCTTGCGCCAAATATTAGGCAACCTTTTGTCAATGAATTCTGTTAGTATGGCCACAAACGAAGATTCTACTATCAGATGCAAAAGAAACCTTTTAAATTCATTGTGGGAAGTAGTGATTGATAATTGCCATGTTTCAATTATCACATCTTTAATATCTATCCTGATGAAAATAGAAAACAGAATTAGACTAATGGGATCTGTAGTGAATAGTGTTCAATTGAAAGGTGACTACAAGAGTGGCATGATCACATGCTACCCAACTAATATTGATCAATTTATCAAATCGATACTTAATTGCAAATCGCATACTTCCTTCAAGACTATCTTAATCGATTCGGCTAGTCAGTTAAGACCAGTAAACAGAATTGTGCCTCCATCTGAGCCATCAGCGTACGTAACCACCACACTTACATTACCAGTAAAACAGGTATCTGCTATTCTTGGTCCCAGGGGGTCGATTTTGAATTCCATTAGGTTACAATCAAAATGCTGGATTAAGGTGCATCCTTCAAATCATTCGCCATTTATATCAACTAAACAATCTCTTCAACAAGTTCAAATCACTGGAGCAAAAGAAAACATAAGCATTGCATTAATCGAGATTGATAGAATCTGTGGCACATTTGTGTGCGCAAGATGAGTTGAGGTCCGGGTAATTTTTATTATCCTGCATATACTGTCACATCCTTGGTAATATTTTTTTCTTTTTCTTTTGGGTAATGAGCTTCCTCAATGTGCCTCTCAGAAAAATTTTTCACCATCACCATAAAAAATTTCACTTCCCTTTTTTTTTTTCCTTCTTTTTTTCTTTTTACTCTTCTCCTTTTCTTCTTTTTCTATCTTTACAACCTACACTTTAACATAATTTAAAATGGCTGACGGTGTTTTCCAAGGTGCTATCGGTATCGATTTAGGTACTACTTACTCATGTGTTGCTACTTACGATTCTGCAGTTGAAATTATTGCCAATGAACAAGGTAACAGAGTTACTCCATCTTTTGTCGCTTTCACTAGTGAAGAAAGATTGATTGGTGATGCCGCTAAGAATCAAGCTGCTTTGAACCCAAAGAACACTGTTTTCGATGCTAAACGTTTAATCGGTAGAGCTTTCGATGATGAATCTGTTCAAAAAGATATCAAATCCTGGCCATTCAAAGTTGTTGACAGCAACGGTCAACCACAAATTGAAGTTCAATACTTGGACGAAACCAAGACCTTCTCTCCACAAGAAATTTCCTCCATGGTCTTGACCAAGATGAAGGAAATTGCTGAAGCCAAGATTGGTAAGAAAGTTGAAAAGGCTGTTGTTACTGTCCCAGCTTACTTCAATGATGCTCAAAGACAAGCTACCAAAGATGCTGGTGCCATTGCTGGTTTGAACGTTTTGAGAATCATTAACGAACCAACCGCCGCTGCCATTGCTTACGGTTTGGGTGCTGGTAAATCCGAAAAAGAAAGACACGTCTTGATCTTCGATTTGGGTGGTGGTACTTTCGATGTTTCCTTGTTGAACATTACTGGTGGTGTTTTCACTGTCAAAGCCACTGCTGGTGACACTCACTTGGGTGGTCAAGATTTCGATACCAACTTGTTGGAACACTTCAAAAAAGAATTCAACAAAAAGACTGGTTTGGATATCTCTGGTGATGCCAGAGCTTTGAGAAGATTGAGAACTGCTTGTGAAAGAGCCAAGAGATCCTTGTCTTCTGGTACTCAAACCACTGTTGAAATTGACTCCTTGTTTGAAGGTGAAGATTTCTCTGCTAACATTACCAGAGCTAGATTCGAAGACATCAACTCTGCTTTGTTCAAATCCACTTTGGAACCAGTTGAACAAGTTTTGAAGGATGCTAAGATCAACAAGAGCCAAGTTGACGAAGTTGTCTTGGTTGGTGGTTCTACCAGAATTCCAAAGGTCCAAAAATTGTTGTCTGACTTCTTTGACGGTAAACAATTGGAAAAATCCATTAACCCAGATGAAGCTGTTGCTTACGGTGCTGCCGTCCAAGGTGCTATCTTGACTGGTCAATCCACTAACGAAGATACCAAAGACTTGTTGTTGTTGGATGTTATTCCATTGTCTCTTGGTGTTGCTATGCAAGGTAACGTTTTTGCCCCAGTTGTTCCAAGAAACACCACTGTCCCAACCATCAAGAGAAGAACCTTCACCACTGTTGCTGACCACCAAACCACTGTTCAATTCCCAGTCTACCAAGGTGAACGTGTCAACTGTTCTGAAAACACCTTGTTGGGTGAATTCGACTTGAAGAACATCCCACCAATGCAAGCCGGTGAACCAGTCTTGGAAGCTATCTTTGAAGTTGATGCTAACGGTATCTTGAAAGTCACTGCCGTTGAAAAATCCACTGGTAGATCTGCTAACATTACTATCTCCAACTCTATTGGTAGATTGTCTACTGAAGAAATTGAAAAGATGATCTCTGATGCTGAAAAATTCAAATCTTCTGATGATGCTTTCGCTAAGAGACACGAACAAAAACAAAAATTGGAAGCTTACGTTGCCTCTGTTGAATCTACTGTCACTGACCCAGTCTTGTCTGCTAAATTGAAGAGATCTGCTAAGGACAAGATCGAAGCTGCTTTGTCTGACGCTTTGCAAACTTTGGAAATTGAAGAATCCAGTGCTGATGATTACAGAAAAGCTGAATTGGCTTTGAAGAGAGCTGTCACCAAAGGTATGGCTACTCGTTAAGTAACCTAAAATACATTTGGATAAAGAGAATGGAATGAGATAAAATGAGAAAAAAAACAAAAGAACCATACTTGCATTTCACTTGTACTTGTGTGTGTTTGTGTATATTTAATATAGTCATCTTTTAATAAAATTTAAAAAACTTTCTAAAAACTGTCAAAAGCAAACGGAATGATGTCGAATTATTTATTGGCTATAGCTACACTACTCATCTAGTATATAATTACCTAACTTATCCATTTTGAGTTTCTTATCTCCAGAAGATAATGCAGTGATAATCTTTTCATTTTCTTCAGCCTCTGCCTCTTCGTCGTGGTCCTCTTCATCGAACGCTTCCTCTTCCTCATCCTCTTCAAAGTCTTCGTCGTCGTACCCTTCTTCATCATCATCATCATCATCTTGCTCATCTTCTATTTCTGAAAGATCATCATTCTCGTCAGTAGTTATTCTCATACCCATAACGGCCTTTTCCAAATCTTTATCCTCTCTATTACCAGTCTTCTTTTTAGCATATCCTGAGGCTTGAACTTCTACATCCAAAGCTTTTTCTCTAATAACATCACGTTTGAAATTAGGATAAGCATATTTGTAGCCATCTCCATATCCATCGGTATCAAACATGGTTGGATCATGTTCCGGATTGTATTTGAATTTTTTACTGAAAAAGTCTCTAATACCTTGGACATCACGATCAAAGTACTCTTTTGCATCTGGATGTTCAATCGATACACATTGTGGGAAATCAATAACAACAAAGTCATACTCATAGTTTGTAGAGTCATCACGAATAATAATGTTAAACTCATTGAAATCACAATGAATCAACCCGGACTTGGCTAGTTTGACAATGAAGTTCATCAAATCGGAATATAACTTCTTGTAGTTTTTGTGTTGTCTCAAATGTTTCATTGGTATACCTTTAATCCATTCCATCATAACACAATGTCTGGAATAATCGAATGGTTGAGGAACATTGAACCCATTGTTGTATAAAACTTCCATGAATTGGTATTCTTTGGCAGCTGCTAGCCTAGACAAATACATCCAGTTCGACGTTTGTTTATTCTTCAAATAATCACGATTGTTCTTAACTGTTTTAAATGATGTTCTTCCCAAACGATGGATTTTCATGACTTTCTGAACCCCTTGTGGATCACTAACGGAATAGATATCAGATTCTTTACCAACACCAATAGTTGTACCAACGGAATATAATGTATCTCTATTAAGCATGCTCTTTAAAGCAAGATAATCATATCCATTGTATGTCAATCTAAACCCATCATATTTGGCATTTCTCAATCTAGAAATCAATTTCAATTTGGCAATATCACCAATAGCTCTATTGGTAGCTGATGGGGATTTTAAACCCCCAATAGAATGGATCATTTGTGTTGGAACTAATTCATGATTACGAGATCCTAACTCTATAGCTTGTAAAACTCTAAAATCATCTGAGGTTAAATACCTCATATGAGAAGTATCTAATTTCATTGTTGTAGTTGTGTGTTTTCTAATTAACTAATTGCATCTCATCAAGAATCTGAAAAAAAAAAAAAAAAATTCTTCTTGTCAATGGTCGCAACTTTGTTTCGGTCTGAGATTTTTATGTTTTTTTTTTTTTTTGCTTTTTCTTTCTCTACCTCAACTTTTCCAATCTTGTGTTTGTATGATTGTCGATGAAACAACAAAGATCTTCTATCAATCGTCGGATATCAAGAGGACGTGGGAATTATTCTAACAAAAAGAAATGGAAACGTGATGGAAAAGAGAATAAACCAAAGAAGGATAACGATGAGGAAATTATCAATCGAGCGAGCAAGATAGGAGGAACTCTGAACCAGTTTGACTTTGTGGACTCTATATCATCCCAACCATCATATAAATGGACAGATTTAACACCAGCTCCTTTGGCATCATCTGACATTACGCCACCAAGGAAAAAGACAATTACATCACTAAAACTGTTATGTGCATTAGAATTGGCAAAAAATGTACAACTTATAGATTCAAAACTACTTGATGCAGCTCCGTGGTCAATATGGAAACTAGTTTGGTTGAATATACTTAAATTTGGACAAGATTCACCAAGTATTTATAGAAAATTTGTAAACAAGTTCCATAATCATCATTCATTTAAAGCTCATAGACTACCAATTGGTAGCAATGATATTCGTCATGAACTAATACTTGCAAGTAGTATCCCAGGAAATAGATTGCATCGTTTTGAAACCGTATTTAGGAACATTCATCTTGAGGATATATTGCAATTCATCAACATGTGGAATCCTCTGGTGTTTATGGATCTTTCGTTGGTGAAAATGCAACGAGACGATTATTTTACAATATTCAACATCAATGACTTGATGGTGCTAAATCTTAGTAATCATGAGATTGACAACACCATTATAGGAGCTTTATGTTCAAGTATCAAAAGTGGGAAACTTTCTAAATTAAAATTACTCAAAATCCACAACACTCGAGTCACCCCTACGGGAATTCTTGATTTGTTTAAACTAAGTAATTCCTCAAGTGTTTTATCATGTATTGAAACTGATATTCATATGTCATTGGATAAAGATGGCTATGTTACAGGTACTGGGTGGCATAAGTTGGATAAGACTCGACACTCCTTAATATGTAAACTACCGTTGGGTTTGAAACTAAGTACTTTAATACGTCAGAAGATTATTGATTCGAGAAGCATCAACCTTAATGAGGAACTGATCTTGGACTTAATGATGGTAGACGAGGTATCTAACGATAAGCATACTACAGAAGTGACGATTAATGGCGCTTGGGATTTGAGAACCAAAGCAGCACGCAGAGTCTACCTCGGTGAGACGTTTGTTTTAAATCGAAAAGTGACTAGTGAAGAGAAACGCATATCAACACTTTCATCCAAACCTCAACCACGAAAGAAACAGAAAAGAGTTCAATTAAATGCAAAGGAGTTTTTCTGTATATAGTTAAATTAAGCAGATTCTCCGCCCTATTAATATAAACAGTGCAATGTATAAAAAAGTAACAACTACTTACTAAACTATTGCGGAGGTTTACCGCCATTTAATAAAGCTAACAATCCCTTTCCTTGTTCATTGCTTTCTTGTGAATTACCAAAAAGGTTTCCAATACTTTCACCCGGTTTCAAAATTTTAATCTTTTTTGGCTGATCCTGTAAATCAGGGCGTGTCTCTTCTGGAATGAATCCTCTATTCTGTTGTGTGCTCAAGGGATCAATCAAATGATCAACATCTTCCTCGTCACTGGCAATATCGAAATTTCTGTATGTTTTATCAAAGAATTGGTTTCCAAAGTGGTCACTAAATTGGTACCCATCTTGGTAGTCTTCAAAGTCTTCAAAATTCTCAAAATCTTCAAAGTTTTCGGGTAAATGTTCCTGTTGTTGATGATGAGCTGATCCTGAGTTCTGATTGGTAGTTGATTCCGGTGCAGGCTCAACATTAGGAGACATGACAGTGGCCGCAGCAATGCTTGTTGATCTGTCTTTGTTTAACAAATCAAGCAACTGACTACTGCGTCTGTTTGCTTTTTCGTCAACTGATAAGTTTGGTGTTGCCCATATATCCACAGCAGAAGGAGAAGTCACTGTATTTACTCCTGTTGCAAAATTGCTAATATTGAATTGTTTTCCTAATTCCCTGTTGGATGGGTTTGTATCTTTTGATTTCCAAATATCTGCAGTTGGTGAAAGGCTCTCGTGTCTCTCTGTGTCTTTTCTTTGTAATAATCCCAATAAGTGATTGGAAGCTCCAGATTGAACAGTTTCTGGTTGTTGTGATGGAAAATTCATAGGAGGTGAGGTTACACTATTTCTTGTTTCTGGGTACAATGCACTGAGTATGGCATTCTTTGCTCCTTCGTTGTTAGTATCATTAGTATCACTTTTGTTTTTCCCAAGTAATCCCAATAATTGATTTGCAGATGATTGATTGTTGCTAGGCTTGTTCAACAGTCCTGATAAATCATTAGATACCGTAAGGTTTGATTGCTCTTTATTGTTCGGCTTCTTGAGAATATTCAATAGGTCATTAGATGCATCTTGCTTGACTTCTTTAACCGGCTCGGTGGGAGATTTATGAAGTAATCCCAAAATTTCGTTCGATGCAGAAGCGTCCGTTTTTGGTTGTGTGCTATCCTTTTTTGGGCCTAACAAATCCATTAAATCCGCTGATGCTTTATTGTCAGATCTCTTTAGTAATTTGATTTTTTTACCAGCTCCAACTGGCTGTTGGTGTTGATGGTTTCTTATGGATTCCTCGATTTCATTAGATGCTTGTTGGTGTTGACTAATAATTGGACTAGCACTTGTCGAATTCTTCAAGTGTGTTTCCGGGGTTGGTGATTTACGACGAGACTCTTGATTAATGGTTTCTTTCTTTTCCTTTGTCTGCTTTCTTGGGAATACGCTAAGTAACTGTTCAGCCCTAGATCTAATATTTCCATCTTCAACAGATTTCTTTTGCTTGGCATCGTCGTCATCATCATCTTTCTTCTTTCCAGACTTGGTAGTCAAGATAGAGAGTAATTCTTTTGAATTGGTTTTTGGTTTCTGGAATGTTTGTGGATTAGGTGGTTGTTGATCTTGATAATGCGAGTAAGCCCCAGGATGTGGAGGCATGAAATGAGGTGGTGCAAATGTCATTGGGTTGAAAAATGGTTGATTATAAAACGGAAATGCAGCATTAGAGGCACCAGCAAAAAATGGAATTTGGCTGTGAAGATGTTGTGGTACGGGAACACTAAACATCGGCTGTTGTGGGTGAGATGGTTGACCACCCAACACTTGTGATGAAATGGAAGGTGAGGCTGGAAATTGTGTGTCCTTTTGCCCAACTTTTTGTAAAATATTCAACAATTCTCTGCCAGCATCTACATTCTCGACAGGCTTGTTGAGTCCTAACAAATCCTTCAATTTCAATTCGACTTGTAACATGATTTCCTCTTCGTTCAAAACACCCTTGTTCTTGTTGATCCACTTCATCATTGGCTTTAAGATAGTTCCCACAATGAAGAACGAGTTTGGGCTGCTTTTGTTTTTCTTTTGAATTGTTTTGATATCGAACCACTGAATCTGTGAAATTTCATATTTTGGAGTTTCAAAAACAGTATCCTCTGGGACATTCTTGACCAAGTAAATCTTGTAGTTCTTCCCCTTGATGTTTCTTTCAACACAATCGTTTTCATTAATCAAATGTCGGCAATTAAAGCCAGTTTCTTCTTCAACTTCTCTGATAGCACAATCAATGTCTGACTCATCCTTTGAGATTTTGCCTCTTGGAAATGACCAAGTATTTGACTCTGTCCCTTTGACTAAAACAACTTTATTTAAATCCTTATTGAATAATGCAACCCCTCTAACAGGTATGGTGGATTTATATTTACCAAACTTTGATAATGCCTCCTTTGGATCACCCCATTGCCAAACAAGTGGACACTTCTCCAATATCTTAGCACAAAATGTCTTCATTTTCATAGGTGGTAGATCTGGATTCAATTGACGAACAAAGTCTGCATAAAACCATTGCGCTTCTTCGATTTGAAACATGATTCTTTCAATTGAAGATAAATCTTCCTCTGGTACATTCACAACAAATCTCACTAGTAAATCTTCCAATACTCGATCTAGACTCTGGTTAGCTAGACCATTACGCAATTGTATCGACATGTTGTGGTCTTATAATTTAATGATATAAATGTAACTGTAATTAATAATAATGACAAAATGCTAATAATGTTATATGAACAAACCGTATGTGTATATCTATATAGTTGATAGTAGGTAATTTGATCATTCAACTTTTCTCTTCCTCATTTTTCTTCCTTTTTTTTTTTACTTCTTCGGTATTGTTTGTTGTCCAGCAAAGGAAGAAAAAAAAAATGCTGTTCTTGATCCAATTCACACGACCTGTGTACACCCAATCCCGAAAGAAAAATAAGAACATAAAATAATGAGAAAAACCAAGGTGGAGGAAGACTAATAGGTCAAGAACATTAAACATGCAGAAAGTGTCTATTAGGTGTTTTTCTGAATGTAGGGCACTTCTTGAAAGGTCCCAACCACGTTTTGTTAACACTTTCAAGGAGACTATCAAGTCTGCACAAGAGAAATCATATAGTATTGTTAGGCCAATCGGGTTATCAAAACCAGTCTTACTTAACCACAACTTATCAGATACCTATTCCATATCCAACATCTACCAAGAGCTTTTTGGTGCAAAGGCCAAAGAAAGACGACAAAAGCAATTGGATTATGATTTGAAGCATTCCCCGATTTATGAGTTAAAATCGTTTCAAAATACCAAGGGTAAGATATTCACTCCGCCAATTTCATACTTTAAAGCTGAAAAATCGTTGTATTTCCCTGATTTTATTGCTAAAACCTTAGCTGGAAAACTGAGAAGTTTATATGATGCATTTGGTAATAAAACCAGCATTGTTAAGATATTCTCAACTGTTGCTGGTGAGCAATGTACCAAGTCATATTTCAATGTCGATGGCAAAGACTTGTACTCTAAAGATTATAATGCATTTACACAAGACTATCCAAACTCTCAGATAATTGATGTGAATATGCCTCAGAGTTGGATCAAAGGGTTTGCATTGAATTTGGGAGCAGGGAACTTGAAGAAAAGTTTAAATTCCAACGTGGAAAGATATGATAATTATTTTATGTTGCCTAGTCATATCATGTCGTCTGAGATCAGAGAACTGTTACATTGTGATAATCAAACTACCGGCTATATATATATTATCGATTCTATGGGAAGAATTAGGTGGGCCACCAGTGGGTATGCTACACCAACAGATTTGGCTTTGATGTGGAAAGTAGTAAAAGGTTTAGAGAAAGAAATAGCCTCGTAGTCTGTATATATACTTATTGTAAATAGAGAGAAAGATTTCTTCAAGAATTTAAGCAAAATTACGTGAAAAAAAAATTCTTTAAAGAAAACTTTACTGATTTTCAAACAACAAAATCACACAGGAGAAGAACATACAACTTACTATTAAAAGTTGTACTACGAAGTTCACTTAGTTTACATGATATATTTATATTTTTTTTTGCAGTCACTTAACCCTAAAAAGAATCTCGATTCGAGATGCACGACCGATCAATATGAACCAGAATATAAAAACTGCGAGCATCAAAACAAAGAGAAGAAAAAAAAAAAATTTCCCATCTTAATGAAAATTTCTTTTCTTCTTCAACAAAAGCCAAATTGGTATGAGTATGTTAGGCACACCATATTAATTCACTCCTGCAGAATTTATGATGAACTTTTTCAATTGGGAATCTCTCTGACATTAATCCAAAAATACAAACCTATGGAGAAAACCAATTAATTGATTTCTGATTTATCACTTTGGAGTGGATACTGAAAACTATATTTACAAGAATACTAACATGAAATTTAGATGATAACGTTGTAGTAACTCGTATTGACATCCTCTGTTTGTTATATTGCTCTTGATGGGGGGGGGGAATCTTACCTCAATGGCGAATTCTTCTATCTATACCTGTTGTTTTTTTACGATAGAGCGCATTTACCTTGTGATTCTACGAATGGTTTATTACAATTGTATTAAAAGTCATGTATATTATACCAAATCCTGATAGCAGCACCTTCAACGTTAAGTGCATCGGTTAAAATACACGGCACGCCTAGAGCACTTGGATATAAAACTATAAAAACAGAGAGATTTAAGCAGCAATAGTAACTTCGACATCAACACCTGGCAAGATAGTGATGTTGGTAATTTTCTTAACAGTGGAAGCTGGAGCTTGCAAGTCAATAACTCTCTTGTGAATTCTCATTTCGTAGGAATCCCAAGTCTTAGAACCTTCACCATTTGGAGTCTTTCTGGTAGTGATCTTCAAAACTTTGGTTGGTAATCTAACTGGACCTTTGGACAAGATGTTGAAGTTACCAGCATTCTTTTTGATGTTGCTACAGACAGTTTCAACTTTCTTGACGTTGGTGGAGGTCAAGGTGATTCTGATTTTGTGGGTTTCTTCGACTTCTTGGGAGACCTTATCTTTGATGTCAGACATGATGATTAACGTTGATGGGGAACTAGTAGTAAACAGTTAATATTTTTCACGCATGGAATTTTTTTTTTTGGTAGTCTATCTCCAGAACATTTACTGGTTGAACAAAGTACACGCACCAGACATTCTTAATTGTGAGACACTAGGGCTATTGCCCTAAACATTTAAAGGCGCACTAAATGCTTAATCTCATGCATGTACGCACGTGACCACTGGATGCAAAAAGTATTTATATATTATCTATACATCTACTTTCCATAATAGTAGATCATATCATAGGTATCCATCCTTGTATTTTCCTGAAGTATCCTTTTTGTAAAATAATAGAGAAGAAATGTCGTCACTTGAATTCGATTTAAACGAATTGTAAAATGGTTTCTATTCGGTCAAATAGTTTCTCTTATGTTCTTGAAAGAATCAACTTCTTGGAGATGGGCATTCAAGCAATACACGAGCCTACGTTCCACTAAACTTGTCACACACACACACTCATTGGTTATTCTACTTCTTTCAGTTCTATCTTTCCCAATATCAGCAACTGAACTAAACCCACAAATGACCAGTGGCTCTTCGTGTTCATCGATATCATTAAAGCCGCGTTTGAGTGTCATTGATTGTAGTGACATAACTTTGCGATCCGTATCATCCAGATAATCATTAATCGAGTTCGTGTTTTCACGCTGCACTTCCTTAATAACTTGAACCTAGATTGAATGTTGTTTGATTGGTTGCCCGTCAAATTTGTAAAACTAGATCAATAAAACACATCATTTATCAAAATTTGCTCCTTTTTCGGTGTTTCCAAACAACAACAAATTTTACAAATTGATTGTAATTAACCAAAACTGATCGACCCAATTATGTTAATTTCAGATTTCAACAAGAAGCTTCAATAGCTTAGTTGGATTGGTCCCTTGGCCCAGTTGGTTAAGGCGTGGTGCTAATAACGCCAAGATCAGCAGTTCGATCCTGCTAGGGACCACTTATTTTTTTCACTCAGTATTCGAAGAAAAATTTACAATAGAAAAGTAGTAGTATTTATTTATTAACAATTTCCTTTTTTTTAATACATAAGTAAAACTAAACAGCCAATCTAGGTAAAACAAATCTGTTGGAGTCATCGGCTTGAGGATCTTTTGGTGGTGACTTGATCTTGGTTTGTGGAATCATAAATCCATTGAAATAATCGTTCACTTCGTTGAAACCAGCAACAGAGAGTTCAGAGACTAAAGCAACATGGGAGTCTGGACGTAAAACAATAATAACACCTTTTTTCTTGTCAATCCCATAGGTAGAGTAAATGTCAACATCACCTTCATGATAAGTTTCACCAACACCGGAATATAATCTCCAGTAATCGCAACGACGCTTGTAATCCAATGGATGGGTAAACTCTGGGAAGTCCAGTATTTCCACATCATGTCTGTTGGAAGCATGAATAGTAACAATATCAATAACTGAATTTGCAAATGCATTAATTGGAGTAAACTTCTTTGCAAAGAAATCTTGAGAGTCAATCAAGTCTTGGAAATCATACAACAACTCAACATTCTTTGGATTTTTCTTGATGTCACCAGCAAAAATCAAAACTCTAAATCTACCATCACTTGGTGTACGATCAGCCATGTGGATAGGGCGACCATCAGCTTGAGCAATGATATTGTCACTGTAAAGTCTTCTACCAATTGGAACCTTGGAAGCCAAGGGGTTGTATACTCTTCCTTCTTCATCAGGTGAAGAGATGGTGCCACTCTTTTTGGAAATCAACAAAGAGTCTTCATAATCCACAATAGTACCAGATGCAAACTTGTTACCTTCAAGATAGACTTGGTGGAATTCATCAAGATCAACTCCATCCATAATGTCTGAGTTTGGAATCATTGGTTTACCACTAAACAATCTCGATAACTTGTGATCAAAGGCAATCAAATCACGAGCAACTTTCAAACGTTCAGATTCATAAGTTGACAAAATATCTTGCTTGGAAAGACCTTTACAAACCAAGGCCAACTTGAATCCCAAATTGTAAGTATCTTGCATTGATACATTCATACCTTGACCAGCTTTTGGTGAATGAGTGTGACAAGCATCACCCGAAATAAAGACCCTATTATGGGAGCTGAATTTAGGACTAACTCTTTGACCAATTTGGTAACCAGTGTACCAGTGGAGATCTGTCATTTCAAGACTGTAAGGGTGGAAAATTTCTTGAGCTTGTTTAAGAATTGATTCAGGAGTAATTTTGGAACGATCAATTCTACCTTTGGAAGATCTTCTTTCTTCAACAGTACCACTAAATTCTTTGTCTCCAGGAGACGATTCTTCTCTTTCAACCTCTTTCAATTGAATGTAGAATCTAACCAAATCGTTTTCTCTTGGAATAACCATGACTGATCCACTTTCTTTAGAATGAATAGCACAACGACTTCTAATATCTGGGAAATTAGTAATTGGAACCATATCCAATACCCCCCAAACAAAATCAGTTTGTTCACCGTCCATGTCAATGTTTAATTGTTTACGAACCCAACTATGTGCACCATCTGACCCAACAACATATTTAGCATGAATAAGTTCATAATCATCTTCGTTGTCCTTGGTGACATCCTTGTAGAACTTTTCTTGATCTCCATCAAAGGCACGGAAAAGACCATTTGCAACTTTACCATACTGTTCTGGTCTAGCAGAATTATTATCCAATTTCTTAATCAAGATATCAACGGCATAAGCTTCTGGATTTTCTGCCTCTTGTTCATTGATTTTGAGGGATACAGGCAATAATGGACGTTCAACTTTAACCGTGCCAGAGGAGAAATGATCAATGGAGTCTTCAAACCATTTTTCGATATTACCTTGATGGATAACTGATTGGGTATATCTTGAAATTCCTGGAATGGTATCAGCAACTCTTGAATTTCTAACCAATTCACCATGTTCATTAGGGGACCAAAAACACATCTCAATCATGTGATTTGCAACTTTCCAACCCTGGTCTAAGGTAGCAAAATCAAAACAATTTTCACTAAATGACTTAAATATCTCCAAGGATCTACATTGTAATCCATCGGCTTGTCCTGCAAACACTTCAGTGGATCTCTTGTCAATAATTCTAAAAGGAATACCGCATCTAGCCAACCATGTTGCACACATAAAACCTGATGGGCCAGCTCCGATGATGAGCACGTCAGTATTAGATTCTTTAATTGCCATGTTGCTGTTTTTGTTTGTTTTGTTATAAATAGTTATTGTAGTATGTTTTGAATTAATTAGATTAAGATTGGATTAATTAAAATGGGAATCAATCGACCTTTTTATAGACCACATCAATCATGGTGTTTACCATTCTTATGGTTTAAGACATTTCCGATTTACTGCAAGTTTCTATGAAGAGGGAGGGGGATGAAGTAAAATGAAGGATATATGCATCGAACGTTTACCACATATTTTGTATAATTTCCGAATCCAAGTATTATAATTCGGTGGAGTAATCCAAACAACAGGGTTATGGCTTGGATCTCATAACTCCCAAAGAGAAAAGTATGGGGTTAAGAAACTAGAAAATCCGAAGAATATAAGCCACAGATAAAGAATCTGTGGGGTAATCAAGAAATAAAGTTTTCAGAAGTTAAAACAATGTAGCGATGACTCAGTACTGGCTCTTCATTGCCTGGACGAGAGAGTGAAAGATGAGATTGAATGAAAATTATGTAAGTTGCACTTCAAGGTCACTATAATCGTAGTCTAATTCACTAGTATGCACTGTTATTAGAGGTGTCCCAAATGACTAAATGATATGCATGTCTTACCAGCCAGTATAGTGACTATAGTTTAAGGTATTCGCAGGACTGTTAGCCCCTCACATTACAAGTACAGAAAGATGCGCATTTCCGTTTTTTGTACTTTGGTTTACGGAAATCAAGAAAACCCCAGATTCACTTTTATGAAGAGGGGGAAGGGAAATAGAAAAATACGAGACATGAAAATCAAAGCAAGATTGTTAGAAAGCCATGGACGTTATTCCATCTCCTTAGCTACTACAGAGAAACTCCGGGGGAATCAAGTTGAATTTCCGCTGATATATCCCAATGAACATTGTCTTATAGCCTATTGTGTTAGTTGTTATTGTAATAACAGGTTTCCATGAATTGAAACAATGCTTACAGGTTGAAAGTATTAACATTCAAAACATAATTATTGGTTCCGTTGAGTTGAGCAATAAAACGTTTGATAACTATTTGTATTATCGGAAATACCTTATTTGACGGTTGGGCTGTCTTTATCTTTCACAGAAATTTTCTTCCTGTATTCAAATCCCATTAAACTTGTCTATAGAGATCTACAATTACCTCCACTTGATTTATTATCATCAGAAAATGCAAAATCTCCTTTGTGTTTTCCTTACTTGTTATTGAACTGTTTGTCTGTTGATCTGTTGATCTGTTTATCTGTTTATCTGTTTATCTGTTTATCTGTTTATCTGTTTATCTGTTTATCTGTTTATCTGTTTATCTGTTTATCTGTTTATCTGTTTATCTGTTTATCTGTTTATCTGTTTATCTGTTTATCTGTTTATCTGTTTGTCCGTTTTTTTTTTTTTTTTTTGGCTCCGACTTGTTTGTGTTTTGATCAGTCAATTAATCAATCACAGAGTTCACAAGGAACTCAGGAGCAAAAAAAAAAAATAATTCTGTGCTCAGTGTTCAGTTTTTTTCTTCCTTTGTATTATCCTCCCCACAATTACAAGCAATCACACCACCTACCATCAATAGACTAGACAGACATGGAAAGAATTTGTGTCGTTTCTGATGGAAACGAATATGTGTCCCAGAAAGTAATTCGTTATTTGGCATGGTTATCTATAAAGTCAAAGTTTTTTGAAAACAATGGAGACTCTGAAAAGACTGCGTCAGAATTGATCGAGTGGTATTCCGACGAAAGCGCTTCCGTGGCTATTTTGAATTCCAAAAATTACATCGAAGACTACAAGCCAATTTTCAAGGAATATGGTATTCAAGTATTTTTCATGGGCAGTGGTAAAACCAGTCCTGGTGATGATAATTCTTTTATTCACTTTAATGGCAGTGATATTATCATCAACCAAATTACAAGCCATCTACAATCCCGTATTTCTTACTTTACATTGAATCTCAAACCTAGACCAAGAACAATATACTTGTCTAGACATGGTGAATCCATGTTCAATGTTACTGGGCAGTTAGGAGGTGACGCTGATTTGTCTCCGAGAGGATTTGCATATGCCAAAAAATTGCCTGAGCTTATAAAAGCCGATACTGATGCTGAATTGACGGTATGGACAAGTACATTGAAACGTACTGGTCAAACTGCTAGCTATCTTCCATACCGTAAATTGGAATGGAAAGCTTTGGACGAATTGGATGCTGGGCAATGTGACGGTTTGACTTACCAACAGGTTGAAGAGCAATTTCCTGAAGATTTTAGAGCTAGAGACGAGAACAAGTTTGAGTATAGATATCGTGGAGGTGAAAGTTATCGTGACATCATTATCCGTTTAGAACCGATTATCATGGAATTGGAACGTCAAGAGAACATTATGATCATTACGCATCAAGCAGTATTGCGTTGTCTCTATGCCTATTTCATGAATGTTCCGCAAGAAGAGAGTCCATGGATGCTGATTCCGTTGCACACTTTGATCAAATTAGAGCCAGGTGCCTATGAAACTAAAGTAACCAAAATCAAAGCAAACATTCCAGCTGTCAGTACCTACAAAGAAAAGGGTACTTCCCAATTAGGAGAATCTGCCACCAGCAGCAGTTCTAAAAGTAGAGACTTGATCAACAATTGCTGAAGAGAACCGTGTTACATCAAATTTATATATTTATATATAAATATTATCTTATATCAATTGGAACAATCTTTATTATATATGCCATTGTATCTAGTCTGTTTGTGCGTACCTTTTGGCTTGCTCTATAACTTTCTTTTTGTATTCTTCAGGACGTTCGTTGAAAGCCCTGTATGAGTCACCAGCGGGCGATTTTGTATTTGGATTATCCAAGAGTTCTTGCACACCAAGAAGTATTTGTGTCAACGTAAGTGTAGGTCTCCATGCTTGTTCATCATTTAAAATACTCAAACACACGGTCCCGGAAGGATAAACATTTGGATGGTAAAAGCCTTGTTCAAACTGAACCTTTGGAGGTTTAGATGGATATTCGTCTGGGAATAAGATAGTGACTGGATATAAACCACCTGCCCAAGGAGTGCCATCTTTGCCTGGGATACCTGCAACCCAACTTTTCAAATTCAAGGATCCGTCTGCTTCCTTTTTAGGTCTAGCGTAAAAACCATATGGATGGGACTTTCTCCATTGTTTTCTTTCTTCTTGTAATCTAATTAAACTAAGCGATGTTGACATGATAGCGCAAGTACGATGTTGCCGTGTGAATGATAGAAAAAGAACGACAGAGAACTTTTTTTTTTATTTTTCGAATTGTATTTACCGGCTGACTTTCTCACTCACTTGTACAGTATACACGCCCGCAAATAGGTTGACCTTTTTTTTTTCTTCTTCTTCTTCTTCAACTACATCGTTCATTTCCACCTTCGTGATAGCAATTGGTACCGTATAAATGATTATTGAACAGGTATCAGAGAGTATTGACCCCAATACTCAAACAAAGTACGAATTTCCAGAACCAACTGCAAAGGAAAAGATAAATGACATACAGCAAGACTTGTTACAACCGTTGCCAGAAATCAATTGGGAAATATTAGATCTTGTTGATAAACCTGTCGACATCAATCGTGAAGAAATAATTGATAAATTGGTTGTTAACCCAGAAAGATTGAACCGAACGAGGTTTAGATTTAAGAGATCTGGTATAGATGGTCACATTACTGGATATCAAGAGGAAATTAATTTGAATGAATTGGGCAATTCCAACACGTCATTAAGTATTAATCGTGGATATACATCGAAAAGCGAAAGTCTTAGGGGGAAAACCAGTTTTTTGCCATTTCAACCTGGTGGATTGATCCAACAAGCTGCCGCAGATAGGGAATCAAAGGATTCAAGTTCCAATTTGCACAGAAACGAGTACGGGCTATTTGACGTCCCACCCGGATTTCAACGTGGATTGGAAGTCGGGTCAGAAAAAGCAGACCGGTTGGATATTGAGGAATTAAATGATGACGGAACTGTAGAAGATAAGGAAGAGAAATCAATAACAATGAAACAACATACATTGGATGATGATAATGATGATGTGTCCTCTCACAAAGTGATCACATCAGATGCACCAAAAGCTGATATTCCTTTTGATACCAAAGAAATTGAAGGATTAGTTCCATTTGATTACTCATCTTTTAAATATGATGATAGGAAAAACCCATTAGATAAACGTACTTGGGCTCATGTTGTTGATTTGGACCACAAAATCGAAGATTTCCATGAATTGGTTCCCAATATGGCGCGTACCTGGCCGTTTGAGTTGGATACTTTCCAGAAAGAAGCCGTGTTTCACTTGGAACAAGGAGATTCAGTATTTGTTGCTGCCCATACTTCAGCAGGTAAGACAGTTGTTGCCGAGTATGCGATTGCCATGGCGCATAGAAACATGACCAAATGTATTTATACATCTCCCATCAAGGCATTGTCGAATCAGAAATTTCGTGATTTCAAGGAGACATTTAAAGATATCGATGTCGGGTTGATCACAGGTGATGTACAAATCAACCCTGAAGCCAATTGTTTAATCATGACTACTGAAATTTTGCGATCCATGTTGTACCGTGGAGCAGATTTGATACGTGATGTTGAATTCGTCATTTTTGACGAGGTTCATTATGTGAATGATATCGATAGAGGAGTGGTTTGGGAAGAGGTCATTATTATGTTGCCAGATCATGTTAAGTACATCTTGTTATCGGCAACAGTTCCTAATACATTCGAGTTTGCCAACTGGGTTGGAAGAACAAAACAAAAAGATATATATGTTATATCTACCCCAAAAAGACCTGTTCCATTGGAAATATTCATTTCAGCTAAAAAAGAATTATTCAAAGTGGTGGACTCTAACCGTCGATTCATGGAAAATGAGTTCAGAAAGCATAAAGATTTATTAGAAGCAGGTAAGAAGAAAACCGAGTTACAGTCGATCACCATGGGATCAGGAAGTAGAGGTGGTCCAGGTGGAACAGCCAGAGGTGGAAATAGAGGTGGTGGTAGAGGTGGTCGAGGTGGTGGTAGTGGTCGTGGTGGAAATCAAGTATCTAGAAGAGGGAACTTTTCTGGTCCAAGGCGATTTGGTAACGATGGACCAAATAAAAATACTTGGATAGATTTAGTGCATTATTTGAAACTGAATAACTTATTACCAGCTGTCGTTTTTGTTTTTTCCAAAAAGAGATGTGAGGAGTATGCCGACTCGTTGAAAAGTGTCGATTTCAATAATGCCAAAGAGAAGTCTGAGATTCATATGTTTATTGATAGGGCTGTCGGAAGATTGAAAAAGGAAGATAGAGAATTACCACAAATTCTTAAGATTAGAGATATGCTTAGTAGAGGTATTGCTGTACATCATGGTGGATTATTACCGATTGTCAAGGAATGTATTGAAATTTTATTTGCTAAATCATTAGTTAAAGTATTGTTTGCCACCGAAACATTTGCCATGGGATTGAATTTGCCAACAAGAACAGTTGTTTTTTCGTCCATGAGAAAGCATGATGGTAGAAGTTTCCGTAACTTGTTACCGGGCGAATTCACACAAATGTCCGGTAGAGCTGGTAGAAGAGGGTTGGATAAAACAGGTACTGTAATTGTTATGGCATATAATGATCCATTATCACCAACAGATTTCAAAGAGGTAGTGTTGGGTACTCCAACCAAATTGCTGTCACAGTTCAGATTGACATACAACATGATTTTGAACCTATTAAGAATTGAGGCATTGAAAGTTGAGGAAATGATTAAGCATTCTTTTAGTGAAAATTCCACCCAAGTTTTGTTACCAGAGAACCAAAAGAAGTATGATCAGGTAACGAAACAGTTACAACAAGTGCAGATCACACCATGTAAAGACTGCTCCTTAGTCGGCACCGAAGACACGTGTAAGATGTTGACAGAATACGAAACCGTTTACGGTGAATGTGTTGTTGATATACATAAATCCCCAGTTTTGAAGAACCAATTATTACGAGTAGGTAGATTACTTTTTTTCAGAGACAAAGATGGTGGTGGTTCAAGACTTGGATTTGTTGTCAAATCTGACAGTGCAAACAATTCTATTTTCATTTTAACTTTCAATCATGGTAAAGAATATGAAGAAAGCATTGAGAAATATAAATTGCCTTACCTTCCATTTGCTGATTATGTCATGAGAAACTTTCCAAGAATTAAGTTTTCTGGCGGTTTGAAGGTTGTGTCTGTGCCATACGAAAATGTTTGTTTCATCGGCAGATATTCATTAAAGGCATCTATTAATGACATTATCAACAATGATGCTGCTGCAGTACTGGAAGCTTCAGTACAGATTAAAATTTTAATCAAGTATCAAAACAAGTTTGAAGAGTTGGCGTTTACTTACACCAAGCAGTTGTCCTTACATGAATTGGCGATTAAAAAACAAAAGTTGTTTGAAACGATATTCAATGAGAAGGCATATAGTTGTCCTAACTTCAAAAATCATTATGCGGAATATCACGAAAGATACTTGTTGACCCAAGAAGTTGAAAAATTGAAACGATTAATTTCTGACGAAAATTTGGATTTGTTACCAGATTACGAACAGAGATTGCAAGTCTTGGAGACCATGGGATATATTGATAACCAGCACAACGTGGTATTAAAAGGTAGAGTTGGATGTGAAATCAATTCTGGCTGGGAATTAATTATCACAGAGTTGGTGTTGGATAACTTTTTGGGTGATTTCGAGCCAGCTGAAATAGTTGCTTTATTGTCGTGTTTTGTTTATGAAGGTAGAACACAGGAGGATGAACCACCATTAATAACACCTAGATTAGAAAAAGGTAAAGCAAGAATCTTGGAGATTGCAGAGAAATTGTTGAAAGTTTACGTTGAAAAGCAAGTGTTATTGACTCAGGAAGAGGAGGATTTTGTTGAAAGTAAACGTTTTGCATTAGTGAATGTTGTTTATGAATGGGCTAATGGTTTGTCCTTCAATGAGATTATGCAAATCAGTGTTGAAGCTGAAGGTACCATTGTTAGAGTTATAACGAGATTGGATGAAATTTGCCGTGAGGTGAAAAATGCTGCTTTGATCATTGGTGATTCGACATTACACTTGAAAATGGCAGAAGCACAAGAAAAGATCAAAAGAGATATAGTCTTTTGTGCCTCCTTGTATTTATAGAGACGTAGCGTATAGATATATTTCTATTTACATGCAATATTAATCATAATAATACGGTACACAAATCATAACTGTTTTAATTTTACAATATCTATGATACCTCTTTTCCCCGTGATCACCTTATTTGTGATAAACTCATTTACCGATTTCTCGTTATATTTTATCAGTAGTATGCCCAACATAGTATAAAAGCTCCCAAGTGAAGTCTTTTTCCAAAGGTCTATTCTCTTCAGTTTGAACTCTTCACTGGATAATTTCTCATTTATCAACAACTCTCTATTAATTAAACTAAACTGATGTAGTTGGTTCCATTTAAGAAATTCATACACTATTTCAGTATTTTCAAATGTACTTAAATCTTCTTCAATTTCCACTTGACTTGCAGTTAAATATCTATCATTTAAAAAAATCGTATTTCTAAGTAAGCAAACTTTGAATTTTCCATATCCTAATTTTCTTAATATTCTAGTTTGATAATTATTGTCGTTTATCTTCAATTCCATATCTGTTAACCCATGAGCAACGCATAATAATTCATTAAAATTTAATTCCAAATCATCGATATATGTCAAAATAGGTTGGGCTTTTAATTTGAAAATGCTATCTTCCAGGCTAGTCAGCACCCACGGATTTAGTTTCAGAACAGCATCTCTTTTAACTCGAGATCCCAAAAATGGTAATATACTAAATGCATCCTGACGAAGTATGTGATTAGGTTTTCTTTTGGCTGATATTTCTAGTCTGGTGTTATATAGATCATTCGACAGGAGCGGTATTATTGATTTGTGTCTTAGCACTGATAACAGTAGTTGTTGTCTACTACAACTTAACCTTAGTCTATTTGTTGTGTTGTGTAAAAACATTGAAGCAATCTGATGGGATGTAGTTCTTAGTAAGTAGGTAATGTCTAAATCGAGATTGGCTTGAAATTTTTTTTTTTTTTTTATAGTAATTTTTTTCTCTGTTTTGTTTTATTTTGCACTTTTATTTTATTATTATTCTAGATAATACCCAATCAATCAACGTGAATGTCTTCTAAAGCTTCATCGAAAAAGAAATCAACTGGGGCATCCACTCCGGATCCAACGAGTGCACCTGCCAAGAAGATCAAAATTCCCAAGTCTTTTATACTTAGACCAAACCAATTTCCACCTCATCACTTGAAATCCATCGCAAATGTATACATGAACTCTGAAATCTTACAAGCCATGGAATTATCCCCTGGGAATTTAGTTTATGTTTCTTCCCTTGAGGGTGGTTCACCTGGAATTGTGGCTACTGTATACCCATCCAATGATATTATTGATAAAAATATCATCACTATGAGTTACTCATTTAGAGAATTAACTGGATCATTGTTGGGTGATAGAGTTGAAGTAGTAAAGTTTATGAACCAACCAACATATGCCAATGATGTGACAATTCATGAAGAGGATCAAGAAGAAGTGGAAAAAGTCAAGAATGCGTTACTTGACGTTGGATTAATCTACCCTGGCTTGAAATTGAACTTGGGTTCTACAAATAAAATAACAATACTTGATATTAACGACAGTTTACAAGATTCAATGAGTAAGTTGTCTGTTTCTGAAGATTCTGTTTCAACAAGTTTTTCTCACATTGTATCCCCACCGTATTTGATTACTCCCAAGACCTCCATAAACGTCACAACAGATGCCAACGCAACCCCAAGTAGATCAAAATATCCAAACTTGCCACAGTTGATCACTTATGACCAAGTAGGTGGGTTGCTGAAGGAAATAGAATTATTAAAATCAACCATTGAATTGCCTTTAAATAACCCCATGTTGTTTTCTGAATTTGGGATTACTCCACCACGAGGAATTTTATTGCATGGACCACCGGGTACTGGTAAGACGATGCTTTTGCGATGTGTTGCCAATTCTATTGTTGGGGCACATATACTCACAATTAATGGTCCAAGCATAGTATCAAAATATTTGGGTGAGACTGAAAATGCAATACGTGATATCTTTAATGAGGCCAAAAAATTCCAGCCTTCGATTGTATTTATGGATGAAATTGATTCCCTTGCTCCTAGTAGAAATTCAGATGATTCTGGAGAAACCGAGTCGAGAGTTGTGGCACAATTATTGACCATGATGGATGGAATGGGAGATAATGGGAGAATTGTTGTTGTTGGTGCCACAAACCGTCCTAATGCTATAGATTCTGCATTAAGAAGACCTGGTAGATTTGATCAAGAAGTGGAAATTGGTATTCCGGATGTTGAGGCTCGTGAGGAAATCTTGTCCAAGCAATTTTCCAAGATGAATTCTGATAAATGTGAGTTGACAAAAGAAGACATTACAAGGATTGCTTCAAAAACACATGGATATGTTGGTGCTGACTTAACGGCATTATGCAGAGAATCTGTTATGAAAGCAATTAATAGAGGTTTGACAGAAGGAATTTCCCAAAGCAGTATTAAAGTTACTGAAATAGATGTCAATCATGCATTGCCAGAAATTAGACCTAGTGCAATGAGAGAAATATTTTTAGAAATGCCAAAAGTTCATTGGTCAGATATTGGAGGACAAGATGAGTTAAAACGAAAGTTAATAGAAGTCGTACAGTTGCCATTAGAAGCCAGCCAATCATTTGCTAATTTGGGAGTGTCCTCTCCAAAAGGAGTTTTACTTTATGGTCCACCGGGTTGTTCTAAAACATTGACTGCGAAGGCATTGGCTACGGAATCGGGATTGAATTTTTTGGCTGTGAAAGGACCCGAAATTTTTAACAAGTATGTCGGAGAATCGGAAAGAACAATACGTGAAATATTCCGAAAGGCCAGGGCAGCATCGCCTTCTATTATTTTCTTTGATGAAATCGATGCCATTGCGGGGGATAGGGATGGTGACAGTTCTACCACCGCTGCGCTGAATGTGCTTACGTCTTTGCTTAATGAAATCGATGGTGTTGAAGAACTTAAAGGCGTTGTTATCGTTGGTGCAACGAATAAACCAACAGAGATTGATCCAGCATTGCTCAGACCGGGAAGGTTAGACCGTCATATTTATGTGGCACCGCCAGATTATGAGGCAAGGCTCCAAATCTTGCAGAAGTGCACTCGTAACTTTAATTTGGATAAAGATGAAGTGGCACTTACAAAGTTGGCCGATTTAACCGAAGGGTGTTCAGGAGCTGAAGTCACACTACTTTGTCAAGAAGCTGGGTTAGCTGCAATCATGGAAGACAAAGACGCGACGGTGGTTTGTAAGAGACATTTTGATCATGCCTTGCAAGGTATTTCCAAAGGTATCACTCCGGAAATGCTTGAATACTACGAGAATTTTTCCAATAGAAGTGGACTCAAAATGTGATATTGTTACACAAAAATTTTATAGAGAATGTACACAAAAACTTGAAGAACCTTCACGCGCAAGCAAGCAAGCATTACAGATGATAATATTAAAAGATTAGTTTGAACGGAAAACTACAAAATTGAAAACTCTATATATAGTTTGTCTGTTTGTTTGTTTTTTTATCTTTTTATTATTTATTTATCTGTTTTTTTTTTTTGGACAAATCATTGCTGTTGACAACCTTCTTGTAAATTTTTTTCAAAATCCGGCGGTAAGTCCTTATCGTTAAATCCAAAGGCATCTGCTCCATTACCACCTTTTCCATCTCCGAAACCAGGAAGGAAATCTCCAGCATCACCAACCAATTCACTAGGTGGCTGGCCCAATTCTTGTAAAGATTCCAATAATGTATTAACTTGTTCTCTTTGTGTTTTATTGTCATCACTGTAACTCTCGTGTTCAAAAATGCTAACGATATCATTGGTTATTTCATATTGTTTGGTGTAATTCTTGAATTTGACATCATCGAGTGTTTCTTTGTTCTTCTCCAAATACTCTGGGAATTTGGTGTTTAAATCTTTAATTGGTTCATACAAAACTTCTTTTGAACTCAATTGTTCCAACATATCTACCAATAATTTACTCATATCCATGTCTCCTCCACCTAAACCGTCGCCACCACCCATACCAGCCAATAATTGTGTCAATAAATCTTCTGGGTTTGATCCCATTGGATCATTCTTAAGCTTTGCATCAATATCGTTACCCAGTTTCTTTAATCTTTCCATGGTTTCCTTCATGACGTATTCGAAATTGCCCGGTTTCTTCTCTTCAGCTTCTACAGATTCCCTGTGGTTGTTTTCAAATTCTTTAACCAATTCTTCAAATTGTTTCTGAGCCTCTGGGTTTTCAATCTTTAAATCCTTGATCAATTCACTAATTGATTGTTGGAAATCAGTGTCAAGTGGATCAGTTGGTTGAGCAGTGTTGGGTGTGTTATTTGTTGTTGATTGTTGCTTATCGTTTGAAACAACAGAAGCTCCTGGGGGTTTGCTCAAAACATCATCAGCAAAATCATCTAATAAATCATCTAAATCATCTAAATCCTCTTCTTCGCCATTTGTACTTTCAGATTTTGTATCCACCTCCACATTTTTAGTTGTAGAATCGCCAATGGTGGTGGTAGTATCAGCAGTTGGCTTTTCGGAAATCTCTTTCTCTGATGACATTATAATTATAAGTGAATAAGGGAAGGTTTCTTGTAAATATTAAAAGTTTCCCCACTATGGAAAGAAAAAAATAAAAAAAAAAAAATAAAAAAGGAAAGAAAGAAAGAAAGAGAGAAGTGGTTAGATATTTATGTGATTATTCGTTGAGATATTATGTAAGCTTATGAAATTTTAAATTTTAAATTTTTAGTTGTTTTTTTTTTTTTTTTTTTTTTTTTTTCCTTCATTTTCCTCTCAGTGCGGAGGGTACCATTATGTCGACAGAAACTCCCCCACTTTGTTTAAATCTAAGACAAGTTCTACCGCGGAACTTCTAGAGAATAAAATAAAGAATAAAAATAAAAATTTGGCCACCACTTTGAACTGACGCTAAGGCTGTTACGGCCATAATACAAAATATGCAGAATGACCAAATAAATACATGCCGAGTATATACTGATTACGGAAGAGGTGTGTACAAGTAAACTATATATATATATACATTCATTTATGTATTCTACAGGTTACAACTTTGGTTTGTTTGCATCTAAACCGCCCACAGTTGCATTCCAATTGACTTCTATAGGACCATTATCATTTTCACCTGCTGGATCTTTATCAAAAAACACAACTGTCACTGTTAAATCATCACGGTATCTTCTTGAAATGGGACTTGGAATAGAAAGCAACATTGAAGTTTGTTCTCTTGATCCACCACAAGATAATGCATTTCTGATCAAATGAGTAGCAACATTCTTATCTTCCAACAAAAACCCATTTCCCAATTTGTTTTGCAACGGTTTCTTCAGGCTATTACTATCTTTCGAGAGATCTTGAACTATAGGCAACTTACCATCAGCACCTCCAAATCCAAACCATGATTTCTTCGGCTTTATCATTCCTTCCTTTTCCATCCATTTAACAACCAATGAAACAATTTCACTATTACTAAGCATCTCAAATAATCCATCTGAAGCCAATACCACAAAATCTTGATTTTTGATCTTTGTTGATGTGATAACCGGTTCTGCTGTAACGTAAGGAGGAGTCTTCAATTGATTTGGAACGGGTCTACCAAAAAATTGCTTGTAAATTCTTTCTTGTACCGACTTTGGAAGTTTGTAGCGGCAATCACCAAAGGCACGGCTGGGCTCTAAAGAACCTAGGATTCTTCCATGACGAATCACGTTAGGCTCGTTAGGATGCTCACTTAGGATTCGAGCTACTTCTTCTGGTGAAGAGCCTGTTTGATCTTTGGTGATTGCAGTTGCTGACCAGTCATGGCCATTGAACCGACCAAGAACTGCTCTGGAATCACCCACAGAAGCCGTTTTAAGAATTTTAGTATTTGAATCATAAAATGCTAAAAGTGCACAGGATCCACTCAAGGCTGGCATCAACAAGTCCGCGGCATTCGTTTTCCTAGATTGGTTGAGAATCTTTTCGACATTTTTAGTCACAATTTCATGATCTAACTTCAAAAAACCATTGGAAATTGCGTTCTCTATTGTTGAACTACTTGGGATGTAGCGCAAATTCTCTTCTCCTGGGACAGGTTTATAAACTGTATCCAATTCGTTAACCACATACCCAATCAATTGGTCTCTCAACTTGGAAGAAGTGGCCCATCCCCCATGACCATCGTACACACCAAAGAACATCCAGTCCGTTGTAGTTTTTGTGTTATTCTGTTGTAATATATCCACTTGCACTATCTGTTCTGATCGGTCATCTTCAATCGGAGAATTTGAAGGTAATTGACAGGTATCATACCTGGTTACACCTTTACCTCTATTAACAAAGTAACTCTCCTCGTGCTGACGCAATTTTGCACTAACCTGTTCTTCATTAAGAGCAAAAATCCCTTCTTTCTGTTGTTGGAAATGGTTTAAAGAGCTGGTGCTGAAATTCTTCTTTTGTACAAATTTGCTTGAGGTATGTGAAGGTGTTGATGGTACTGGGGGTGCTGGTGGTGATGGTAAGGTATCCAAATTGAAATAGTTAGATTGGTTGAATATAACATACGATCCAACAATGATAACACCAGACACTAACGCAACTGATTTCTTGTATCGTTGTTGTTGTTTATTTGGAACCGAAGTGGTCTTTAGTGATGATTGTGATAATAATCGTTTACTAATAGTCTGAAACTGCTTGTTTGTGAGACCTAAAAGCTTTGGTCTAACTGTAAGTGCAAATGACATGACGATGATGGTGGTGATCGATAGGGTCCCTCTATTCTCTAATCAGATTAATTATTTTCTTTTATTTTCTTTTTTTCTTTTGGTTTGCTTTTGTTTATTTAAAGACGTCACTCATTGGGTGAATAGCTTTAGTTAGATTGCACGACCTAAAAAAAGACTGATAACGCACGTGATATTCCAAAACCAGCAACAAGTCACAGGTTAGTGCTCAAGTCTTGATCTTCAAAAAATATAATGAACTTATACTTCATCTATCCAATGGTAGAAATAGACAACTACTAAAGACGATATATTGGGATCAAGCCGCTTACCATATTCAAAGTGTGAAAAAAATAAATGGTCCCTAGCAGGATCGAACTGCTGATCTTGGCGTTATTAGCACCACGCCTTAACCAACTGGGCCAAGGGACCAATCCAACTGTGCTACTGAAGCTGTTGGTTGTTCCTTTGAACTTCAGTAGCTCTTCTGTGAAGTCTTACAAGGAATCTTGAAATTACAATAGAATAGTTGGTGAGTATTGCTCATCACAAGTGGTTCTTGAGTCATATGACATTGGTACAATCACAGATCACACATAAGTCTTCTCAATTGTATTTACCAGTTTTTTTATTTGTTTGTGGAATATTGCAAAATTTCAACAAAAAGCCAATCACTTGTAAGCCTACACGCAATTGTATATCTAAATAATGATAAGAAATGTATATATATTACACACCTCAGATTCCAAGTTGTTTATATTTATCACTCAAATAATGTGGATCATTCAAATACTTCAAATCATCAACTGGTCGTTCTCCCATCACACTGATTCTGTACGCATGACGTATCACTGGTTCATCAAAGTCTACACATGGAGAATGAACGGTGGTTGAATTATTCCATAAAACAATCGTATTTTCTTCCCAACGAATACGAAGTTGCAAATCCTGTGATGTCTCAACAAGATCAAATAAAAACGATAATAAATAATCCAGTTCATCTTCCTTTAGCTCAACTATTCTTCTTCCAAATTCTTTGTTCAAGTACAAATGTTTCTCTTTCGTCAATGGATTAATTCTAACAAGGGGATGGATATTAGCCTCTGGTTCTCTCCTAGTTATCCCACCGACCTCTTTGTTATTTCGTGCTTGCTCTATAGAGGAGTGCAACACATGTAACCCTTCTAATCGTTCCTTCATAGCCGGACTCAATCTATTATAAGCCTCCACAGTACTAGCAAATAAAGTATCACCACCAGCTTCTGGTATCTGCAAACATGAAAATAATGTGAGCTGCAAGGCATTTAACGCATAGGAACAATCAGAGTGCCAGGAAATGGAGTTGGTTCTGTTAGCAAACACAGAATTGATTTCATCTTGAGTAGCACCCCTAAAACAAACATGCAATTCTGGGAAACCTTCGGGTGAACCACTTGTTGCGTGTTTGTACAATGTACCAAAATATTTAGCAAAATCAACAGCAAATTGGGGTCCTTTCTGGTTGAAATCTTGGTTCTTGAAAACAACAACACCCCTTTCAGCAACAAAGCGTGCAAGATCATTTTTAGCACTATCACTCAACTGTGAAAGTTGTATACCATTAATTTCAGAGCCCAACTTGGGAGTAATTCTTTTAACTGAGTAACGGCTGCCACTACCAATACCATCTGGAAACAAATTCTTCAATTCTCCATCAGCCAACAACCCCTTGTCGTGATATTCGGCAAATGTATAATTGGGAAACTTCTGATTTGGGTTCCAAGTGGGTAAGTATTCAGGATATAATGCCAATTTGAGGTTTTGATTACTAACAGTATACGATCCAGACTTGGTTCGGCCAACGTGGGACTTTTGAAATTGGGAAGCATCGTATTTATCTGTATCAGAAACTGGTGCCATAGTGATAGTTTTGAATATCAACGAAATCAAGAAGAAAAATATCGATAAACAAGTTTTCAAAGGATTTATATCCTTATTTTTATAATAACTCCACACTTGCAAACATCCTCACGTGAACGGGTGCAAATATACCAACAAAAGTGTGGCGATGTTTATCAGTCGATACATTTCATCTTTTATACTTGCCTGGAATTTATTTTCTCTTTTTCTGAAGTTGCATTCCTCCCCACACACTAGAAACTGTGGCGTATGGTCAACGTATAAAAAAGTATGAAGTTTTAGGTTTATTATGCTAAAGAGATCCAAAAAGCAATCACCGAAAAAAAAAAAAAAAAATAAAAAAAGTTGCGATGAAAACCGGACCATTGATGCACAACAAAATTTGCTTGTTCCCAGTGAGCCATGTTTAACTTATTAGCATGTGGATCCAATGGAAATTATCAATTAGGATTAAATGATGACGACGATAAAAGTATTCTATTACCTTCATTATTCAACCATAGTGGAAAATTAACAACCATCATTCCTGACAGACCCCAGAAAATTGCTTGTGGAGGTAATCACACGTTAGTCCTCCTAGACTCAGGAGAAGTCTATGCATGCGGAAGTAATGAATATGGTCAGTGTGGGTTACCAAAATGTGATAATGTGAAAACTTTTTCCAAAATACCAGGCAACAATTGGATTGATATATCCTGTGGATGGGAATTTTCGGTTTTAGTCAATATGAACAAAGAAATCTACGTGTGTGGGAATGGACTAAAAGGAGAATTGGGACTTGGTAAAGCGGTGAAACAATCTGAATTGAAATATTGTACAACTCAAGATAATTTCAAGATTATTAAATCATGTATGCAACACACCATTCTTGAAACCACTACTGGCGAATTAGTTGGCTGGGGAAATTGTAGGAAGGGTCAATTAGGAGAAACAAATGAAAAGGTATTTTGGGTACCCACTGTTTTAAAATTTGATATTAAAGTGGAAGACTTCAGTCTTGGTCGAGAGTTTACTGCAATACAGTCAGGTTGTAATGATGTAACAGTGTTTGGAAAGTTTTCTGTTGATTTAGAAAATAATGTGCTACAAAGTCGATTTGATATTTCAAAAGTAGAGACGATGTGGTCTTCAATACATATACTAGCAAATAATTCAATTCAATCATGTGGAAACAACAGTCACGATCAGTTATATCCCACATCGGAAACCATAAATGTGGAAGAGTTTTCCATTGGCAGCGAACATGGGCTCGCGAGATCAGGAAACACAGTGTACGCCTGGGGTTGGTCAGAACATGGAAACTGTGGAAAATCAGAGAATGAGAAACAAACATTTGATTATTTAAACAAATTATACTCCGGTCAAGATAAAGTGGTTCTAATTGGTACAGGTTGTGCCACAAGCTGGGTAGTAGTAGAAACGTCACATAGGACAGTAGAATAAATATCACGATGCTTCTTTTCCAAATTCATCAATGAGAATGATATGTTCCCGAAAGATGGAAAATATGTCCATCGTAGTTGTTCTAGGATATTCACTAAAAAATAATGTGTTTGGAGGTATACAAAAAACATCAATAAATGCACAGTGATAATCCTGTTGATTAGTATTAATCAAAAGAATGTGAAAGAAGATGCTAGAAAAAAATTTTTTTTCTTCCTTCTCTTCCCTCATTTTTATACTGTTTTGTCCACACGCGTGGGAGTGAACAGTAGGGGATCATTTTAGAGAGCAAAAGCTAAAAAAAAAAATACATACACTCACATACAGAAACTTTCCCAAACCTTGCCGGTGTTTTCCTCAACAACAACAACAATTAATATAACATGTGTGTTTTTGGAGCAGTATGTCTGGGAAGACCAATGGTCATGGCTCAACAAGTGGACCAGACAAAATATGTTATAAGCATTCCCAACGCATCCAACGTCTCGTATATCACGATATTTCTATTGCCAAACTCACCATTTGTCGATAACAACTACACTGCGTTGGTATATTTCCAATTACCATCCAGCGATGGTTCTTCATCTGAATACAAGTTATTAGGAGGTATTAATCCATCAAAACCATCCGCAATCTATAAATTGAACAATAAAAACACACATGCAGCCTCAAGATCTCCAGATGATATAGATATGGACAGTGCCCCTGTTGATACTAATGACAACACCACGATAAATATAGGTATTTCCATTGAACCTACTCCACAGGCAGAACAATTGATTCTACAGGCAAGAAATTCAAATTCATTGGTGCCTACAAGCAAACCGACAACAACTGCAGCAAAGTCGCCAAGCGAAACAGCTGTTCTTGCTAACAAAATAGTGGGACATGCTTATAATTATCTAGCTAGTTTTATTGACAATTCAGGTAAAGTCCCCATAAAAGCATTTGATAACTGGTGGGACAAATTCAAAGCTAAACTAAACAACAACCCTAATTTCTTGAACGAGCTAGATAACTAATATAGTTGTAACTTCAATAATATATTTTAGACATGAATGATATTCTTCGCACGTATACCTCCAAGCATTGCGCGAGAGCACGATAAATATTTACTGAAAGAATTACTCAACCATACACGGGATGTTGCGAATTCTCCTGGATGTTGTAATTCATTCGTATTGACGTGCTTTCTTCTCTATATAATCGACTGATCAAACACCATTGTTTCACAAAACGCAAAAGCAATAAAACGGAAAGAAGAAAGAAAAAAAAAAAGAAACCCATCTTGAAATACCGTGTTGCAACACATGGGTCACGTGGCATTAGATCATTTTATATTTTTTTCTTTTGCCCTTCATCCCCCGTCCCTCAAGGATGGAATCGTGTCCCGACGCAAATCCGAAATTTCTTTTTAAATTTTCTCGTCTCGGGCTTATTTGCCCTAGCAATGGTGTGGCATTTTGGTGTTTATTTGTAAGCTGCTCTCAAAAATTTTTCAACTTGTGGAAAATAATACAAGGTATATAAAGCATCACAATGCCAGGCATCAAGACTTTTTTTTTTGGCAGAGTCCTTTTCTTCTTTAGTTGAGTGTTTCTTTTTCTACCAACGTCTTAAAGTCCAACCTTTTTTACATTTTAATAGTATAAAGTCCAACCTTTTGCTTTAAGTTATAACCTTGATTTCAAGAATTCAAACCATCCCAATTTTTTATCATTTTCCTTTGATCCATTGCAAACTAATATAACATGACTATCGAATCTACTACTAGCTATTCATTTGGTACTAACGCCGTCCACGCCGGTGCTCCACTTGACCCAACTACCGGTGCTGTTATTGAACCAATTTCCCTTTCTACCACTTTCGGTCAATCCGAACCATCTAAACCATTGGGTATTTACGAATATTCCAGATCTGCTAACCCAAACAGAGACAACTTTGAAACTGCTGTTGCCGCTTTGGAAAGCGCCAAATACGCCATTGCCTTGTCTTCTGGTTCAGCCACCACTGCCTTGGTTATCCAATCCTTGCCAGTTGGTTCTCACATTGTTTCTTCTGGTGATGTCTACGGTGGTACCCACAGATACTTCACTAAAGTTGCTAACACACACGGTGTTGAAGCCCAATTTGTTGGTAATTTGGTTGAAGATTTACAAGGTGCTTTAAGAGAAAACACCAAGTTGGTTTGGTTGGAAACCCCATCCAACCCAACTTTGCAAGTTACTGATATTGCCAAAGTCAAATCCATCTTGGCTGACCACCAAGCCAAAACCGGTAACAAAGTTTTATTGGTTGTTGACAACACCTTCTTGTCCCCATACCTTTCGAACCCATTGACCCACGGTGCTGATGTCGTTGTCCACTCTGTTACCAAATACATTAATGGTCACTCCGATGTTGTTATGGGTGTTTTGGCCACCAATGACTCCGAATTGCACGAAAGATTCAGATTCTTGCAAAATGCTATTGGATCAATTCCATCTCCATTTGATTCATGGTTGGCCCACAGAGGTTTGAAGACCTTGCACTTGAGAGTCAGACAAGCTTCCACTTCTGCTCAAAAAATTGCTGAATACTTATCCCAACACCCAGGTGTTTTGAAAGTCAACTACCCAGGTTTGAAATCACACAAGAACCACGACGTTGTTTTGCGTCAACAAAGAGATGGTTTAGGTGGTGGTATGATTTCTTTCAGAATTGCCGGTGGTGCTAAAGGTGCTTCTGTTTTCACTTCTTCTACTAAATTATTTACTTTGGCTGAATCCTTGGGTGGTATTGAATCATTGATTGAAGTTCCAGCTATTATGACCCACGGTGGTATTCCAAAGGAAGAAAGAGAATCAAACGGTGTCTTTGACGACTTGGTCAGAGTCTCAGTCGGTATTGAAGACACTGAAGACTTGTTGAAAGATATCGAACAAGCTTTAGAAAAGGCTACTTCTGCTTAAGTGATGGCAATAAATCACTAAATTGTAATATATATTTGTATATGTATAATAGGATAAATAATCGTTAATTGTGAAACCATAAACTTGTAAGCATGCAAAACTTTTTCTTTTTCTTTCCATGTAGTTCCAAAAGCAAGATTTTCGCAACCATATCCACACACACACCCACCCACATATGCACACAAAAAAAGGGCACAAAAAAAGAAAACGCATCCACAGAAGAATTGTAACAACAACGGAGACAGACCAGAGAGAGAAAAAAAAAAGTAGCCACGAATTGAAAGTTTCTCGTTCACACCACTCACATGTATCAACTGCCTTTTTCTTTTGATAGCAACTATATACACACATATATGAAGTTTTCTGTGTTAGTGATAATTGCATTTCAGTTACTATCAATCAGAGCTCTGATAGTAGATACCGCTGAAGAATTAATTTGTCCGGATCCCGAGAATCCATTAGATTGTTATCCAAAGATTTTTGTTCCAACTAAAGAGTGGCAAGTTATTAAAGAAGGTCAAGAAATTCCTCCTGGATTACACGTAAGGTTGAACATAGATACTTTAGAGAAAGAAGCTAAACTAATGGACGATGATATAAAGGATGAAGTTCCTGTCCAGGAACTTGTTGTCGATGGTGAAGTTCAGGATCATTCCAATGAAGCTATCCAAGAAAACTTACAGAAGATGCATGAAAGAAAACATCCTGAAGTTAAACAAGATCACTCACACCGTTCAAGAGTTAATCAGGATGATTTGAATGATTTTGATTCTGCCTCGTTGGAAGTGGAAGGATACAAGCCAAATGCAAGCGATATGGACAGGTTGAACACCGCATTAGATACCCTTGAAGAATTAAGTCACGATATTGAATTTGGGGAGAAGTTAACTACTGATAAGAACATTTTCCAAAGTCTTCTCAACATAGCTGATACTGCTAATGATGCAAAGGTAGAAGAAAAGGCTTACCGTATCATGGGCTCCAGTTTAAGAAACAACCCGGAAGCTATCAACAATTTGTTGTCCAATTTTGACAGAGACTTTGTAACCAATTTATTCAGTCAGTTATCTAAGAAAGACGATGTTTTACAAAAACGAATCTTGGGTATAATTCAGGCCTTATCTCAGAACGGCCATTTTACAAGAGAATATTTTTCATTCGATCATAGTTCGGGATTAGATAATTTGATTGAAATCTTCCCTAATCTTGGTGTTGAGTCACAAACTAGAGCAAGTAATATCTTGGAAGACTTGCAATTGTTTCCTGTAACAAATGACAGACGATCACTCGAAGACCAAGATCCAGAATCTCGAGTTTCCAAATTTATCCAAAATTCATTTGTTGGAAATAAACTTGATCAAGATAACTTTAAACAATATTTCAATCAATTGGCCAAATTGCACCAGGACAATAAGGATTTGAAACCTACAAATGAATTCATTGAATGGTTGGCTAAGGAAGCTGAACTTCGAAAGGAAAACAAGAAAAGAGATGACTATTCACAGGATGATAAGAACTTCGATGAGTTCATGCTTACTGCAAGACACGAAATATTTGGTAATCCAATGGGATTAAGAAAAGCCATTGCTGACGAGTTATAGAGACTTAAATAATAGTAACTAGACAAATCTCCAAAATAAGTATATATTGAATTTTTTTTTTTATATCTAGTACCTGTTTTTCTTTACCAACAATGTTGTTATTCTTTTTAAATATTATTATTATTTTACATTAACAAAAAAATAAAATACATGAAAATATGTTGATGCACCCTATTAAAGCTAGCAGTTCGCTTAATCAAACAAACCGAAACCCATATCATCATCGGATTCTTCTTTTTCTTCTTCAGCGGCTTCTTCAGCAGCAGCTTCGTCACCGGCAGCGGCACCAGCAGAAGCGGCAGCACCAGCTGGAGCACCAGTTGGGACAGAAGACAATTTTTCGTTACCTTCAGCAATCAATTCTTCGACGTTTTTACCTTCCAATTCGGAGATTAATTTTTCGAGTTTTTCATCTTCGATTTCAATGTCAGCAGCAGATAAGACGGCTTTGACATCGGCGGCAGATGGGGTGGCGTTACCGGCGTTGACCAATAATAAGTAAGCAGCTAAGTATTTCACTAGAATCAAAAACAGTTAGTATTCAATCATGCTGATTTCTCTAGAATTATGGATTCATTTGGAAAATTGAAATTGCATCATTACTCGAAATGTCCATAAAGTAGGTATCTTGAAATTTTGCAATAGTTTCTCCTGTAATTAATCCATCTGAATTCTCGTTATTATATCCTCTTTCACATACTTTTCGGTTATGTACTGTCGTTGATTAACTGAATAAAGTGGTACGTTAGTAAGTAAATATTCGTGGGTCCTAAATTTTTTTTTTCCACCAAGATTGAGGTTAGTTCGCAAGGATGATTTTGCGTGTACGACTCACAAATCTCAGTTAGGGCTTTAGCCCTAATGACGCTACCATTTGTACAAAATTTTGAGTCTTAATCGTTAGTACCACCAACAAATAAAACCTATTCTTGACAATGATACGCTAGGAAGTTTATCATGTTTAGACTGTTGTCCATCTAACGGGATTTATTCTTTGTTTGGTCAAAGCAGGCATAGGGGAGGTCCAGGTCGTAATGATCTTGACTATAGTGGATGCGATTGTTGTTTCTCACTTGCGGCGTGATTCTGAATTCCCTAATTAGGAGAAAGAGAGCTGCTGACAAATGTTACGCACATAAAAAAGAGAGAAGACTGTAATTGAGAAAGTAAAGTGCGCACCTGCAACGACGCAATCGTTGTTCGATTTGTGGGTGTCGGACAAAAAGTGTGGGATATGTGAGATACTGATGAAAGTCAAGTCAACATGGAAAGTATACATTTAATCCTCTACAAAAAAACAAAAGAATAACATATCATGTCGATTAAACCATTTCCTGAATTAACTGCTGAACAAGAGAAGGAACTTGTAACCAATTTATCACAATGGACACTTGGTAACGGGTTAGTCATGTATCCACCGGATTTTGAAGGTTATCAAGCCAACACAGCACCAATCACCTTGTTTCCTACTCCGATTCCAAAGGAAAGCTTTACTCGAGCACAAGAGGTTCAGAAGTTGTTCCATGAGTTGTATATAAATGTGATAACACAAGACAAGGAGTGGTTCTTATCGATTCTTGGCGAGTTGTCAAAACATGACGCCGATTTTACAGGAAAGTTATTTGAAGTTTATCAGAAACTGAAAAATATCCAACCATTATCTTTGGGATTGTTTAGATCAGATTATATGGTACACCAAGATACTAATGAGATCAAGCAAATTGAATTCAACACTGTCAGTGTATCATTTGGTGGATTGTCAACCAAAATTGGCCAATTACATCAATATTTGAATGGATCTGGTCAGTATGACAACAAGTACAATTACAAGTATTATGATGATGAGGAAGAAATCCCTGTATCACCGTCAATTAAGGAATTGGCTCAAGGTTTAGCTGATGGTAATTATTACTACAACAATGGTCATAATAATTCTTCCACAATTGTGTTGTTCATTGTGCAACCAAATGAAAGAAACAGCTTTGACCAGAGACATGTTGAATATGCATTGTTCAATAACCATGGTATTAGATCTGTTAGATTAACATTAGAAGAAGTTGAAGATCATGTTACGATTAGTCAAGATAAGTTGTACATCAAATCTACTATGGATGAAGTATCAGTTGTTTATTATAGATCTGGATATGCTCCAAGCGATTACGAGATAAACCCAACCAAGACATGGAATGCTAGATTGTTATTAGAAGATACATTGGCTATCAAATGTCCATCTGTGTTGACACAATTGTCGGGAACAAAAAAAGTTCAACAAATATTAACCAAAAAGGAGATGGTTTCAAAGTTTTTACCTAATGCAAGTGATGAAGAATTAAAGAAAATTTTATCAACTTTTGTTGCAATCTATTCCTTGGATGAATCTGATGAAGAAAGTGAAAAGGCAATCAAGTTGGCATTTGAAGAACCAGAACATTTTGTATTGAAGCCTCAAAGAGAAGGTGGTGGTAACAATGTGTACAAAGAGAATATTCCTTCATTTTTGAAGAGTTTGGACAAGAAAGATTGGGGTGCTTACATATTAATGGAGTTGATTAATCCTCCATTATACAAGAACAAGCTCATTAGAAATGGCGAAATCTTCCATGAAGACATTATTTCTGAATTAGGAATTTTTGGTACTACTGTGTTCAATGAAAAAAGTGGCGAAATATTAACCAACAAGAATGCCGGTTGGTTATTGAGATCCAAATTTAGCACTAGCAATGAAGGTGGTGTTGCTGCAGGATTTGGATGTGTTGATAATATTTATTTATATTAGACGTAATAGAAACTAGTATATATATACTATTAGACTTTGGCTTTTTCTTCATTTTTCTGATCAATTTTAGGCAGTGTCGGTGTTTCTGGTGTTTCCATCATCGTTATGGCGCACCGTGGTTGGTTAGTTACATTAGAATCTGTATCAATCAATGCGGTAAGCGGTTGCAACTGGATGGCATTTTTCTCAGCCGCTTGTTTCTCTTGTCTTTCGATATCCACCGCCCATAATGCGGCCCCTAGAGTGTTGGTGAACATAAAATACATATTTACAAATGGAAACAGCTCGAGCCACAATGCAACAATGCCATATCCCATATAGGCTGGTCGGTTCAACTTGTGTATTTCTCGAGTATCGCTTCTCAGAAAACCTCTCAATTTAAAATATCGACCGTGAGCTTTGACTCCACGTCTAGAAGACTGGAATAATAAAACAATCAATGGACCCACAAATGGAATGAAATAGATCAACCCAAAAGCAAGTAATTTGAGCAACAGAAACGGAAAAATAGAGAGATCTGAGATTGCTTTCAAATATTCGGAGACTCGAACTCGTAATGGGAGTTTCTTGTATCTTCGTAACTTCCCCATAAGAACCACATCTTCAGAGCATTCACGTACTAATACAGCATCATAGGCTACCCTCTGTATATGTGGCATTAGGGAAATTGTTACAATAAAAATGGATAACGTACTTGCTTGCAGGATCAAATTGTACCATGCTCCAATCACTCCCAATGGCCCCATGAGTAAAGTGTAAATTACGGCTTGTGGTGGAAACACTAAAGCAAACATTATAGAATAGATTAAAAGTGTCAAGGTAAGTTGTGGAATCAATATAGTAATGTAAAATGGCCAAATAGCAGGGTGAATGATAAAGTATAATAGTCCCTAGTAAAGGCGTTAGTTTGGCTTTAATTGATACAACAGTAAATAACAATGTGTTTCACTTACTTTAAAGGGATAGAAATATGCACCAGATTTGATTATTTCTACAAATGGAATTGTCATTGTGGGTGGTGGTATTCAACAAAGGTAATCTGTTGCAAAAAAAAAAAAAAAAAATAAAAATAAAAAGCAAGAGAACTGAAAAAAATAGGTGTCACTGGCGAAACATGAGTTCGATCGAACAAACATCGAAGATTAGATTCTTGTCATTTAACTAAATATAATAAGTTTATGTAAATTTCTATTCTACAAATATAACTAGTGCTAGAAAAATGAACCTATGTTTGGAAACCACATGTAGTCTGTAATTTTAATTAATATTTTGCACCAATTTGCAAACAAAAACAAAATCTCTAAACCCAGATAAGAAGATGGATGAGATTGTTAACAGTTAAACTAGTGTTCTATTTTGAATCACAGTAAACCTTCTCATGAAAGGAGACTTTATAACTGATTTTGCTAGCATTACGATATCAGACTAATTCTTTTGAAAGATATTTCTGATTTTTAATCTTAGTTTGAACCGACAACCAATAGCTTCAATAGCTTAGTTGGATTGGTCCCTTGGCCCAGTTGGTTAAGGCGTGGTGCTAATAACGCCAAGATCAGCAGTTCGATCCTGCTAGGGACCATTTATTTTTTTCTCGCACCGCGTAAGTCAGGTTGATTGTAATGTGCTTCATCTATTTTTTTTTTTTTGGAACAATACAGAAACAGTGGATCATTTCACACATAACATTCTCCCAATTTATTATTACTCACTGCACAATTAGAAATATACTAACTAATATACAAACTCTGTTTCTTTATGGATTGCACCTTTGGTTTTTAAAAATTCAAAGTAATTTCTCCACACTTTTCCTCTTCTCTTTAAACACTCAACGTCTCCAATAAGGATCATACTATATTTGGCTCTGGTCAAAGAAACATTCAATCTTCTTTCATCTTTCAAGAAACCAATACTACCATCCACATTTGACCTGACACAAGACATTACAATAATGTCTTTCTCTCTTCCTTGAAATGCATCCACCGTTGCAATCATAATACCTGCAACAAAATTGATTGTAGCTCCCTTGGCTGATCTGACTCGTTGATTAACAAGATCTACTTCTTGTTTCAATTTTTCTGCATCTGGATTAATTATACGATCCTGAAGTAAATTTGATGATATGACATCACGCTGGCCCGCATAAGATGTTATAACTCCTATTCTTGATGGATTTATCTTTTTGTCTTGGATCAAAGTACGTAACACCAGCTGAACATATGCAACTTCAAAAGGATTTACATATGTGAAGCCCTTGTCAGCTTTCTTTTTATTTTGGATAGGGGATTCAGGGGCATCTCCATCAGTATCCCAAAAATATAAAGGATGGGTGATTCCTATTTCTTGCCTTTCACTAGAACTAATACCGTCAGTCAATTTACCTTTGCAAAATTGTAGTCTTGGGAATTCACTTATTTGTGGATGCATTCGATACTGCGTATCTAACATTAATGGATTGGCGCAAGTATTATTCAACAAAAGTCTTTCGAACATGGACATTGAGAGGCTTTTAATTTCTGACAAACAACTCAATTGTTTATCGTCACCAACAACAACAACTTTTTTAAGTCTAGGTAATGCTAATGGAATCAAAGTAGCTGGTTCAGCTGATTGTGTTGCTTCATCAATAAGAACGACACGGACTTGAGGTAAACTTTTTATCTGACCACCACCAGCAACTGTGGTTGTTGCAAAAATTACCTTATGGGCACTAAGGATTTCCATAGACTTCTTTTTTCGAGCATTGCAAAAACTATCGAACTCACACTTATCTATTGAAGCAACATCCTTATGATACAATCTATCAGCAATCCTTTGTTGTTCCGGGGTCAACAGATCGTATACCATGTGATGCAAGCAAATACTTGCTAATGGATGTTTCCTATCATATTCTGCAAGCTTTTGAGTAGCAGGAATTCTTATTAAAGTTTCAGGATGGGACTTCATTAACTTTTCTGCAATATTATCAACAGAAACATTAGATGCAGCAGTAACAAGAATAGGATATTCGTTTGACTGCAATAATTGAACCACTATTTCATAGATTGCAGAAGTTTTCCCGGTACCAGGTGGTCCTTGCAAAAATGTGACTGGATTATATAAAGAAGTAAACACTGCACGTCTTTGTGATTCATTCAACATTTTATTTTCAAGCTTGTCCACCGTAGAATTATTGTAGATATCCATATAAATTGGATTCTTCCCCAAAATAATATTTTCTAGCATCGTATTTGAAAAACAATGCATGGCATTCAACATTCTGGTTACTTGAACTGAAGCAGGATAGATTTTTAATCCACAAGTATCTTGACCCCTTGGTAATGGTTTGTCATTCCAATCATAAAGTTTAATTGTTAAATTAATGTGATTAATTTGGGTGTTTTTATCCTTGATAGTTTCATCGCGATAAACATAGCCAGCCCAGAGTTGACCAATTTCATTAAACATAAATATTGTCAGCTCATAAATAAACGGGTTACTTACTAGGTGAAGCATATCTGGATCCTGCATTTTCTTTACCAATTCACTTTCGCTAGTTAAAATAATTTGATACTCTTTGTTTTTCAAGGCTTGTTCTTCATTCCAAATGATTTTAAAGTCTTTTTTATCTGTAATATTTCTGGGATTATCAGTAATATCCTGCAAAAATGATAAAGTTGTGAAGTGACGGCTGTATTCAGTCATTGAATGAAAATTGATTTTTGGTTTACTGTTTGGCAAAAACTTCTTGATATACGATTTCACAAACTCATCAGTGTCATTATCAGCAGACTTAGCACCGGCCCGATTGTTACCATTGGGCCTCGATCTTTTGCTTCGCGATTTATTTTTGTGGTTTGGAAAGATGCCCACAGCATTAGTTTTGTTGGTTTCAACATTTCTCAATGGAGTACTTGCACTCTGATTATTCAATGGATTCTTAGAAGCAGCAGTTACCAGCAATTTATCAAAACTCAGAGCAAGACATACAATCTCTTTCTGGTAATCAATATTTATTTGATTCTCTAGTTTTCCTGGTAAATGTTTTGCATTACGGATATGTAATACAAGTTGATCATAGTGGTCAAATGGTTGGTGACATGTCGAGCATTTGATAGCCATGGTCGGTCTGGTTGGTGGAAGAAAGTAGTTTTATTTTTGTTTCAATAAAAATTTCAGATTAAACTTATGTATTTATAGGAATAGGATTTGCAGGGGATACGTAAGCAGAAAACTCTCACCTAGAATAAGGGGTGAATAGAGTTTAAAGGGATAAATCCCATGTTTATCTTATCAAATGTTTTTATTTATTCCAATTTCAGAGAATGAACTTTAAACTTATGTTGATACAACTTGAGGATCTTATCAGAATTGAAAGTTAAGCATATATTGTTGTGGTAAACACCAAGAGTTGATAAAATTTTTTTTATTCTTTGTATCTTTTTTTTTTTGTTTTACAACTCAGTTCCTAAGAATTGATAAAACCTTGTTTTTGCAACTATTAAGGATGTTTAACCTTTCATATGCGGCAAATAGACCTAGCGATGTTGACTTCAACTTACAACCAACAGCTTCAGTAGCACAGTTGGATTGGTCCCTTGGCCCAGTTGGTTAAGGCGTGGTGCTAATAACGCCAAGATCAGCAGTTCGATCCTGCTAGGGACCATTTATTTTTTGACCACCCACCATTTGGGTATACTTGCTAATGTACAAGTGGAACAACTTCTTTATTAGAAAACTCGATTCAGAAAGAGTTTTGCTTTCATTATTAGTTTTTTATTTTTGACTTTTTGCAGCTCAAGGTTTTGTCAATTTTTGAGAAAAAGAAGGAGCCAATTATCTATCATGAAAACTGTGTACAATAAACTATACTCAAACTCTAATAATTAGATAAATGTGTGGATACACTTTTTTTTCTATGAAAATCCTATGGTCAACAACGTGTTATTCTTCTGGTTTATATCCATATATGCGTTTATCTTTTAAAGATAACATTGTTATTTGTTCATCTTTAAACTTTGCAATGTTAAAACAATGTCCAATTGTAAGAAAGTGAAACTTGTTGGTTTAAGAAGAGCCATAACAATTCATTCAATAAAAAGATATTATAGATACAAAGGCGGACTATGACGCGGGGAAGACCAACTGAAGTCTTTTCTCAACTGGGTTTTTCAAAATTAATCACAGGTTTAGAAAATTTCCCCCAAAACTAGTATAATTCAAGTATTTGTATATTGTGTTAACGTAGTACATATCACGTGACATCATTTAACAATTTTTTTGAATTGACATATATACAAGGAAATAATAAAACTTATCATTTTATTCTACCTAATGAATAGATGACATAATAGCCTCTGTTAGATTCGTTCCAGTGAATTTTGAAGTGTGGTCGGTCTTGTCGAGTTGAGTACAAAAACAATGAAAAAAAAAACATCTTGAAAAAAAAAAATACATCTCCATCTCATCACCAATAACTGAATCAAACATGGGTAAACATAGAAGAAATAAGAGAAATCAAAAAGCTAGACATAATCCAGTGTCGAATCCAGATTTAGAAAATGAGGTGAAAGGTTCTGGTAAATCAAAAATCTTACCACTTATTTCCAAATTAAAATCAGCAGTACCAAATGATAAATCCATGGCAATTGGTGTGATTAATGTATTGGCAGAAGATCAACGTATGAGAGAAATGTTGTTGAAAGAAGATATTATTTCTGTGGTTATGGAAACATGCTTAAATGATTCAAATGATGAGATTGTAGTGGAGGCGTTTGGATTGTTAAGAAACTTGGCTATTGAAGAAGGTTACGATGTGATTAGATTCATATGGGAAAATAATATTTGGACCACCATTGAAAGTGCTTTGGAAAAGATAAATACTTCATTCAAATACTTGATTGAAAATGGAGTTGCAAAGGAAAAGGACAAATCTAAAGTTCAATTGTTGTTTGATTTTTCCGAGAATATATTTGCATTAATCATTATGTTGATAACTGCGGATGAAGAAATATTTGATGCTATTTTCAGTAGAATTGATCCAATTCTTGAGTTCATTTTAAATGTCATTGATAACCATGTAGATGGGAAATTGAAGATATCTTCTGGATTACTTAATACTTTGTTAGAATTTATTTATCAATTATCAACTGAATCCGTTGCATTTGTGGAAAAGATACACACCTTCAACTGGGAAAAAGTGTCGAATTTCTTGACAGGTAATGAATCAGTGACACCTACAGCAAGAATCTATTACAATGGGATATATTTTTCACTTGTGGAAATTGTTTTACAACCAACTGACCAATTGAAGAAAGAGGAATTAATGAGAGAAGTCTTGAGTAATGTTTTCAACAGTGTCAAAGAAGGTGGAGAAGAAAATGTTGGATTTGAAGTAGGATGTGATATTATTGCTACTGTTTGTGAATATTTGGCTACGAACGAAGCCAATCCGGAAGAGCCTGCCAAGTTGACAAATGAGACTTTGCAGTTGGTTGAACAAATAGGAACTGGATTAGCTGAAAAAAATGAAATACAATCTGCATCAGCTGCTTTGAATAATCTACACTTGGTACTTGAAATTTGTAAGTAGGAGTTCTTAATAAACACACACACACACACACGTTTGATAAATCCACACGTACCAATGTACAATTCCGTCTATCTAATAATAGAAATATAAAAGCAAGGCTCATTAAGTTCAATTTCACCCTAGCTGGACGTTTTTTAATTTTGCAGTTTTGGGAAAGAAATTTACAAAATGGTGAATTCTAGATCCTTAATGCAACTGTAAGAATGACAAAGCAAAAAGAAAACAATCCATGGTGATTGGTGAAAATTTCAATCATTTTCGTTCAAGAACGAACGTCATCATACTTCTGGTGGTTCAACAAAGTCATTTCATTTTAACAGATGACTAAATACAGGCTTCCCACTAGTACGAATAATCAATTTCAACAACGAGAAGAAATGAAATTCCTCGTATGTCAAAGAGCAAATATTCTATTTGGTAATCATGATTTTACCCACACTACCCATTCTACGAACTTTCTACAAACCGTGATTTCACCAAGAAGTATGATGACATGCATTTACCTCTATATATGGAAAAAATACCTTGAAGAAATAAACAAAAAAAATTTTTCATTCTTTATTTTCTGTCGTGGTACACTACGGCCCCTCCTTTCGGCGGGAAAAGGGTATACACAGGCATGGACAAAGTTGAAAAAGACAAAGAGACAATAAACGTGTATGTAGACACACACTACTTCAATAAATCGATAAGAAATCAAAAGTGATAATCTGAGAAAGAACAATCGGAATTAAACTTATGATTAAGATTTTCATATCATTCATCAAGAGATCTTTAATTTCTTCTAAAGCATGTCTCATTACCTTAAGTGAAAGCAAACATAAATCATATGGAACTAAAATTAGAAAATCAAAACATCTTCACCTATAAACACGGCCCCGCCATATTTCTACTGCATCTCTTTACAACCACCTTACATGAAAAAGAGCAAATTCATGAAATATTGTAAAAAAAGAAAAGAAAAGATGAACCGGAATACCCAACATTGACGATGCGTACACAATACACATGATAGTTGCATCTGCATTACTAATATGACTTGCTGCCTATTTGTAGTTACGGAAAACTTGAACTCGTTCATGTCTCCACTCCACTTCATCATCATTCCCAACTCTTATCTCCAGATCAACCCTGTTACTGTGCTGGCTCAATACTTTAAATCAGGAATGTTGATCCAAATAAATTGATGATTATGATGATGAGACCATTTGATCCAGAATCACCAAGTCAACTTGCCAAGTGGGAATGTTAGTAGTCATATATCGGGGAAAGTGAATACAATTAACCTTAACTAAAAATCAATTAAACACAAAAATGAAATGTACCCTGAATGTGATTTACATTAGCAAAAGAAAAGAAAGAAAGAAAAAAAAGTGGTTAAACAATGAAAACGAATAGACATTTGTAAATTGCCTATGGAATTTAAATTAATTACCCTTTACTGATGGCTGGCTGGAGCGTCGATGTATCTAGACTTAAATCCCTGATCAATAGAAAGGAATGTCTATGTCGACTTTTTTTTTTGTCGCGGTGAATTAAACCATGAAAGGAAAGAAAATACAACGGTTGCTAGTTAAAAATTCGGTTCGTTTAGTACAAAACAAAGAACATACAAATCAATCGAATCAAACCATTTCTATTTTTAACATCTCTTCGATGATAAAAAAAAGTCGTACATTTGTTTATGCCCTTTCGACGTGCCCTTTTGGTTATAATTTTCACGCTCCCTCGCAGGCAATGGTTATTGCCCCCCTTTTTTTTTAATCTCTTGTTCATTAAACGTGTGTTCCCCTGGACTTTAAAACCATCATGATACACTTTTCAATCTCTTTACCTGAACAAGTAAATAACTACATGATACAACCCAAAAAATAAGGGTCCTTTTATTTTTGTCAACGATCAACATGAGATGATGTGCGGATTCGTCCATTTATTTGAAACAATCTTGAGTATGGGATTTATGGACTTATCTATGAGAGTAACATTCCGCCCTGAAATTTGGGTGCGAGAATTAATATTCAAAGGGGAGAAAATGATAAGTCGCACAAAATCAGCATCCTCACCTAAAAAAATTTACTTTAATATGTTTTGCAGCAAGGCTCACAACTAAAGTGACACAGACATTTGACAATAAAAATCAATGTAAAACTGCAAAAGCAGCAAAAAAAAAAAAAAAAAATCAAGAATAATAATAACTCCTATCATCTAAAATTAGCAAGGTATTTATGATTTATCTTCTGGAATGAAAGTAAAAAGATGCAAAAAAAAAGTGATTATAAATAGACTACGAAATTCCTTCTACTTCTGAGGGTTGTATTTTTAATTTCTTGTTTTATAGTTGTATCAAATTAATAAAAATATAACACAACTCCCCCATTCGCTATGAAATTATTCACATCATTCGCTGCCTTAGGTTTATTGGTATCTAGCGCTGCTGCTACCTACTACGGAAACACCACTACTGTTGCTATCACTACTACTGATTTCGTAACAACATGTCCATATCCAACTACATTCACAGTAAGTACTTGTACTAACCATGTCTGTTCCCCATCTATTGTAACTGTCACTAGTGCCACTACCTTAACCATCACTGGTGAAGTTATCTGCCCTACTGGAGTTGTCTCATCTGAATTCCCATCTGAATTCCCATCTGAATTCCCATCTAGTGTTGAATCTAGTGAAGAAGAAGAAACTCCATCTGGTTCTGAAGGTTCTGTTATCACTACACAAGTTACTGTCACTGACTACACTACCTACTGTCCATATCCAACCACCATCACCGTCACTACTTGTGAGAACCATAAATGCGGAGAAACTGTTATTCCAGTTGAAACTGCTACTACAATTACTGTTACTGGTGAAGTTCTTTGTCCAACCACCACCACTGCTGGTCCAACTACTACCACCACTGAAGCTGAAAGTTCTGGTGAAGTTGAAACCACTAGTAAGGTTGTAACTACCTATTACACCACTACTGACTACACTACTTATTGTCCATATCCAACTACTTTGACTGTTTCTACTTGTGATGAAAAAGAATGTCACCCAACCACCATTGAAGTTACTACTCCAACTACTATCACCGTCACCGGTACCGTTGTTTGTCCAACTACTGAATCCACTGTTGTCACCACCACCAAGGCTACTGAGACTACTTCAACTGTTGAAACTACCAGCAAAGTTGTTACCACTCACTACACTACAACTGACTACACTACTTACTGTCCATCCCCAACCACTTTGACTGTTTCTACCTGTGACGAAAAAGAATGTCACCCAACCACTATTGAAGTTACTACTCCAACCACTGTTAGTGTTCCAGGTACTGTTATTTGTCCAACTACTGAATCTACTGTTATTACCACTACTAAATCAGCTGAAACCACTTCTAAGGTTACCACTGTTGAAACTAGTTCAGTTGTTACTACTCATTACACCACCACTGATTACACTACTTACTGTCCATCTTCTACCACAATTATTATTTCTACTTGTTCTGAAGATAAATGTCACCCAACCACTATTGAAGTTACCACCCCAACTACAATTAGTGTCCCAGGTACTGTTGTTTGTCCAACTACTGAATCCACTGTTATTACTACCACTAAACCGGTTGAAACTCCAACTGTTTCTTCTGCTAGTACAGTCATCACCACTCAACAAACTGTTACTGGATACACCACTTATTGTCCAGAATCAACTACATTGGTTTTGACTACTTGTGAAGCTGATTCATGTGCTCCACATACTGTTTCCGCAACTGCTGGTGAAACCGTTAGTGTTACTGGTCCAGTTATTCAAGAATCCACTCAAACCACTGCTGTTCCAGTTACTGTTCAACCAGTTGAATCTTCAACTCCAATTGTTGCTGTTTCATCAGCTGCAACTATTGAAGTTTCTTCAGTTGGTGGTACTACTGTTGCTGCTGAATCTTTCACTCCTGCTGTTTCTGTTGCTGGTGCTGTTGGAAACCCACAAGCTTTTGCATCCACTGTTTTAGGTGCTGTTGCTCTTATTCTTGCTGGTATTTTCTAAACCTAATTACTGATTACTTGTTCTAACTTATATACACATAAAAAAAACACTATACTTTGTTGTTGTTTTCGGTATATTTTTTAATATTTTTGCATTGATTTCTTATTTTTGATTCTTCTTTCATTCTGGTTGTCTGGATGGGTTATTTTTTTATGTTTATTATTTTCTGTCATATAAATTTTTGGGTATTTTTTATAATTTTCTGTAAGTAGCTTTTATCTTTTTCGGAATACTAATAAAAAAGAAAAGTACAACAACAACAAGAACAAAAAACTAGTATTACTATGTATTATCACTTTCTATATATATATCTTCTGTGGTGCCTATTCAGTCCATGCAGTTGAAATGGATGGCCATACACGTTTATACAAACTCATGGCAACGATATCTTGTGAAGTCAATTTACCATCAAAGTTAGCCTTGAAATAACCATGAGTACCAAGACTTTCTTTAATAAACCCAGTTCTACCAGATTTAGTAAATAATGTAATTGCTTTGAAATAATTGATATCTTCTGGATTGAAAAACATATAACGCACAGTAACAACTCTTTTATGAATTTTAACTGGGTGACCAGTCAATACTGCTCTTTGTGCCACTATTCTAGTATGATCTGATCCCAAGAATGAACCTTTACCAACAAATTCAATTGATCCAGGAGTGGCACCAGGTTTGAAATATAATGCTGGTGAATTTGTGAACAAAACTGGAGCAATAGCAGTGGCCATTAATGTATTTCCTAAATGGGCAAAATTCTCCATCTTGTGTACATTATTTGGATTATTAGATGCTTGATTAAACAATGGTTGGATAATTTGTCTTCTTGGTCCATATTGAACAATTAATTGATCCTTATTTGGAATTGGTTTTTCATAATCTTCCCAACTTTCAAATGAAAAGTTACATACTGCTAATTTATGTTCGTGTTCTAATAATTCATAAACAGTAAATGGTAAAACGTTTGCATTAACCTTCTCAAGAATAAATGCTGGAGCTTTAATAAATAATCTGACTCTATTACCAGCAGATATTTCTGCATTTTTGATAAAATCTTTGCATAATTTGTTTTTTGTGGCTTTATAATTGGAAATTTTCAATAATCTATTCAATACAGAAGGAGCTTCTGGATCGTATTCATCATAATCCCAATCACAATTGGCTAATGATTTAACACCTCTGTAAGCGCTTAAACGTTCTTTAGCAGATTCATTTGGATGCAATTCTATTTCATCAGGGAATTCTAAATCATCCTTTTCTAATGATCTGAATTCTTCCAATTGTCTTTGTTCTTCTTCTGGTGATAAATCAATATGCATTTCAGATGGAGCATATTCAGTGGCATTATCGGTAACCATATCATCTTCCACCATTGCATCTTCTTGGATTTCCTCTTTGGTTTCTCCTACAATTTGTTCTTCTAAATCAGAATCATTTTCGTCTAATACATCATCAACAAACCATCTTCCTTGATATTCAGAAGTGCCTTTAGGTACCAATCTTCTAGATGGTCTATTTTTATTTCCATCATCATCAAAATAAATCTTACCTTCAGTTCTAACACCTAAATCATTATCCCAAAAGTTTTCTCCATCATCTTCCATATCTTCCATTTCAACTTCTTCAGGATTTAATTCATCCAAAGTTTCTTGATTTTCATTAGGCATAAAAGCTTGCTGCACATCGTCATCAACTTCCATATTTCCATGTTTGTTGTTATTATTTCCTCTCTTGGAGATTTTTTCCATTTTATCTAATTGGAAATCACCAAATCCAGGAAGATGTACTAATCTATTGACATTAAATCCAGCACCTCTGACAGTACCTTCAACTACAACATGTTCTCCATTGGTAGTTAAAGTATCAGCAACCAACCAACCTCTAGAATCTCTCCATGTGATCAGTTGAGGGAATTTCTGGCAAATATTTCGCAAACAATTTGCATTATCTGAATCAATTTCCAACAGATATAATTTATCACCGTCTGCAGGGAAGAAATGTTTAAAATATGATTGTAAAGATTGTTTAATATCTAATTGTAAATTACGTTTTGGATAAGCAGTAACAATATTTGGAAGAACACCAATTGTTGTTGCTATACCTTGTTCAATCAATGCTCTTAATATAGTTTCTCCATAAGTTGGGTCAATTTCTTGAGTTGCTGAAATACCAAAAATAACAAAATCAGATACTCTTGCCGCATCTAAAATATTCAACATATTATCTTGATTAGGAATTATAACTTTTAAATTACTCTTAAATTTAGTAATATTAATATTTTTAACTGAAGGATATTCAAATTTAAAATCATTATCATCTTGATTAAATAATTGTTCAGCAATCGAAACTGGTGAAATATCATTAGTTAATGAAATAATAGTTAAGATCTTTTCAGCACCTGAATTCCCGTCAAATAATTTTCTAGTTAATTTAGTTTCTAATATCTTATTATCTCTTTGTTGTTTAGATAAATTCTTTCTTTCTAATTTTGAAACAACTTTATTCTTTGGACCTGATTGACTTGATTTTTCAACTTTACCCTTGATTCTAGCCTTTAGTTGTCCCTTTGTTGCATGCTTGGACTTGAATGGTTTATGATCATGCTTCAAAGTATTTCTATGAGACATGACTGATTCTAGGATGGTTATTGTAGTATCCTATTCCTTGGAACTATTAACGATACTCCTGTGATTTTCTATTACAGGTTTTTTTTTGTGTGTATGCATTAAAATCAATAAATTGAGATGAGCTATTAGAAAATAAAGTTCCGATAATTATCACGTGTATATAATTAGGGCTAAGTAACCCTAATCACGTGTAACGCGAAATTGCAAATATTTTTTTCCAATTTTGATTTCTGTGCACAACCTCTCAAAATTTTTCTACTGTATGGTTGAGAGAGCGAGAGAGTGCGTGTGTGTGTGTGTGTGTGGACTCGTAGTACCGCGTACCCATGCTTGCGAGTGAGGTACTGGTGGAAAAAAAAAAAATTCAGTTGGAAAGTTAGTTTACCAAAGATAGCTTATACTACCATATACAACGTTAAATTAGTATGTGATGACATATAGTATTCAAGAGATAGAAAGAAAGAACGGAGACTGTTATCATATTTGAATAGAACGGATTGATATTGTCAAAGATTGGAGAGAATTTAAAAGAAATGAGTTATTGATATATTAAGAGCAGGAATTTTTCAATTAGTGGCAACCAAGAGAAGAAATTTTCAATCTAAAGAAACTACTGAATATTAGCATTGATTCCCCTATGATATGTTATCAAGAAATGGAAGATTTTGGATTTTGGATTTGATGTGATACAATTTTGTCTCCTAGTTTTCTTTTTTTATTGGATTTACTAGAATCATGAAGATTATAAGAAATACTAACATTTATTGATTATAGGATTCAAGATGGCTCACGAAAACGTTTGGTTCTCCCACCCAAGAAACTTCGGTAAAGGTTCAAGACAATGTAGACATTGTTCTTCCCACTCTGGTTTAATCAGAAAATACGGTTTGGACTTGTGTCGTCAATGTTTCAGAGAAAAGGCTGCTGATATTGGTTTCAACAAATACAGATAAGTGTTTTTCAATCAATTTTAAACAAACAACTAAAACTTCAATTGTAAATTATTAAGACGAAGAAAAGATGTCTTTTTTTGCTTTTGGTAATGTTATAAGTACAGAAAGATAAAAAGAGAGATTATATAGTAATAAATATAAGTATAATATTTTTTCCAAGTACAGTACATTCGAAAGAAATATTATGTAGACATGTTGTAAAATACCAGATAGACAATGATAAAGCCTTGTTGGCTTGACATCAACACAAGTCGAATCAAATTAGATTATATTACAATCGTTCAAGAGAAAAGAAAGAAGAAGAAAATAAAATGTATCCCCTACTAAATCGACATTCAAAATTCATTATAATTCTAAATTTCAAACTTCCTATGAGGGACATGCTTTAACTATTCTTGGGAAAGATAAATAACATTTATATTTTATAAATGGCAACGAGTATAACTTGACTATTTTACATTATCTCGTCGTGGCAAATATTCCCGTATACTTTTTGATTGAAGAAGAAAGAAAAAGAAAGGGTAAAAAAAGTTATAAAAAAAATTCACTGCGATGGATTTCTATTTATACTCGATTTGGTGTGCGTGGGTGTGTGTGTAAAATAGGCAAAAAAAAGAAAAGTGTGTATAATAATAATTAAAAAAAAAAACTAAACTAACCCTAAAGAAACAAGAACAAAATAAATAGATAAATAAATACAATAATGAGATTTATAGAATTAATTAATTAATAAATAATAAGGAATGGATTACTTCTCTTGTATCATGTCAGTAGTAGCTGATCTATATCCATGCGCAAAAGTAGTAGTGAACGTAATAGCCCAATCATGGTGACAAAACTAGCCAAACCAACAGGAACTACAGCAAATACAACAATATTATAAATATCAAAGAATCTTGCCTTCTTACGAATCCCTTTCCTTGACGATATCTCTAAGTTTGAAGTCACAAAATTCTGAACAATGTAGACACATGTCAAGAAACAACTGATTAATAACCAAATATGTAACCCATACTTCTGTCCACTATCAGAAAATGCACCCACTAGGAACAACTCGATAGTAATTATAATTGTCAGCATAGATAAAACACGGACAATGGCAGCTGATGTCAGGTATGTGACAATCCAACGTACTAGCAATGAATCCAAAATTGAGTACGATAAATAAGCACTGACAATACACCAAATACCAGTTAAAAAATATTCACATCCTCGTGGTGAATTGTCTAATATATCAACTTTATGTTCATTGTAGTAACTCAATTTCCAAGATTGAACTAATCCTATTACTGGAGGAATCAAGGAAACATCTCGACAGAATGCCAATAAAAAATGCTGTCTAGCATTGAGGAATTTCAAACCCAACTGTTTAATTGAAGTTCTTTTCATCATATTGACTCTTGTAGATGATGAAGGTATAATCAGATTATTAAGAGTACTTTCATTCGACGAATTTGACTCTGTCATAGGCACAGCCTGTGGCATAGATTGAGGCATTGGTAAAGAAGGAATTGGAGTATATATCTGAGTAGGACGAACAAGATCATCAATAGGTGTATGGGTCCCCTGGTTATGCATTCTTTGAGAAGCTTCATATGAAGGAACTTCCTCATAAGGGTCAAAAGGTGGAATTGCCTCATTGGTAGAATTGCTATTATTATTATTCGTAGTAGTATTGCTATTACTATTGGTATCCAATGGAGTTGACGATGGCGGGAATGACGCTGTAGATTGAACTGATGATGGTGAAGGTGAATGCTGAGACAGTTGTACACTGCTTGAATTGCTTATACAAGTAGCCCCATTTGCTTCTATGTAGTCTTCATCAATTTGATGTGATTCCAATGTATTTGAGAAACGTGACCTTAGCAAACTTGGAATCATCTTTAATTATATGATTTCTTTCCACTAAAGTTGAATTCGTTTTAAAAGAAAAATGATTGACTAGATAAAAAAAGGGGTATTATCAAGAAAAGAATAAAAAATATAATTTCTTTAGATTGTGATTCTTTTCAGTTATTTATTTATTTATCTAGAAGTTGATTGTTATCTCCCTGAAAATGTTGTATATGTGGTTTTTATTTATTTAGTTCGACTCAGATTATTTTCTTTGTCTTTTTTCCTTTTCCTTTTTCTTTTTCTCTTCCTATTTTTTAAATCCTGCAAACACACACACACATTAAAATTAAAATTGCAGATTAATTAATTTTTCCTTTCAATGGCAAACAAAGCAAAAACAAAGAAAAAAGGTTGGCTGATGTATGACTGTGCAGGGCTTCATTCGTATCACGTGCGCCAGATATCACACCTTTTATTTTTATTTTTTTGGATGTACCCCTCCTCTGGATATACTCCACTAGAATGATATCAAAATTCTGTAATCAGTATTCTTTTCATACCATTGATAGTTATTCCTTTGTTAATATCTAATATCCTTCTCCTTTTGTTTTGTTTTAGTTCAATAGTATGACTTTATTGTCGTTGACAATGTTCATTAATTTTCTTGATAACCTTAATGGTAGTGAACAAACGTTTGAATTTGTTATCAATTAATTTATCAACCCAGAACTACCGCCTTGAATTAATACTAAACCAATACAGAGAAAATGTGAACACGCTTACAAACTAAGCCGAGATGAACTTGCAGACTTCATTGACAATTAATGTTATTATTATGCAAGAAATATATACATAGATATATACGCATGCTCTCTAAGTAACCAAAAAAAAAACAGGGTATATATTATAGTAGAGTAAAAAAAATAAACTAAAAGAAGTAGACTTTAAGTTGAAAATGAAAGAATACTCAAATAAGCAACATGCAAATAATAAAGAATCAACCAGAGGTTCACACTTAGATAGCTTCCAATTGTTGAGAAATTTCGTCCAATTCGGCTTTGGCAGCATTGTAAGTTTCGGTCAATTCTTCGAACTTCTTTTCCCATTCTTCTTTTTCACTTTCCAAAGAGGCAACCTTTCTTTCCAATTGTTCAGCTTTGATATCAGTTTCTCTCAATTTTTCAGTGGTTTCCTTCAAGTTCTTGTCGGCTTCTTCCAATTCTTCTTCCAAGACTTGGTTCTTCTTGGTGTAGTTATCGTTAGAAGTCTTCAATGAGTGGGATTCATCGGCAGTTTGCTTAATTTCATTCAAAGAAGTTTCCAATTTTTCAACTTCTTCTTCCAAAACTTGGTTCTTTCTAGTCAAGGCTTGGATTTGGTTATCCTTTTCTAAGTTTTCTTGTTCTAATTCTTTAATTCTATCGCCCAATTCATCGGACTTTTCTTGCCATTTTTCAGCATCTAATTTCAAACTGTTGATTTTCTATTAACGTGTTAGTAAAAAAATAGATCACTACATTTTATTTTTTTTTGCTGATGTTGTTTGTTTTGGAGTGCAGCGAGGAGGGCGCAATAGTTAAAAATAAAATCAAGCCTGTAACACGTCATTCAAATCAACAGGAACACCAATTCCAATGGAATTTTCTAATCAATCTATCATGTAACTAAAGCATTAATCATCGAAAAAGTGTGATTAGAATCCAAAATAGTTTTCATTAAATCAATTTTTTTTTCTTCTACTTCTCCTTAATTCTTGACCCACACAATTTTTCGACAACCCAGATCTGGATTTGATTTCTGATCTACTCTACTCTCCCACCATCAAAACAAACAGCACAGTAATTCAATGGCAAATTCACCAATTCAATCGTAACATACTTCCTTAAGTTTATCCATGATGTATGATGTAAAGAAACTGGTTAGTCTTTTTGTTATAAGATTATATATAAAAAAAGAAAATTCAGACAAGAAGAAAAAGTGTACCTCTAAAGAAAGGAAAAAAAAATTCAATGTTACAACTACAGTGAGAAAGAAATTGAACGAGAACTGTGAATTTGTGAGTGTATGAGTGAGAATCTCTTAGTGGCCAACAATACAAAACAAAAGAGAGAGAGAACGAGAAAAAAAAAATTAAAATTCCCTTTACAACAATTTTCGTGTATTGTTTTTGTTTAAGCAAAAGTACACGAACTTGTCGTTTTCCTTTTATTTTAGTTTGTCTCGTCAACTTAACCGATTAACTAATCCATCGGATGTAAACTTGTAGATTCACGTGTATCTAATGGAATATGGAATTGTCTCCCCAACCACATGCTAAATGCACAATTGGAGAAACGGGTGGATATTATGCAGAAGAAAGTGTACGTCAAATCTCCTCCTGTATTAATTTATCGCAAAACAGAAACTCAAACAAACAAAAAAGAGCAATGGCTGGTTATTCAGAGAAAATAAAACTAATTTACAAAAGGCACAGGGTCCTGATCGAATCTGAATCAATACGAGATTGAATTACAAAACGGTTACTAAATTTAACGAGTTAGGGAGGTGACAATGTTCATGGTTTGAAAAGTTATTGAAGTCTGTGTTTAAATACATGTCCTTATTGTTTGAATCAACTGAACTTTGGATTTTTGTTTGCTTATGTAAGGCACCAAATGGGAAAACGTGATTTTCCGAGTTATCATCTTCTGTTCGTCCTCCCCTTTCACATCATCACAGACAGACTCTTTTCTATTAATAACTTTTTTACCTTTTCATGTAAGTTGCTGGGTTACTCGTTGTAAATTCAACTCAGACCAAAAACCTTAGTAGCTGTTGCAAAAGGAAGAATGGCAGCAGGACATGCGTCCTTTGCCATACAAATTCTCGTTTCTCTCTAACAAATTGATTTTCGCACTTTCCTATTTTCGTCTCTGCAGCCAGCCAGCCATCTTGGCCAGGAGAACAAAAATGCGGGATCACCAAACTAACTTGATCGTCTAACTTACAGTACATAGACTGTACCTAATTTGATTGATTAATCAACTCATCTGAAATTGTCATATCCTCAAATGTATTAAATCCCAAAGGCAAAAAAAAAGATTTTTATCCAACCCTTTTACCCTTCCCCTTAATCTTTAATTTGAAGATCGTTTCCTTTTTGTCATTATAAAAGTATCAATTAATTCCTGTCTTTTGGGAAATATATTTTTTCATTTTTTTTAGATTTCCCCTTTACTAAACAATACCCACATTTCACGTATCTACAGTAATGACATCCCTAGTGTATCCTACTGGAGAACTATCTATAAATCCAAGTATAGTAGCAGACTCATTAGCATTGTCAGGCATAAATCTACATCAACGAAATTCATCTAATCCATTTGAAGTTATTTATGATGATGCAAGGCCATCACATACAAGAACAAATTCAAATTTATGGCATAATTCATATAATTATGAAGAAATATCTAAAAATATTCATTGTAAAACTCCAAATTCTGCAATACCTACAACACCAATGAGTCCACCTATATTAACTATTCTTGAATCACAATCTGGCACATCAGGTTCAATTGTTTCTCGACTGGCCACTTTAAGACATCGAAAGAATGTAATCCGACGAAATAAAACTATTAAAAAGAAAGATATAAAAGAACATAAACCTATGAAATTCCCAACACGAAGGAAAAGGAGTCTTAAATATAAATCAATTCATGTCAAGAGTAAATTTGATTCAAAAAAACAAATGTTGGAATATATGAAAGGAATAAGTTATTATGATCTAGTACATAATTTGATCCCTGCATCTTTTAAATTATATAAACATACAAAGATATTAAGACCACGTCCAAAAATAACTTATGAATCATTTGGAATGCCAGAACCTGAAACTCCTCAAGTTAGTATCAAAGAATATGATATTTATAATAAATACAGGAATCTTATATATGAAGGAAAATATCGAGTTGAGGAACTAGATCAAGTTGTATTACATGATGAAAAATTAAATAGAAGATTATTATTTGAAATATTACTTAGACGTACAGTAGCTGCAAAAATGGATTATAGAATAAGAGCAGCATTTCAGAAATCTGTATATGAAGGTGATAATCATATGTTGGAACCAATAAGAAGATCTACGGAAACGTTATCAACGTTTTAAGAAATGTATAGTACAATAAATATATGGATGAATATTTGCTCTAACTATTATATACCATTGGCAACATAAATTCTCTAATTCTTTTAGTAGTTTCGTCATCGGGGATGTCACGATGATGTGCAGTTGTTGTAGTTCCATCATTTGTTCTTGTTGGATAATAGCTATGATCTAAAACATTCAACATAAATAAAGGTATCTTATTATCTCTTACACCTTCACAGATACTTAATACTTCATCTGCTCGGATATGACCATTATCAAATAATTCAATTAATTTATTGAACCATTTCGCATCTTTTATATAAAATGGTGATGTATCTTTTGAACTTCTAATAGGCGGCGCATTCATTGCTGCAATTGTTGCAGAAGTTAATGCACTTTCAATATCTATATTCATCTGCATAGCTGGTCTTTGTGGTGTTTGTACATGAGTCTGTTGTTGTTGTTGTTGCTGCTGCTGTTGAAGTTGTTGAAGTTGATTTGATGTTTGTTGTTGCTGTGGTATGGGTGGCTGTCGCTGTGGTGGTAGGGATGACTGTTGTTGTTGTTGTTGTTGTTGAATGGGGAGTTGATTTCGAATAGTAGAAGTAGATGGATTTTGATATTCTAATCTAGCACGTTTCAAATCTGGATCTACTGATTCTTCTAAAGGTAAAACATCTTGATTGAATACAACGTGTCTATCTTGTTGTTCATCATTTTGATTACCAACATCATCAACATCATGATGATCATGATGTTGGTGGTTATCATTATTATCATTATCATTATCAATGCTATTAAATTGATTTCTTTTCCTTGTTGATTCTTTACGTTTTTTTGAAATTCCTGGATTTTTTTTAACTTGAGATAATGGTTTTAGATAAGCATTTTTAGATTCTGGATAATTATTAAATTTTGGAACTTGTCTATAAATATTTCCATCTTCAAATCCTTCAAGAAATTTTTCATCTAATTTAATAGCCAATGGTAAAATTTCATTATGATAAACTGAAATATATCTAAGATTATCACTTAAAAAAAAATCATTTGTAATTAAATTACCTTTATTTAAATTTGATAAATTTGGTAAATTTAATGAATCACTGTATAAAATCAGTTTAACTTGTCGTACATCTAATATAAATGTTTTTGTATTTAAATCAATAATTTGAAATTTCCCAAGTTCAGGATTCCATTTATATGAATAACCAGAAGCAATAGATTTGCTATGAACCATTAATTTATACCAAATTTTATAACGATGATGAATTACATTAATTAAATGCTGTTGAATTGAATATTTTGAATATGTTGAATAAACAGTTTCTGGATTTGCTAATCTTAATTGTTTACAAACATATAACCATGCTTTTTTATTCATTTCTGCCGCTACTCCTCTAGGATATGAATGTGCTACATCACTTAATAATTTAATTAAATATTGATCCATTCTTGGAGTCCATCGTTTATATTTAGAATCTTTGGATTTTAAATCAAATTGTGTTAATCCTGTATCATAATTTGAATTAGTTGTATTTGTCATGGCAGATGTTGTTGCTGTTGTTGTTGGTATGGGTATTATTGGATTGCTATCTAGTGGTTCATGATGATTAAACCTTTGTAAATATACATTATTGGCATCCAATTGCTGTTGTTGTTGTTGTTGAAGATGTACCATCTCTTGATGAATCTTTAATTGTTGTTGCTGTTGCCGTTGATGTTGCTGTTCATGATGGATATTGTGATGTTGTTGTGAGTATTGATGCTGAGATGGGATATCATTCTTTGAATCAATGAATTGTTCAGGAACAACCATGACAAACTTCCGATCATTCGACTGAAGTCTATTACTGGACATGTTTTGTAACCCCTTTTTCTTTGTCTATAATTTTTTTTTTTTTTTTTTTTGCAGTAAGATTATTTGTATAACTTGTAAAGATTGTGGTTCTGTTTTTGCTAAGGGGGCGGAGGCAAAAACTTACAGTTTTGCTTATGGTTAAATTTTTAAAAGTTACAAGATTTGTTCAACTAAAATGTAAAAAAAAAAAGAAAAAAATAAAAGCAATCACGTGAATTGTGGGATTGCACACGACTTCTGTTCTGAAGTTCAAAATATACACATACAGCTACTTAATCAGATGGATGGGAAATACTGAACTTGATTCAATGTTATAAGTTGAAGGATTCATGTTGATTCTTCTATTGTTGTTATTATACTCTTCATGTTTGTCTTGCACTTTGATAAACTTATCCAACATTTCATAAATTCTTTTCCTTCTGATGGATTGGTTACTACTGGACCCAGTTGTGGTTGTACCACTTCCTGAACTTGGTGTTGGTGTTGTTAATGGAGTGGCAACGTGGAATTGAGATGATCCAGAGTGGCCATTATAATTACTAACAGTGGTTAATCTATTACGTAAAGACATGAACGTATTACTTTGTGGTAAGATCATCAACAATCCATATAATGTTTTGAATAAATAAGGATGTCTTTCTGGTTCCAATAAATTCAATCTCAATTTCATAAATATCGGCAGTTCGAGTAATTGTACCAAAACGTCTAGTTGAATTAATAGTTGAGAAGTAACTTCCAATTCTGATAAGTTCTTTATGATTAAATAGGAAAGCTCGTAGTTGGTTGTTAATAAGCACAACGAAATGGCACTTGGAGGATTATGACACCAACTTTGAAATAAAGATGCAAATAATTGCCAATCTTCAATTTTGGTTGAATCCAAGTTTTTCAATTTCTTACGGAAAAGTAACAACTCTTGTGATGTCAATAAAATATTGTTTAAAGTAACAATCATGGTGTTCAAAAAATCCAAATCATTTAACGTAGTCAATACTTCGGACAAAGTTGTGAAAATAATCTCAGCATTCAATGTCACACATAATTTACGAACAATAAATTCAACTTTGAATGACTTGTCTGATCCTTCAGATTCAAAAATCTTGATTAATTTGATCATAAAGTTCTTGAAAAATTGTTGATTCGATTCTGAAATCTTGGCTAATAATGATAATATCTTCAAGATAACTTCATTGCTGGTATCATATTTCAAGAAATCAGTCAATTCAAAATTATTGCTAGCTTCTGTCAGAAAATATGATAAAAATTCTTGAGGATTTCTTTCATAAATAAATATTAACCAATCCAAACTAGAAATTCTGGCCAATTCATTGTTTGAATCCATATACTCCTTAATGATAGATGAAATTGTTAATGGTAACTTCACTTCAGTAAATTCAGTATTAGTCTCTTGGTTCAATCCAAGAATCTCATTTACTTCAGTTAAATCAACATCATTGAATTTATATAAAAACTGTTGTAATGATAAATTGAAATTAAGAAAAGAATCTCTCAATTCGAAATCTTGATCCTTATCAGTTTTAGAAACGTTTTTCAATACAATGGCAACACATTCAGGAAATAATTTCAAAAACCCTGTAGGAGCAATATCGAGAATATCTTGTAACCATTTAATTGCAATAAATTGTACCTGACAATAAATTTCATGCGGTTCATTATCCAAATCCTTGGACGTGCTTTCTGCATCATTGGAATTGAGAAACGATAACAAAATGATGATAATCTTCTCATAATCAATAAAAATATCCTGACCAGTAATAACTTGCTCCTCTTCTTCTGCTTCTTCTTCTTCGAATTCGTCTTTTGCTTGATCTTCCTTGTATTCTGACTGCCCTTCAATTGCTGTGGAAACTTGTGGTCTTCTCACAATAGTTGTGACATCTGACTTGATAGAAGCTTCGTCATCAGCCGCATCACCTTCTTCTTCCTCATCATTATTAGCACCACCTATAGGATCAACTTTTAAAATCTTATCTTGACCATTTTGTAATTTATCTTTACTGCCACTGTCTTCCCCCTTGGATTCTCCACCTTCAATGTTTTTTGATTCTTGTTTCTTACGATCTAATTCCTTCTTGCGTAATTCGATTTTGATTTTAGCAATTTGTTTAATTTCTTCCAAAAATATATCCAATAAACTTTCTGTTTCCAAACGAATATCACTTGGTGAATTGTTAAACAAAAATTGTATTACGGGTTTCAAAAATTCTGGTAAAAATCTAATCAATTCCAATGATGGAATATCATCAAATAGTTCAAGCCAACTTAATAAAAATTTCTTGGTAAATGGGTCATTAGTATACATTCTTTCTAATAAAGTAGGAATAAATTTTGGTAATGAAAATGCTTTTGTTGGATCTTGTGGTTCATTAACTTGAATTGCATTGCCTTGAGCGTCAACTAAATTACTCCTAATTTGAGATTCTTGTTGTTGTTGTAAGATACTAACATAATTAGTAGCTTTAGCACTAACAATATCTTTAATTAATCTATCCAAAATATCGGCTGCATTCTTCACACTACTTTCCGAATCACTGACCAAAATACATAAAATATCAAATATTTCATTGAAATAAATTAAAATTTCCCCTCTTGCTATCTTAGCAACATTATAAAGTGATTCACAAGCATAATATCTTACTCTGGCATCAGTATCTTTAAATGTTGAAAATATAGGTTTAACAATATCTTCCAAAAAATAAGCAATTGCAAATGATCCAAGAGCAACAGATACACTACCTAAAGCAGTGATTGCTCCCATTTTGGCCAGATTGGTTCCAGTATTGGTTAATTCTGTAAGTTCATTAATTATTCTATAAATTGTTTGACTGTCATTATGAGCTAATGCATTTTTAGTTAATGATTCAATTTGATACGCTGTGGCTTTTCTCTTTTCATAAATATGATTTGATAAGTCCTTGATCACTGAACTTTCCAATACTTTATCTGATGTCATTGGTTTCCTTAAAGTCAGTGGTTTCGTTGATGTGGTTTCATGAAAAAAAAAAAAAGAAAGAGCAAAAAAAAAAGTTAAATTGACCGAAAGGTTTTCTTGAGACAACTCATGGAGATCAACAGTTTCGAATTTTGCTTTTGTCGCGGTGTTGGTTTGTCGCGTCTATGAGAGATAACATTTAAATAACTTCATTTCATTAACATGCTATACCACCCTATAATTATATATCAGATACACAATTGTCATTGTCATGATTTAAATATAGAATTCTTTAGTATTCACATATGGTTATAATAAATTAATAGAGCTACTGTGTAACTCGTTTGCAGTTCATAAAGGATTAGCTACTCTACTTGATCCCTGTTCATTCTCAAAACGTCTCCTCTTATTTGATCCCTCATTTATGTATTCCTCATTATGTTCACTGGCGCCTTCATTGATATTTATGTTGTTAAAATCCAATTTAATTGAATTACTGCTTTCCTTTGATGGACTATCAGACATGATAGGTGTGGCATCCAAATTTATGGGATTTCTTCTTGTTCCTGGAATATTTTCCAAATATGATTCCATAACATTTCCTGTTGGTACTTCTGTAGGTTGTGATTCACATTTATTAAAAATAGTATTCATTTGAATTAAATCATTTTCCAGAAAATCTTCAATCGATGGCATCTTGACATGGAAATTGATGTACAAATTGCCTCGTCTGTATCTGTTGATATCAAGCATTTGTTCTATTTGTGAGTCTGAATCTTGGGGTGTTTGAACAATTATCCCATTTCTAATCAGTGTGTTGATAGGAACGCCAAATCCTCTAACTATTTTCGGTTCATCTGGGCGAATTGTCCCCACAACTTCGGCGTGTTGTACTTTTTCAGTATTGATTGATCTGTACCCATGAACATTGACGTAAACTCTTAAGCTCTGTCCTGGCTTCAAATAATCTGGAATATATATTTCACCACCCAATAATGCCGTCTTCAAATCAATTTCATAGTTCATAAACAAATCATTATATTTTCGAACAAGATATGGATGTGGTTTTTGTTTCAATTTAATTACTAAATCTCCTGGAATGGTATTTCTAGCTTCATCGGCTGCTCCTTTCAATATTATACGATGTCCATTATTGGCACCTGGCGGTACGTGTACTTTCACAATTTTTGTACTCTCGAGATATCCAAGATCGCAATATACACATTTATCAGCCGGTCTGATGAAAATACCTGTTCCATTACAAGTGGCACACGATCCACTTTGTTGATATCGAGAAAAATCATTGTAATATGTCACTAATACTTGCCCTGAACCTCGACAGGTTTTACATGTCATTGGATTTATTCCTCCAAATCCATTGCAATGTACACATTTCATGTTTTTTGGTAATGATAACTTGATAGTTTTCCCATAAACAAAGTCCGATAAATTCACTTCACATGTATGATGGATATCTTCTCCTCTAACTAATTGCTCTGCCAATGGTCTACCAATAGGTTGAACGTGCTTTTTCATATTTTGATTATTACCTGGAAATCCAGCAAATTGTGGCGGACCTTCAAACATTACATTATGGCTTGAAAACATGTTATTAATATCCTGGAAAACTTGTGAAAAGATATCTGTGGCAAATGAATGTGTACGTCGATGAGGACGGGAACTCGAACCTGATGAACCTCCACCATTAGTACCGGGATCTGGTACTGTTACTCCTTCTAGTCCTGCTTCACCATATGAATCATATATTCCTCTTTTTCTGGGGTCTCTAAGAATTTCATATGCTCGTGTCATCTCTTTGAACTTTTCTGTTAGTTCTGGATCATGATTAGTTTTATCAGGATGACATTTCAACGCTAGTTTCTTATATGATCTTGATATTTCCTCTTTGGTAGCCGTTGAACTGACGGATAATATATCGTAAAAATAAGTCTCTCTAACCATTATTGAATTCAATTGGTCTTCAGTTATGTAATATAAACTAAACCAAAAAAAAAAAAAATTTAACCTGATAAAATAGTACAGCGCCAGATAAGCTCTTGCTGTTAAGAAAGAAGAAAAAAAAATGGATTAGTGATTAGTAATGGGATTAACCTTCTGGTTTCGTCTATATGATTCTGGGTAATTCCGATATACCGGTATTGATAATAGTGAAATAATAAAAGTTGTTGTGTTTGAAATAGAATTGTAAAGAAGCAAAAAAAAAAAAAAAAAAATTATTTGTGTTTCAGTAAATACTGTACAACATCAATTGGATAGAGAACTGAATAGAATATTCTATCATTTTCTTTTCTCTCTTTTTGACTTTTTGTTAGTGATTGCGCGCGCAGCCTTAAATAAATTAAAATCCAAAGTGAGAAAAAAAAAAAATTTCGAGCCCTCCTGCGTGGTCGTGCGTATTGATCAACAATAGTGTTCACGGAAGGTTTAGTCGAGTAAATAACGCAACGGTTACAAGAGGCTTCCTTCTCTTACATATTCAAGTATAGGATCCTCGGCTGAAATATAGCATTAATCAAAAAGGTGAGACACGCATTCTTGCGTATCTTCAGTACCACGGTTAAAGACATGCCATTGATTCTAGTCTCTTGTATTTTGATTAAAACTGATGCGGTAAAACAAGCAATCAACCAGGCGAGTTAATGACCAGAGGATCTGAGAGCAATTATTTGGAATGGAGCTCAAATTTAACTCTTTTAAGCAAGGAATTTGCAATCGTGCTTTGCTATTTGCCTTTGCTTTTGTGTGATCAGTGCATAAAATGTGGTCCGCCTATTTAATTTTTTCTTCTTTTTTTTTTTTTTTGTCTGTCCATGCTCGACGCGTTTGACGCCTATGACGGTGCTCAAAACAAACTATAAATGAATAACCATAGCACATTTATATTCATCAATATATACAATCAAGTACCTAAGATTTCATCACGGAAATGTTTTTGGAAATTGACTTTCTTTGGTTTGTTGGTTCTTCTTTCACGGTCGTTTCTAGCTTTGTTTTCTAGTTTTCTAACCTCTTTTTCTTGTTTGGTTGCTTGATACGCAGTTAAACCTGGTGCAAATCTTCTATCAACTAAAGCTTGGGTGGTTTGAGCTGCAGTGTATTCTCTTGGTAATTGTATGTTTTGTCTATAGTATCTTTGCATTGATCTATGTCCAATTCTTGAACCTGTAGGTGTTGTTAGTTCAACTCCGGATGAATCAATTTGTACCAACGCATAGTTGTCATTTATACCATTGCCTTCAGTTTCTTCATCTACTTCATCTTTATCGTGAGAAGTAGCATCATTGTAAGAAGTAGTATCATCGCTGAATCCAACATGTTTTTTAGTCTTGATATCGGTATCCTTTTCATTTGCAACTTTCTCATCATAATCTTCTCCAATGAAATCATAAAATTCCGAAACTGCCAATTTTTCTTCCTTTGTTTCATATGGAATTTTACAATGCCCCTTTGAATTAATATGTTGTCTGATACTTTCTAGATTCTTCCCTTCAAACCCACAAACCAAACATTCATGATCTAAAGATATAACTTCACTGAGGTATTCCAATAATCCAGTGACATCAACCAAGAATGATCTTTCAGGGATGTATAACCCATGTTTACTAAACATATGCTTAATATTGTTTTCAATCTCATGGTTGTTAGCTCCACAATAAAAACAATGTGTAATAGGTATGCATTCCATTTCTTCCTCCGAATCGACATCATCTTGGCCCACATCTCCATCCTCTTCTTCCGAATAAAGTTCACCTTCTAAATCGGTATAATCGGATTCTTCAGTATAATTCAACTCAGAACCTGTTTCAACAGATTCAACTTCGTGATATTCGGAATCGTCGATTGAAAATTGGGAAAATTCGGACGCAATAGAACTAGCAGGACTTGAACTTCTTATCTCGGCACCCATAATTTCACCTGTTCTACCTCTATTATATTGTTGAGTTTTAAGGAATTTTTTTGTTACTTGTTTATTTCCTCCTCTACTATTATTCTTTTTCTTTCTTGTAGCCACATAAAATCCAAATTCATCTTCATTTTCATTTTTAGTTAAATTCTTCAGGCTAAGAATCTTTTCTGCAAAAAGTTCGGATGAAATAGAAGGCAAACTGGCAACTCTTCTTTTTAAATTATATCGATGCCATTCGGTTTTCATATGTTGTCTTTGTAATTCTGCGTTGATGAATTTTACTCCACATGTATTACATGTAAATGAGGCTGTTTCTGGGTTTGACCCATTAGGCATAAAACTCATAGTTTGAGGGTGTAATTATAAGTAGTTTCTGTGCTGATTAATAAGTAATAAGTAGAGATGTTCAATTAAAACGATACAGCAATTTAAACGAAAAAAAAAAAAATCTTTGTTCGTGTACATAGGGGAAAAAAGAAAAACTTACCAGAGGAGAAAAAAAAAACCAATGATGAATAGAGACTTTACAACGAAAAATCTTTTACTTATCAACAGTTTGTACCAATATCAAAAGTTAAACAATTAGAAGATGGGTGTTGTTGTATTTGGTAAATCTATAAAACATAATTTTCCAGTCCGTATAGGATTAGCCAAGGCTATCTTTGGTATTGGTTATCAAACAGCAGAAAAACTTATGGCTAAAGTAGGAATTTATCCAAATTGCAGAATGAATCAATTATCAGAACCACAAATTATGGATTTAAATAAAGAAATTTCACAATTGTTAGTTGAAGGTCATTTGAAACAAAAGATTAATAATGATATTAAACTTAAAAGAACTACTGGTTCCTATGCGGGTAGTAGACATGCTTTGGGTTTCCCTGTTCATGGTCAACGTACAAGAACCAATGCTTCTACTGCTAGAAAATTGAACAAACTTGAAAGATACCGTTTGTAAGTTGGAATTAATTGGGAAGGAAGATATTACTTTGGAAAAAAAAAGTTGCTTGTATATATTCATTAGTAGATTTTTATCAATACATGATATTTGTCATTGAAAGTTGATGTAAATTTTTAAAATTGAAAGGCCAAAGAGAGGGGATTTCTAGTAGACTTGTAATGTTTTGATGGAAAGATAAAGTTTTCATACAGATTCTCGATGACCAGTATTTGGTTATAGAATGGTGTAAAAAGATAATGAAAATCAAATAATCATCAACTAGTACAAAGGTTCTACTTCATAAAATTGAACAAAATGAACAAGTCTATAATTAAACAGCACCTACCACTTATGGCACCTCAACCAGACTAACATTGTTGACAACCAAAAAGAACCAAACCAGAACAATATCTAGCAATGATATCTAACTGAAATAAATTAAATATTCCGAAATTGTAAAATTCATAGTTTTCTTATGTCAACACAATCCGAAATTCAACAAATTGGCTTAATAGCTCAGTTGGATTGGTCCCTTGGCCCAGTTGGTTAAGGCGTGGTGCTAATAACGCCAAGATCAGCAGTTCGATCCTGCTAGGGACCATTTATTTTTTTGTATTATTTGATTTAATACAATGTATGTTGCACAAACTTAATGGTGTACAATGCAGTAACAAGTACACGAACTAATTGTTTCATGTCTCCTAATTGAGTTTGTCCACTCTTTTTGTGGAGAGGCGTAAGTGCTAGTTGAGGTTATTGTTTTTGAAAATTATGGTTGTCAACTCGATGTTAATGCATTACGAATGGAAAAGATCTTCGACATAACCAACGTTGTCATCAGGTTATTCGATGGTGATGATGATGATCATCTCATTGCCCAATATTTGATACAGATTAAAGTTACGAGAGAGAACACTTTCGATTGTAGATGCTATTCGCAATAGAACTTTAATTGATGTATTCAATTAGAATTTACTTTCTTTATCTTTAAAATTTTTTAAGGACCTGAAATTTACTCCACTTGAAAAGGGAACAATTCATTAGCCAACACCTGCGTCCACCCCTCCTCATATTCCATTTCAAAGTCTAGACCCGCCTGATTCCCTCCATCCCATTCCATTCCATCCCATCCATACCGCGGGAGTAAGTGAACAAAGGAATTGTAAATTGAGAATTAATTTTATTTTTTTTTTTTTTTTCAGTTTGGCGGGTGAGAGTTCAATTTTGTGTAAGTGTCACATTGCGAAGAAACTTCCCGATTTGGACAAATTGCAAATAAAGATGATGATCTTCGTTGTAAGCACATCAATAAAGAAAAAAAAAACTCCATACAAAAGAAAACCAAAAAATAAATTGATTTGATTTTCAACAACTCAAAAGAAAACATAAACAACGCCAATTTTCAAACATTCACTGTGTCGTTGTCTTTTTTTTTCTTTCTTTCTTTCTTGACAACATTTCATTTTTTTTTTAAATTCCTAAATTAGGTTAACCGAACTGAATAAAAGTATAAAAAGACGAAATTCATTCCTAAGATTCATACCATTTTGAGGTCTGGTTACATCAAGTAGTTACAAGGAAACATGACTTCTATAAACAAGAGTTGGAAAACTCTTTATTCTTATGATACAGGGAAGATTTATTTACATTTAAAGAATAATGAATTAGTTTCTTTGGATTTTTCGATTGTCAACAAGGATATCACAAATTATTCAAATAATCAACAAGTTAAAACTTTGAGTACTCCTCCTGTCAATTCCACTTTATTTTTATTAAATGATGAATTATATGCGTTGACTTCCAAACATGTTGATGATGATGACGACAAGGATTTATGTGGACAAGGAAGTGTATCTATTGTTAAATACATTGAGGAAAATAATTCTTGGGATGATGAAACGATAATTGATTTTAATTTTGATGACATTTCCGATAGTTCATTTTATCAATACCAAACTATTCTTACAAATCCAACTAATAATAATACTATTTTTGTATACGGTGGTGAATGTAATGGGGAGATATCCAATAGACTAATATCCATCGATTTTGATACTGGGAATGTCAATAATATAAGTACTTCAACAAAACCACAAGCCTTCTATGGTGCCAGCAATATATTAGCGCCTATTCCACAATCTCAATTAATAATTGGAGGTGAACTGAATCAAGGATGGTTAAATATGTATCAATTGGCGACCTGGGATTTTTTATCAGGATGGTCATTTAAACAAGTCAAAGCATTGGCTAATCATGAAGTTGTAAATTCAAGAAACTTCCCGCTTTTACTACCCATTTTCAATCCTGTTGCAAATGAAACAACGGTTAATGATGATTTGAGAATTGACCAAGTATTGATGATTGGTGGGGAATTAAGTGCGGATGATGATCAAGACGTGAGCCCAACGTATGCCAAATTATCTATGGTTTCAAATGCATGGGTGTGGAATACTACACAAACTGAATATAATTTATCATATGATGAAATAATAGGAGCCGCTACTATTTTCAATACATTAGTGGTTATAAACTCTACTGATTCAAATAGCATCAAAAGAGATGATGATGGATACCGTTTGAATTTATATGATGCAGAAACTTTCAAACCCGTGGAATCATTAAAACTGAATACACAGAATATTCTACTGAATCCAAATGCCCATTCATCTTCTGGAGATCATCATACAACTGAAAAGATTGTTCTTGGAACTATTCTACCCATATTTGCTATAGTATTGGGGGTAATTGTGTTTTTCTACCTTAGAAGAAGAAGAAGAAAACAGAAACAATTGGAAGAAGAACAACAACAATATAATGAAATTGACTACAAATATGGATACTTGGCACCACCAGAATCTATTCCCCGTCCTATATATCATCAATTGAATGATTCAAACTCAACATTAAGTGGAGCATCAATCGACTCATGGATGAAAAAGAGACAAGATTATGACAAACGAAAATTAAGAAATAGTTATCTTGCATCTAATGATACACTAAATACTGTTGATGATGAAGATACACATAGTGGTAGTCAATATAATGAAGATGATCATCAAGATGAACCAGGAGAACAAGATTTGGGTCAATCCAATAATTTGTTACACCCACTGTCCAAGACAACACCACATCACAAACCTAGTAAGAATTTGAAGAAATCATTTTCATTTTCCAAGAGCCCACCTTCTACACCAATAGGTAAATTCAAAAGATATCAATCATTGAAAGAATCAAGTTCTGAAAGTATGATCCCTGAAGATTCAACAACTGACGGTAGTAATCAAGAACCAATTCATTCAGATGCTACTTCTTTAGATGATCAAATGGATGTACAAGTATTGGTCAGTAGTAAACGAAGATCTATTTTAAGAGTAGTAAACCCTGATCTATTAGAAGAAGAAGAACATGATGATAATGATAAAGGATCCGAAACACCTGAAAAACAAAGTATCATTAGAGAAGATGAAGGGGAGGAAGAATTTGATTTAAGTCAAGTACTCAATCAACATTTTGAAAAAATAAACGATGTATGTGACACTAGTAGTGGAAGTGACAATTCATTACGACAAAGAATTCCTTCTGGTCAATTAGACAATTAAAGTTTATCATTTTATTATTGTATAGATTATGTAATAAATAGATCACATCACGTGATTGTTTTTTTTTGTTATTGTGAACCGGTAAAAAAAAGGTGAAACCAAAAAAGTCACACACACACACATGGTTTAGTGTACAAAACCGGATATTCAGGAGAGAGATTTTTATTTTTTTTTTGGTGTTTAAATTTTTTCTTTTGGTACAAGGAATATTTACATAATAGAGAAGAATCAAGAAGAATGAAAATTTCATTTGATTGTTGCCAAATGCGGCAAAGGAATTCATTCTTATTCATATGCTATTCGTGTTGTTTTAAACTTGTATTCAAGAGCAACAGCAACTTTAAGAAATGAACACGAAGAGTAAGAGACGGGGGGAATACAGGCTGGCTGGCAAGCTGGGAACAGTCTGATTTTAGTTTTGATTAAATTCAATTGTTGTGGTTGCCATTTCTTCCTGTTGGAAAAAAATAAAACAGAAAGCACAAAGGGGAAAAAAAACAAAACAAAATCAAAACTGAATTTTTAATATGCGTGTACTGTAAAAGAAGAATAAAAATCAAATTCAAGAAAAGGATCTGAAGACAACGATTATTCGATACAACCCATCAGCTTATTAGTAAGTGCATTACCATATGGGAAATAGTAGTTATGAGGTACATGAAGAAAGTGGGCGTATACACGTGATCTAATTTATGATTTGTAAATTTACTGTATAGTTTATCACCTGCGTGTCCTATTAGAGTTGTGTGAGTTTCTCTTTTCTTTCCTTGGATACCTGATATTTGTGTGTGTGTGTGTGTGTGTGCGGATTGTTTAATATATTGACGTAATGACCTGACAACTGAATTTAAGTTTAGGAATCAAATGGATACGTGTATATTATCGCAGAGACAGGACAGCATTGGTAATAAACCATCATCAACCATTGTCAAATCAAATCAAACCAGGTCAAGTCAACTCAAGTATCGACAAACAAATGTGTCGTCTGCTTAATCGACAGTTTTTAATTATTGGTTGTAAGAAAACATCAACAGATAATGTAAAGTAAGCTTTTTAGAATTTTCCTTTTTTTTTCTGCTGCCACTCTCTCTGTCTCTCTGTCTCTGTCTCTTACAAAAGGATTTCTAATAGAGTAGAATAACCAAAGGACAAAAGAACATATAAAAAAAAACAGGCAAAAGGGAAAAAGAAAAAAATTACAAACAACAACTAAAAGAAAAAAAAATTATACCAGAGTTGATTCTTGTATGGTTTGTTACGTTTTAAGGCTACTGTGTTGACTAATCATATACAACAGAGAAAGACAGAAAGAACCTATTCTTAGTTCATCACTACCATTTTCTTTTTATTCTTTTTAGTTTAGTTTGAAGTATCACTAACCGGTCAAATAGAAAGGAAGGTCCAACCAAGCACTACCGGCAAGGACTTGTACAAATATATTAGCAATAATATGGCGTCCAATAACGATATTGACCAATTTGAATCGGAAATACTACAGGATTACCTGAATTCAATACAATCACAACGACAACAACTACGAAGTTCATACCTAAATCAACAAAATTTCAATAGTGATATCGATAATCCCCAAGAATATGAAAATTTATACCCCCAGTTTAATATGCAATCACAGCAGAATTATGATATTAATACAAATAACTATAAATCGAATAACCAACTATCCAGTTTGGCATCTCCTTCGAATATGGATCTTGATTTTGGTTTACAAGGTCAACCCCAACAACAAGTACCCGAACAACAGCAACAACATCAGCCACCAACACCACAGCAACAACAACAACAACAATCACAGCAACAGTACTTGGATGACTTGACTGCTCTACAATCGACCGATATTTCAAATCTACAACCATCTATTAATATGCCCGGTGGTTTCCATCAAGGCTTAGCAGAGGATCAAATGGAAATTGACGATTCACCTCCATTCACAATAGAGCTGGATTTATATTTTGATAATCAACAAGTTGACAACAACTCAATAATTACAGGTGGCCAATTACACAACGGGCTCGATGTTGATTCATTATTCAACAATCGATTATCTATTCCTAGTCAATATCAGCAATATCAACATCAACAACATCAACAACTACAATATCTGAACTTACAACTTCCTCAACTGAAGGATTTTAAAAAGGCTTCTAATATGACACAGGAGTCTAGTTTTAGTCCCCTTGACAATACATCACGCGTATCATCATTTGCCAATGTGAATAATGCTAATAGTAATATGTTTGTCAATGGCAGAGATTTATATTTTGATGATGATAGCCGTCATAGAGTAGGAAGATTAAGAAATGGATCGATTGATAGTTATTATGCTGCTAATGTGATTAATCATCAATTACATCTTCTGCAACAATCACATTCACAGCAAGCACTGCAGGATTATAGCTCTCAAATGAGTCTACAAAATAACAAATCATCAGCCATGCATAATGAATTATCGCCATTGACTACAACTACTTCACGTGCTTCATCTATTCAATCTGGTCAACCTTCTTTCTTCTCAGCGCAACAATACTTGTCTCGAAATTCCATGGATCAAGTCCCATCTTCATTACATCGTCCATCTGTTGATCTCTATAATGGCCACAGACCATCCATTGAGAGTCTGAATTCACAACAACAACAGCAACGTAATGCTAGATATATCAGTTTTACCAGCTCCATCAGTAATATTTTGCCATTCATGGGAGATAAAAATAATACCGCCAACAATCAAAGATCGCCACCTTCACCGCCAACATCTTCTTCATCCCCACAAAACTTGGTGACATCCAATCAATCTAGACATTTGATTAGAAGCATCTTCAAATCTAATCCTCCTGCGACAACTAGCAATTCTGATACACCTGTTACTGTAGATGACGATGAAACCAATAGAAATCATTCCAATGTTGCGGAGCAAGCAGAAGTTTCTATGAATAATGATTTAGGTGATGAATCATTCATGAATAGCACCGCCAATGATCCAGATTATCCATTGATGGAAGCCAATATTAAGGAAGAAGTTGTTGACGAAGAAATGGCTCCACCGAAGAAAGTTAAAAAACCAAAGAGGAGTATTTTCACCAGATTTAAAACTACTCCAACGAAACCTGAGCTTCAAGAACAGACATCGGCTGAGAATAATATTGTGGTCATACCACCCCTGGTTTCTGAGGAACAAAGATTAGAGGATGTCATAACGGATGTTAGCGGTAATGTTTCAACGCATCATTCAAGTGGAACACCATCAATCATGACCAATGGTGGGGTTCCTCTCACCTCTGGTGGAGTTGCTTTGGAAAATTCAATCTCAGAATCTTCAGCCCATCAAGAACCAGATTATGCGGCATTATTTGAAAATGTTGGTAAACGCAAGAATAAGAGCTACAGAAAACCTAAGACTAAAAATAAAGATGAAGAATCTCAGTCATCCCAACAACAACAACAGCAGCAAGTGGGTGTTGCTTCAAGTAATAATTCATCTAGTACAGTTGAGAAGTCATCATTTTTTGGTAAGTCGAGATTAAAACAAGAACCTGGTAGTGAAAGATCTTCATTATTGGATAATGCTAGTAGTACGAATGTCAGTTTGTCTTCATCAAATGCTTCATCATCAATCCATAACCGTACTAGTCATGAATTGGACCAACTGAATTCAACAGCACCATCTACACCAGCAACATCCACATTGGCCAATGCTTCCAAACGTATTCTTGGTTCGAAATTAATTCTGAAGAAAAAATCAAATGCAAAATTGAAAGATTACACTCCTGAGGAGTTAGAAGCAATGTGTACTGTTGCATCATTGGATAAACCAGTTGCCAGCATGATTTCCAACGGTGTTGAAGTTGAAGTTGATTTAAAATCATTAGATTTACCACCAGATACCAAAATATTCCCAATAGCTATTGTGAATAACAAGAATAGAACCAGAGGTCGTAAAGAAAATAGGGAGGCTGATTTAAGTGATACCACAAAGATTTTCTTGTGTAATTTATGTCAAAGAAGATTTAAACGTCATGAACATTTGAAAAGACATTTCAGGTCCTTGCATACATTTGAAAAACCATATAATTGTTCAATTTGTAACAAGAAATTTAGTCGATCAGATAATTTGAATCAACATTTGAAGATTCATAAACAAGAACAAGAACAGGCTGAAGCTGAAGCAAATGCTATGGAAACACAATAGGTATATAATGTGGATATGAGATCGTAATGGGATTTTACATGCATGTTTATTATCAAAAAAATGAAAAAAAAAAAATAACTTCAAATTCTTTTTTTATAATTTTCTTTTATTATTTTGATATTATACAGAATTGAAAATGAATACTAAACATGTAAAAGGATAAAAACGCAAACTAATATAAACTAAACTAAAGAAAAGAAAAGATAATTGAACTGAATTATTAAGAAGACACTATTTCCTTACGATAACCAAAAAAAAAACCGTTATTACTTCTTCACTGAAACCAATAACCATTATTTTACTCTTTTATTTCATTAATATTGATTCTTAAACCACCAAATATTCATCAGTTGGGTTATTGTTGTTGACAATATTCCTATTGATATTATTTTGAATCAATTGTTTATCCACTTTTTCAACCATATCATTATTCATAGCAGCTTTAGTAGGAGAAGAATTAATTGAATTATTCTTCTTTTTCTTATTTCCATTTCCATTTCCTAAACCATTATTATTACTATTATTATTGTTATTTGAAATATTTATAGTTGGTTTTGAAATTATACCTTTGTTACCACCAATACAAATATTTCGATCTTGATGTTTTCTTAAAGCATCTAATCTTGCAAATTCTTTACCACATGGACATTTACTATATCTTGCTTCAATATGTCCTTTAACATGACGATTTAAATCATGTTGTCGAACAAATCTTTTAGGACAAAATTGACATCCAAATGGTCTATCACTTAAATGAGTTTGAATATGACTTCTAACATTATATCTTCTTGTAAATTTTTTAAAACAGTTTTTATAAGTACATGTATAAATTTTATTTTCATCGGGTCCAATCCAATAATTATCAAGTTCTCCAGGTGGCAATAATGAAGTCTTTTTAATTCTTCTACGTGGCGACGTTTGTAATGATGATTCTTTGAGTTGTTTAGATAATGATGCTTTGGAATTTGGTGAAATAACAGGGCTCCATTCAATAGTAACTTGGGAATTTTGTTGTTTAGTTGGTGTACTTGGTAATTGGTTTTTCAAAGGTGATAATATTTGTAAGTTATTCACTGTATCAGGATTAAATTGTTTAATTGGTGATGAATTCAAAGTGGAATAAATTGGTGATGATTGAAGTTGTTGTTGAGTGTGAAATTGTTGTTGCAACATTTGTTGTTGTTGTTGAATTTGTTTGATTTGTTCGTAAGTCTGACGCATTCCAGGCAGTTGCAGTTGCTGAGAAGGTTGAGAATGAGGTGGTAGTGAAGGTGGAGGTTGTTGAGGATGTTGTTCATAATACACAGGATTATAAAAATTCACATTGCTACCCATGGCACGTAAATTTTGATGAACTGGCGAAATTTGTTGATTTGGTTGTAATCTACTTGGCGAAGGAGATTGTGGTTCTGGAGAGCTATTCCAGTCAGGAGACCCATTACTCAAATTAGGTGGTGGTGAAGAAGGAGGTGGTAAATATGTATTGAAATTGAAATTTCCTGGAAATGTTTGTTGTTTCTGTTGTGGTGGTGCTGCTGCTGGTTGTGGTACTGGTTGTGGTACCTGTTGTTGGTCAGATTGTTCTTTTCTTGATGGTTGTTTTGATTCTTCTGATTGATCCAATGGGGCTGAATTCCTTTTTTCTTGTTTATCAAACACAACTGGTTCCTGAACGGGAATGGGGATATACTTAATATCAGACAATTCATCTCCTTGTAATAATGGACCAATATCATCAACATATTCCTGTGGTTGTGATTTTTGTAAGGATTGTAAATATTTAGCCGAATAACTATTTACATTAGTCAATTCTGGTCTTGGAGGAGATGAACTTAAATTATTAGGTGTTGGTGATGGAGGAAATTTATAAGCTTTTGGATTCTCATTAGTTACAATATATTCTTGTTGACGTTTTTGAGGATTAATTCTAACTGATTGAGATTGTTGTTGATTATTTGATTCTTGAATCGGAGTACCTATTCTTTTGATTGGTGATGATTTAGCTAATAAATCTTGAGTTTGTTTCTCATCTTCCAACTCATCTTGTTCTAATAAAAGTATTGGTTTTTCATCAAAATTGAAATTTAAAATATCTTGTGTTGGTATTGGATTTTGTTGATGATTATTGGTTTCTCTTAATAAATCGTTTGGTGAAATAGAATTATTTTCAGGTCCTTTATTCACATATTGTTTATACAAGTCATTATTAATTCCGTTTATAGATAAGTCTCTTGTATGTTCTGTGAAACCAAAAATTGCAGTACCACTATATTGTCGACTATGTGTTTTAGATCTATGAGGTGAATGATATGGCTGTTGTTGTTGTGATGGTGCTTGTTGTTGGTTAAACCCGTAACCAGAAGGAACATCTAAATCTTGTAAACCATTTAAAGTTTCGTTAAATAAGAAATCAATATCATTTGGTTCTGAAGTTAATAAAAATTGATCGAAATTATCACTAGGTAAAGGTATAGTTGAAGGTCTACTTGAAAAGTCACTAAATAAATCAAACTTATCCATGATGATTAATTAGTTAAAAAGAAAGGGAAAGGGGAAAATGAATGAACCAAAAAAACAAATTGAATGGAAAGGAAAGGAAAGAAATGGATAGATGATTGTTAGATAATTTTGATTTCTTTCTTTCTTTATTTTTTTTTTTTCTTTTTTCATTTCATCATCTTGTCCTTCTTCTTATTATTCTTCTTCCATTTTTACTCTATTTGTCTCCCTTTTCCTAGTATAATCAATTTTTTATTGATGCAAAATCAGGGTTTCCTAATTAGGATGAAATATAAATAATCCCAGGTGTTGCTCCGTCGTTTTTCGTTTGTTTACATTTTTATTTGTTTGCGCACACTCAATGTTTACATGGGAATTAAATCTGAAACTTTTTTTTCTACTGAATCTAACAACATCAATAAACATCCACAGCAACCAACAACAACAACAACAACCAGTTGAGGTTTAACATTCAACATCATCAACAAACAATTGATACACAAATATTGAGTTTCACCAAAGAGATCAAAACATAATTCTATTATCCACAATCTTAAAATATCTTATTTTCCTTATTTGTCAATTCATCGGTTTCTAGAATATGTACAGGCACAACTCCGATAATGTAATTTCACTTCGCAACTCTTTCACATCAACATTCCCAATGTAGGAAATAACCAAAACAACAAGAAACAATAATCATAAACTCTTGAAATTTTCATTTCTTTCACTTCTCTCACGTCAACAAAACAATGAAACTGTCTCGAATAAGCGGTGTTCATGAGATGAAGATGAATCATTCCCTAGTCGTCTACACAACCATCTCCCTCTACCCCTCCCCTCAACTAATGTTCACTAACATATGTGGTTAGAAATCTACATATTGAAGGGAGAATTTCTTCTCTCGTATATACGTTTTCTATTTCTTCTCTCCTTTTAGTTTATTTTATTAAACAATTTCTCAGTTACTCAGTTACTGTATAAATATATATGAAAGAAAAGGGTGAATATGTAAATAATAAATATTTTTTTTTTTTTTGCATTTTATCTCTTGCTATGACCACTACATTTATTCTAACAACAACATCTTTCTTGGATCTTCAATTAATTCTTTAACAGTCTTTAAGAAAGTGACAGCTTCACGACCATCAACAACTCTGTGATCATAGGTCAAAGCCAAGTACATCATTGGTCTTGAAACAATTTGACCATTGATGGTAACTGGTCTTTCTTTAGTACCATGTAAACCTAAAACAGCAGTTTGTGGCATGTTGATGATTGGAGTACCGTATAAGGAACCGAAAACACCACCGTTAGAAATGGTGAAAGTACCACCAGTCATATCTTCCAAAGTCAATTTACCATCTCTGGCTTTCTTACCCAAGTTGGAGATTTCTTTTTCAATTCCCAAAATAGATAATGATTCAGCATTTCTAACAACTGGAGTGACCAAACCCTTTGGTGTGGCAACAGCAATAGAAATATCAGCGTAATCTCTGAAAACCAAAGTGTCGTTGTTTTCAATGGCAGCATTGACAGCTGGGATTTCTTTAAGAGCTAAACAAACAGCCTTGGAGAATGCACCCATGAAACCCATCTTGACACCGGTTTTATCAAGGAATTCGTCCTTGTATTGTTTTCTCATATCCATCAAGTTAGTCATATCAACTTCATTGAAAGTGGTCAATGAAGCAGCGGTGTTTTGTGATTCCTTAAGACGTTCGGCAATTCTCAATCTCATTCTGTTCATTTTAACTCTTTCTTCGTTTCTAGAGAAGTTGGTGAATGATGGAGCGGATTCTTCTGTCTTTTTTGGTTCTTCTTTCTTAGGGGTAGAAGGTTTGCTTTCTTTCTTTGGTTCTTCTTTCTTTGGAGCAGCAGCGGTTTCAGCTGGTTTTTCTTCTTTCTTGGCTGGGGCTTCTTCTTTAGCTTCTTCTTTGGCTGGGGCAGCAGCAGCACCGCCGGCCGGAGCTTCACCTTCTTCGATCTTGATGATTTCTTGTCCAACTTCAACAGTGGCATCAACATCAACTAAAAACTCAGTAATGGTACCAGAAACTGGAGCATTGACTTCAACATCAATTTTATCGGTTTCAATAGTGGCAATGGTTTCATCTTGACTGACAAAATCACCTACTTCTTTGTTAAAAGCAGCCAATGTACCTTCAGTAATAGATTCAGCCATATCTGGGACTTTTACAGAAACACTTGCATATCTTTGGAAAGTTAAAAATGGGGTTGGTCTATAACTTGAGGCAATTGATGGGGATGATCTATGGAGGGTTCTAATGGCAGAAACATTAGCAGCTTTTAAAGTGGATTTAACAGTTGTAGATTTGAGAACGGTAGTACTACGTCTCAATGAGGATTGAATTGATCTAGATAACATGATATAGAGGGGAAAGTTTGGTTGAACAGGTTATTGAAAGAAAAGAAAGAGGAGGTCGGTATAAATTTTTCTTTTTTTTTTTCTCTCTCTGTCTTCAACTTTTTCCTTTCGTTTTTTCTTCTGTTCTGTTTATATTGCATTGCTATTTTTCGTTTGAAAGTAATTTCGTTGGCCTTTGTAATTTTTTTTTTTTTTTCTGTCTCACACTGTTCAGGACCGGAGTATGGTAATACTTTAGAACAGCTTCGTTCCACACCCCGACTCATTCTCTTGCTGACTTCGACTCATCAGAACGTCTAAAAAGTTTAAGGAAGCGGGGTGAACGCTACCAGTTGTTAGTCAGGTAAATTTTCTTTTTTTTTTTTTGCGGGTGGAATCTTTTATTCCAGGATTATGATTGGTTCAACAAACTCCGGGGCAAATAGCCATCAACAATAAATCCCCGGAAAAATGAGTTCGGCGGTCTCGTTTTTAATTTTTTTTTTTTTTCTTGAGTTTTTATTAATGGTTACATGAGGCGAGCAAAATAACTGGTTGCAAATTCATTTCTCAGGATGGGAAATAGCAATTGTACCATGTGTTAGTTGAATATTATAATCATACCAGCTGTGTATTTTATTTACACTATACTCATCATTCTCTACCACTTCTTCCTACCGTGAGTCAATTAAAGAAAAGTAAAAGGGTTGGTTAATTTTGAATAGCCCCGGAATAACCGGTGCGTCGCGTTGACAGAAAATTCAGGACAGTTTTTTTTTTTCTAATTTTATCCCTCAAACTGGGTCCGAAAAATGGAGTTCGAATCAGACACTATTTTGGGGCGAATTCTAATTTTTGGTCTTTTGCAACTGTTTGTAAAACAAGAATGGACTACAAAGTGAGGAAACTTCAAACGTGGACACATGTTAACTTAAACTAAAATGTACGAATATTTTCATATTGAGTATATTTCCAGTTATAATTAGGTCTATACCGGGCTATTCATAGTTTTTGTTTGTCAAGGATTTCTCAATTTTTCAGGTACAATATAAAATTTTAAGTTCAAATATACACCAATTTTTGAGGAATATAATTCATACAAAAAGACAATTCATCAATTGTATTAAAGGCCCCAGAACAGTACAAATGGTAAATTAAATATATATTCATCAAAGGACCACGTCTCTGAACAACAATCAAACCTGTATTATACCTTGTGAAAACTTTTGTGATCGTACCACCTCAAATGTACATCTGTGTCTGTTGATGCAAGAACTTCCAGCAAACACGAAATCAGAGCGTTTAGCTCGTTCAGTTTCTCCTTCTACAGTTATCTGTTAGAAATTCGAGTTCGAGTCCTCAGTTAGGGATCAAGCAAAAACTGCCTAGCTAGCTCAATCGGCTTAGAGCGTGAGACTTTTAATCTCAAGGTTGCGGGTTCGAGTCCCGCGTTGGGCTTTTCTTTTTTACATTTCAACCAATGTTGATAGACAGTTGTAACCAACCTGTTATTTCAACAGCCATTTTTTTATTAAATAATGGTAAGGCGATGATCTAGTGTAACGAAGTTGTGACCAGGAAACTGTCACATATCAGTTACATCGGAGTGAATGACACTCCCCTGTTAAATGACTTTAAACTCGTTCGAAAGTTCGCTTTTTCTGCAGCTCATAAACCCAACTACTAATCATACACGGAGTTAATAAGAACAAACTAGTCATGTCGATACGGCGATATAATCAGATCAGTCACTCTTGACTCCTTGAAAGGTTGATTTTTTCTTTTTCTTTTTCTTTTTTTTATTTTGCAGCCGGTCATTACAAAGCATCCCGGAACAATTAGGGACAGGGATCAATTTTTCTCCTTTAAAAGGTTCTGTTGCCCTTGGGTCGTGAAAACTCAATTCGGAAGTATAAATGCACATTTTGTTTTTTTCGGACACCTCTCGCGCTTTTTTGTCTGGGTGCGGTTTCTTTAGTCTTTTTTTTTCTTCGATAATTTTTTTTTTTCTTTCTTCCTTTTTCTCTCGCACTTAATTTGTCAACTCAAAAACTCATCCTAATCCGATCCTCCTTTTTAGACCTTGAGTTTTCGTTTCTACTCATACTATTTATTAAATATCAAAGATGTTAAGATCATTCAAATCAATTCCAGCTGCTGGAAGATTTTCCCAATTTGTCAGATACGCCTCCAACAAGAAATATGACGTTGTTGTCATTGGTGGTGGTCCAGGTGGTTATGTTGCTGCCATCAAGGCTGCCCAATTGGGTTTAAACACCGCTTGTATTGAAAAAAGAGGTGCTTTGGGTGGTACCTGTTTGAATGTTGGTTGTATCCCATCTAAATCTTTATTGAACAACACCCACTTGTTGCACCAAGTTCAACACGAAGCCAAAGAAAGAGGTATTGCTATTGAAGGTGAAGTCAAAGTTGATTTCCCACAATTGATGGCCTCTAAAGAAAAAGCCGTTAAACAGTTGACCGGTGGTATTGAAATGTTGTTCAAAAAGAACAAGGTCGACTACTTGAAAGGTGCTGGTTCATTTGTCAATGAAAACACCATTAAAGTTACCCCAATCGACGGTGGTGAAGCACAAGAAGTTGAGGCCGAAAACATTATTGTTGCCACTGGTTCTGAACCAACTCCATTCCCAGGTATTGAAATCGATGAAGAAAGAATCGTCACCTCCACTGGTATCTTATCCTTGAAGGAAGTTCCAGAAAGATTAGCCATCATTGGTGGTGGTATCATTGGTTTGGAAATGGCTTCTGTCTACTCCAGATTGGGATCTAAGGTTACTGTCATTGAATTCCAAAACGCCATTGGTGCTGGTATGGATGCTGAAGTTGCCAAGCAATCTCAAAAATTATTGGCCAAGCAAGGTTTGGACTTCAAATTGGGTACTAAAGTCACCAAGGGTGAAAGAGATGGTGAAATTGTCAAGATTGAAGTTGAAGATGTCAAATCCGGTAACAAATCAGAACTTGAAGCCGATGTTTTGTTAGTTGCCATTGGTAGAAGACCATACACTGAAGGTTTGAACTTTGAAGCCATCGGTTTAGAAAACGATAACAAGGGTAGATTAGTCATTGACGATCAATTCAAAACTAAACACAGTCATATTAGAGTCATTGGTGATGTCACATTTGGTCCTATGTTGGCCCACAAAGCTGAAGAAGAAGGTATTGCTGCTGCTGAATACATCAAGAAAGGTCACGGTCACGTTAACTATGCCAACATTCCATCTGTCATGTACACTCACCCAGAAGTTGCCTGGGTTGGTTTGAACGAAGAACAATTGAAAGAACAAGGAATTAAATACAAGGTTGGTAAATTCCCATTTATTGCCAACTCTAGAGCCAAGACCAACTTGGATACCGATGGTTTCGTTAAATTCATTGCTGATGCTGAAACTCAAAGAGTTTTGGGTGTCCACATTATCGGTCCAAATGCCGGTGAAATGATTGCTGAAGCTGGTTTGGCTTTGGAATACGGTGCTTCTACCGAAGATATTTCCAGAACTTGTCATGCTCACCCAACCTTATCTGAAGCATTCAAAGAAGCTGCTTTGGCCACTTTTGACAAACCAATCAACTTCTAATGAAACTAGGCAAATCTAATATTTAACATCAAATATAAGCACAACAAATTAATGAAGAAAATCAAACAGTAGGTTCGTTTCCTTACCTAAAAAAAATTTAAACTAAGATGTATACATATATATATATAAATCGTATTTCTTATTGAATAAAATACATATTCTAACTGAACTTTGATTGATTGATTGATTGATTTTTTTGAATCGCATGCACACGACTTTTTTTCGAATTTTTTTTTTTTTTCATTCTGTTGATTGAGGTCTAAAAGAAAAATCTATGAAAATTTTTATTGGAACATCCTGGAGTTATAAAGCAGTTTAATTAAGATCCAACTAAGATGCCAAAAGTTTTCACTATTCAAAAAAATGTTCTTAGTCATAAGAAACTGATATATAAAAACTTATGTGCTAGTTTAATTCGTCATGAACATATCATTACTACTTCAGCCAAGGCTAAAGCTGCTCAACCATATATTGAAAAGTTTTTAGCTGATTCAGTTAGACAAAGTAAAGAATTGCCAGAATCTATTACTGATTTAAAGAAAAAAGTTGAAAGTATAAAAGCATTTGATTATTTACAACCAGCTGAAAGAATGGAATGTGGTCTGAAAGTTCTTGAAGAAATTGTTGAAAGATATCCAAAAAGACAAACTGGGTTCACTAGAATTATTAAATTAGAACCAAGATTAGGTGAAGATAAAGCACCAATGAGTGTTATAGAATTAGTTGATTCTAATTATGAGATTAAATTTTGGTACACTGCTAAAACTGTTGCTAGATTGGAATTACAAGGAATAGAATTGGATGATTTAACTGAACTTAACATTAAAAAAGTAACACAATTTAGACGTGATGGTGAAGCTACATTTAGAGATGCTGTTGAAGTTTGTAAAAAAGAATTTTTCAATCAAGATGGTGAAACCAAGGATATGCCTGTTGATGTTCAAGAAAATTTGGCCAATTTACCAAATATGGAAAGACATACTGGTAAATTAAAGGGTAAATTGTTGGTATCAAAGAAATATAACACCAAACCAAGACCAAAGAAAGAAAACCTTCTGTTCTCACCATCACCATTCTTGAAACAAAACCAACAACAAGAACAATCATAGATATTGTATATATATTTAAAAAAAGGATTTCAAATTATGAACTCACATATTCTGTATATATTTAATTTTTTTTTTTCAATATAAAAGAAAAACTTAACGAGAAAAAATTACACCACTGATTGTAATCGACATCAACAATGTGGTTCTCTAAATCAAACTTTCCAATTGAAGGAAAAACTGCTATCATCATTGGTGCATCTCAGGGTGTCGGTGCAGATATTGCCTCCAAGTTATATTCCAAAAACTGTTCAGTTATTCTAGTTGCAAGAACTGAATCAAAACTACAACAACAAGTTAGTAGAATTAAAAAAGAACATTCAAAATCAACTGCAAAAATTAGTTATTCTGTAGCTGATGTATCTAAATATGAAGAATGTGTTAATTTATGGAATTCAATTTATCCAATTGATCCAGATATAATATTCTGTTGTGCTGGGTCTTCAATTCCAAAACTATTTCAAGATTTAACTGAACGTGATATTAATCTGGGTATTGATATTAATTATAAAACAGCAATTAATATAGCTCATACTGGATTCAAACATGTTTTAGAAAAACATTCAAATAAAGATCATGAGTTTAAAAAAAGACATATCATTCTTTTCAGTTCAGTGGTTAGTTTTTTCCCATTTATTGGATATTCTCAATACGCTCCTATGAAATCAGCACTTGAATCATTATCAATTATATTACGTCAAGAATTATCACCATATAATTACCGAGTATCATGTGTATTTCCAGGTAATTTTCAGAGTGAAGGATTTGAAGAAGAACAAAAAACCAAACCAGAAATTACCAAAAAAATTGAAGGTCCAAGTAATCCAATTCCAGGTGATGAATGTGCAGAAATGATTATTGATCAATTAAGTAAAGGTTACGATACAATAACTACTGATTTTGTTGGTTGGGTTCTTGGTACAACTTCTTTAGGAGTATTTTTACCAAGACAATGGGGATTCTTTCAAGTAATTATTGGGTTTTTCATTCTGTTAATTGGACCAATAGTTAATTGGGTCATTAATAGAGATATTCAAAATTCTATCGATAAGAAAAAGAAAGAATAGATAGTTGACGTATATATATATGTATATGTAAAGTGACTTATGAAAACAAATTCCTCATTTCTTGGTTTCATGATTTGGCACTACTGATTCCGAAAGTTTAGTAGTCAATTCACCAACTTTAGAATCAATGTCCAAACCTAACTTGTACCAATTAATACTATACAACCAATTAACCATCGTTATAATTTCTTCATTCCAAATATCTTTACAAGTTTCTGCAAAACTTACTCTTGATTGATAATTTACATGTGAATCAGGAATGTAATTCTTACGTAATTCAGCATCTTTATCACTTAAAATTCGATTGTTGATGATATAATCAGATTGACGTAAATGTTGTGAAATAAATTGTTGGTTCTTGTTGATATATTGTTGTGTATAGTAAGTGAATGTGGAAGTCAATAAAACACCACCTAAAAATCCATGAATTCTACCCATTGTAACCCGTTCTAGTTGTTGATATATGTTTATTGCACGAAATGCAATATGGCAATTAACATAAATGAGAAAGAACGTTAACGATTTTTCGATTGGTTGGAATCTTCCTACCACCACCACGACGAGAAAAAAAAAAAAAAAATCAACAGTGTGCATATAAGCATGGTGATATCAAGAATTTGCTTTTACCAAACCTATAAACCAACTTATTATCAATATGAAATTTACTTTTTATATTTACAAAAACAATTATACAATATTTATTATTATTTTTCAATGTTATGCTTTAATTGTCTAATTTTCTAATCAAGACCTGGTGATTTAAATCCAGCATTGTCATCATCTTCATCACCAGAATCTTCCCAATCGTCAACATCAACATCATCCATATCTATGTCTTCAGCTTCGTGGTTAGGCAAGATTTCTAAACCTTTTTCTCCAAGAACAACCTTAGCAGTTTCTTTATCTTTAATTTGGCCCTTCAACAACATCACTGCCAATCTGTTTAAAATTTCATTTTGAATCAAACGGTTCAAAGGTCTAGCACCAAGATCCGGTGACCAACCATTCTTGCACAAGTATTCCATTGCTGAATCATCCAACTCCAACTTGATGTCTTTACCATTAGCAATGAATCTATTTTCAATCTCCAGCAATCTAATCTTGACAATCTTGGAAATAGCTTTCCTGGATAATCTGTTGAACACAACAATACTTGAGATTCTGTTGATGAATTCTGGTCTAAAATGAGCTCTAACAGCATCCATAACATGTTCCTTCGTATTGGCATCAATCTTGTTACCTTTAGCAGCATTGATGTATTGAGCACCCAAATTCGATGTCATAATGAAAATAGCATTGGAACAGTTGACAAGTTTACCTTGAGAAGAAGTGACTCTACCATCATCCAAGATTTGCAACAAAACAGTTAAAACTTCAGGAGCAGCTTTTTCAACTTCATCAAGCAAAACAACAGAATATGGACGTCTGATTAATGGCTCAGTCAAAATACCACCTTCTTCATAACCAACATAACCTGGTGCAGCACCTAACAATTTAGAAGCAGACCATTTGTCTCCTAATTCTGAACAATCAATTCTAATAATAGCTGACTCATCGGCAAAAAGGAAACCAGCAAGTTTCTTAGCCAATTCTGTTTTACCAGAACCAGAAAGACCCAAGAACAAGAATGAAGGAGGTTGGTTTGGATTAGCTAAACCTGATCTTCTTAATCTAATAGCATTAGAAACAGCTTTAACAGCTTCAGATTGACCAACAACTTCTTTGGATAATTCAGCTTCCATATTGATCAATTTGTTGTTTTCAGCACGTGACAACTTGGTAACTGGGATACCAGTTAATTTGGCAGCAGTTTCACAAATTTGTTCAGGTCCAACAGCATTCTTTGTCAAACTTTCCATATTAGAAGCCTCTTCTTCAGCAACCTTGACTTCCAATTGTTCGATTTGTTTTTCTAAATCTGGAATAGCAAAATATCTCAAATCAGCAGCAGTGGCGGTATCATATCTTCTTTCAGCATCTTGTGCCTTGACTTCCAATTCATCCAACTTTCTCTTGGCAGCAATCAATTGCTCATGACTGGCACGTTCTTGTCTGTATCTTTCATTCAATGGACCAATTTGTTCTTCCAATTCAGCTTTCTTCTTTCTAGCTCTAGTCAAACGGTCTTTAGAAGCAGCATCAGCATCTTTGTCCCTTTCCAATGCATTGATTTCAACATCAACCAAATGTAACTGTCTTTCTAAAGTATCCAATTCTTCTGGTTTAGAATCTCTAGCAACAGCCACAGCAGCTGCAGCTTCATCAACAAGATCGACAGCAGAATCTGGTAAGGCTCTGTAGGTTAAATATCTGGAAGCCAATTGAGCTGCAGTAACCAAAGCACTATCCAAAATACGGACACCATGGTGTATTTCATATCTTGGTTGAATACCTCTCAAGATAGCAACAGTTTCAGGAACAGTAGCAGCTGGAACATCTATTTTTTGGAATCTTCTTTCAAATGCACCATCTTTAGCAATGAACTTACGGTATTCAACAAAAGTTGTGGCACCAATACAGTGCAATTCTCCTCTTGCCAACATTGGTTTAAGCAAATTGGCGGCATCAGATTTACCATCACCCATCAACATATGGATTTCATCAATAAACAAAATTATAAATTCCTTGGATTTTTCAATTTCACCCAAGACACCTTTTAATCTTTCTTCAAATTCACCCTTATATTTAGCACCTGCGGTTAAAGCACCCAAATCAAGGGAAAATAATCTTGCGCCAGCCAAGACATTTGGGACATCACCGTCAACAATTCTTTGAGCCACACCTTCAACAATAGAAGTTTTACCAACACCAGCATCACCAACCAAAACTGAATTGGATTTACTTCTTCTAGCTAAAACTCTTATGACTCTTCTGATTTCTTCTTCTCGTCCAATAACAGGATCAATTTTACCTTCTCTAGCTTTCTCAGTGAAATCTTCACAATATTTGTTTAAAAACTCATAGGATGAAGACGAATCAGCTTGTCTGGAGTCAATTCGTTGTGAACCTCTTAATTCTATCACTTGGGTTTTAATATTGTCGACATTCATACCAGCTTCTTTGAAAATATCTTTAATGGATTGGTCTTCTAACAATGCCAACAAGATATGATCTTGAGCAACATAGCTATCTTTTTGTTGTTGTTTTATTTTATTGGCATTCATCAATACTTGTCCAGCTTGATAACTTGGTCTTATTTCATCTGGTGGAGGGTTCTGGGATGGCAATCTCACCAAGTGTCTGTTGACAATTCTCTCAAAATCACCCCATTCATATCTAGCCTTTTTGACAATTGTTTTCAAATATTGTGTAGAACCTTCAGTATCATCAGTTGGAATAAAAGCAGCAAGGAAATGAAGTGGTAAAAGCTGACTATTGGATTGCTCTTTAGCCAACTCTGTAGCATTGTTTATAATCTTAATAGCGTTATCTGTGTATTCGTCCATGATTCAATTTAGTCTCTTGATAATATCAATTGAGTAGTAATTGTATGATAAACAAAAAATAAAATAAAATAGAATTAAAAATTATAGAAAATATGAACCAAAATAAAAAAATGGAAATTAATTCTGGTAAATTAGATGGATATTTATAATGCAAATAGTGAATTGGGTGATTGGGAACCGGAGTGAAGGGGGGGGGGGATGTCGATTGCTTTGATTGAATGGAACGAAAGAGTGAGAGAAAAAAAAAGAGCGGCATGCATTTGTTAGTGCGGGATTATGGTTCCAGTTGATGCCAGAACTTACTAGAAAATTCTAGAATTATTCTTCCACAAAAATGGTGATGCACCTTTTTTTTTTTCCTCTCTCATTTAAGCCCCACGCTTGGTAGCTCTATTGAATTAAGGGGGTGGTAGAGCCAACAATTATCCCCGGAATCTTTATAGGTTTCCGAGAACAAGATCCCCAATCTGGCCGCGTAGTTTCCTTTATTATTGAACAAGGTTTCTTTGATATGCTTTGTAATAATAAAGTTCTTTTGGTATCATGAGGAAGAACTTCATTAAAGCAAGAAAAGTAGTAAAAAACAAGTAGGAGAAAATAAATGTAAAGATGTCAGTATTCGCCTTGAGTTTTAACCCTAGGCCGACCTTACAATGCACAAATACACTTTGATTTTGATCTTATTTGTACTTTATCTGATAGAAACAATGAATGGGCAGAGTATAGGTGAGCATAATAGACTCGTAAGACCAAGAATACGACACAAACCAACAAAACCCAAGCCAGTAGCTACTCCTCTCTATACTTTCTACTCCATAAAATCGTTAGATGATTTACAAAACAAACATCCAGATAAACTAAATAATACGTCGAATATATTTCATTTCAAAGATACAAAGAGTTCGTTATATTATAGTAAGAAAGATCACCAATGGGTGGAGTTGAAGCTTGCAAATCCCGATGATCCAGTACAGAAATTTCCCTTGGAGTACTGGATTCCAGCATCGTACTGTCTTGACTCTACTTCTGGAAGTGGAGGAACAGCTAGTCGTGCTATCACGGTACTTTATGAAGTTGCGGTAGAAAACTATATGGATATATATGCTGGGTTACCGACATTTGCAATCCACGAGGCAGCAGGATTATCCTTGGGAGTGAAAATTGGCAAGCAAGTGGCAGTGACGTTATTCTTTAGTTGTGCCGTCAACGAAGGTGAAGTCATACAATTACAATATCGACCGTCATATGTAATTGTTCCTGAAATGGAAGCAGTTCTGTATAAGTTTACTGGGAAATCACTCAAGAAGAAGAAAGTCAAGAAAATCAAACCATTCAAGACGTTAATTATCGATGCACCAGAACACCAGTGCTGGGCCACAAGAAATATCAATGACCTACAATGTCATCGTCCAATCAACCATCGACATGTGATCAGATTTTAGTTTGACCATTATGGATACAGTATTATATAGACTCATTGAAATTACTGACTGTGAAAGATTGTCGTTTTTAAATTCCACCATTCAACTGACCTCTTCCACCCAGAATACAGCAGTCTTGAGCAGCACATATGGAATATCCAACTGGCTCGTCTGTAAAACATGGAAACTTCTAATTGACCACTTCTTTGAACATGTAGTATCAATATTATTGTTTTGTTCATAGATTGAATAATTAGGTCATGTCACTAGTGTTGGTGTATCACAACCAAAATTTGTGTATAGAACAGATGGAATCTCAAAGTAACATTTTTTTTTTTCTTCTCTTCTTGTCTTCTTTCTTTTTCCATGGACCTCATTCAACAATATCAGTCCGACTCTGAAAGTGAATCTGAATTCGAATCTGAAAGGGAAGAAGAGGTTGGGTTAAATAAGGAACAAGAGAATAACCCCAAAGTTAACAATCAAGAAAAGTGTGAATCAGAAAGTAGTCTCCCACCTCTTCCTAGAATCGAGATCTACCTGCAACAATATCAACAGAATATGTCACTCAAAGAATTTAGTTCATACTGCTATTTACCATGGAATCCATCGTTACCAGTGGTTAGAACTCTAGATAAAGTATGTGAAAAGGTGATCCAGACATTTCCCGAACTTTCAAAGAACTATAAATTTGTTCAACCCCACAAAGACATTTCACGAGAAGTCAAACATCATATCAGTGTCACTTATAGTTTCACGATGCCGATAGATAAAGCAGACCATGTGTTGCCTTCTATGATGAAAAAGTTTTCCAAAGTTGAAATACCTCAGTCTTTGGTGCAAGAAATTGGGGGTAGCAGTTCTCCACTTATCGCCATTATGAATAAGAAAAGAAAAGGTGTTCGTTTCCTGTTAAATGACCATTTGACAGTAAGAGGATCCGGTCTGAAGATATTCTTATGTGCTGATCTAAATTCATCCGATGAATCGCAGCAACAGCTATGCAAGGAATTACGTAGTATTTCAAAGAATGTATTACTTGAAAATGGTATTCAACCGCCTCCAGAAGGTACGTTTTTGCTGCCTCCTCATGTTTCGGTTAGCATTGGTTATTTAAAAGGCAAGATTTTATCAAAAACGGACATTAGGAAGATCAATCTGAAACTAACTGGTATCAAATTTAGAGAACTACAGGATGTAAACGTTGATGTAGAAGAGATACATTGTATCCGTCCGCCGCAAAAGGAAGTCATTCCAGTTCATAGTCAACGTCTCTTGTAAATAGAAGTAATATTTATTTATTCTGAACCATAATTGTCCATTTCTTCTTGGATGCAACATCGGCATCAAAACCCGATTGTAAATTGCGTGGAAATATCGACGGAACAAAATAAGAATTACAGAACGCTACTGACATCATTTCTTCACAAATGGTTCGGTCGGAAAAGCACCAACTTTAATTTCGCACAAAATGTTCATTTTTCCCTTTTTCTCTTTCTCTTTCTCTTTTTTTCTTTTTTTCTTTTTTACTAAGCTTCCCAAACGAAAACCCAATCTTTTTCTTTTGCAAATTAACAAATACCACCACACCACTCCTTTGAGACAAACACTTGGTTACACCAATGGGTAAAAAAGAAGACAAAGAGAGATACGCCAGACTTGTTAGCATAGCTAATAATCATAGCAACAACAACAAATGTGCCGAATGTGGTGCAGGTTATCCCACTTGGGCGTCGTATAACTTGGGTATTCTTTTATGTGGTAGATGTTCTTCAGTTCATAAAAGAGTTCTTGGTCCACCAAACCAGAATATCTCAAAGGTCAAATCATTGACTTTGGATAAATGGTCTGATTCACAAATCGATAATTTGTCTAAAATTGGTAATAAGAGATCTAATCGTAGATGGAATCCTAAACGAGTCCCATTTCCATTTGATGCCGATGAAGATGTTGGTGCTGTGGAACAATATTTAAGAGATAAATATATACTTGGACGATTCCGTGACGACAACATTGATCCTTCAGAGTATGATGACAGACTGAGCAAGTTTAGTGAAGAAGATACCGGATACCATTCCCTGAGACCACTGTTGAGACTGAGATCCAGTAGTGTTCGAAGCCAAACAACCATCCCAAGATTGACACATAGAAAATTGACAACTTTTGAATATACCCAACATTCAAGTCAGGCTTTGAAAATCAGACTGTACGGATACACTGACCGTGATGCAGTATTGGAGAGTTTGTTATTAAGTAATGGGAACATTGATGGTGCACTCGATATACTAGAGTTAGATGCTAAAATCAACCCTACAAAGGAAGAAACCGCCCCACTGTTACCAAGAAGACCACAGCAAACATCACAACCTAGTCAGAGCTCGTTTACACCAACTTCTACTGCGAACGCTAGTGCTAGTGTCAGTGCCCCTAACCTGACTGACGATTGGTGGAATGGATCAACCAACAGTGTTGGAGCTATTGCTCAACAACAACCACAACCACAAGCTACCGGAATGCCTCAAATATATCAATATACTGATCCTGTGACAGGGCAAATTTCGTATATTGATTCTAATGGACAAGAATATTTGGATCCAAACAATCCGCAACACCAACAACAGTTGATGCAAATGAATAATCCACAATTGATTGCACAGCAAACAAATAAACAGAATATAATGTCTTTGTATAACCAACCAACAGGACAACAGCAAATGCAACAACAGCCATTGCAACAACAACAAATGCAAACATTTTTGCAGCAGCAGCAGCAACAACAACAACAACAACCACAATTTACCAACGTCGGATACGTTCAACCACAACAACCACAGTTTACAGGATTCAATCAACAAGCTGGATTTGGGCAACAGCAACAAGGAGGCTATTGGAGACCACAATAAACCTGGTGTATATACATATATTGTAAAATAAAAACATGGTTAAATGAAAAACGAATATATTTATTGTAAGATACATTTATTATTTAAAGAAACTCTTTTATAATCTACAATTTAGCCTTGGATTTCAAGTCTTCAGCTAATCCTAAAGCAATATTTCTCGCAAATGTCATAGTAGTGATCATTGGATTGGCACCACTTGCAGTTGGCAAAACACTTGCATCAGCAACATATACATTAGAACATTCAAACAATCTACCATCAGTATCAACAGCACCATATTTGGGACCTTTACCAGACATACGGCAAGTAGACATTTGATGAGCTGAACCATAGGCTGAACCATAGGAATCAAATGGTATTTTTGCAGCCTTTGCTCTCCATTCAACATAATCTTTATCATCAATGGATCGTTCATCCCTTGGTTTGCTTGATTCAAAAATTGGTACCCATGCTTGTGGGCTGAGAATTCTTTTAGCACCTTCAATATACAACATATCAGAAGTAATCAAAAATGCCTGCAAGATTGCGTTTTTGTCAAACTTGCTAACATCATAATCCACGATCAACGCTTCCGGTTTCTTAGGATCAGCAGAAACAGATCCACTTGTGGTGTCACGAGTGATGAGCAACATAGCAACCATGTTATTATAACGTAACAAGTCTCGTCTAACTTCATCACTTCCCCTCCATGGTAACAACGAAGCTTGGATGAATGGAGCATTCAATATGGTTTCAATTCTACAGCCATGTCCTTTACCATCCAAATCTGCAACTTCATAACAAAGGGACGTCATAATAGATTTGTGGAAATGGTCAGCTTGTACTTCTTTACCAAAATCGCCAAAAACAGTGGAAACTGGATGTAAAGTTAAGTTTTTACCAATGTGCTTGTTTTTAAACCCAGAATTGTTTAAAACAATTGGTGTATTCAATGCACCAGCAGCAACAACGTATTTCTTTGGACCGGTGATAGTGAACTTGACACCAGTGGCGACATCCTCACATAAAATACCAGAGGCAATGCCTTTCTTGTTGATGATTTGCAAAACTCTAACTTGCTGCATAAATTTGGAACCATTTGCTGCTGCATCCCTAAACCAATTATTAACAGAGCCCTGTTTAATACCATACTTACAACCCAAATGACAGAAACCACAAGGATGATGAGGATGACCACCCCTTTTATGGTCAATTGGCTTGCTCTTATAACCCAATTTCTTACCTCTCATTCGTAACAACATTGTTGGCCAAGGAA